GCGACAATCGCAATGCTTGTTTTTCTAACTAGCATATTGTTTGCTCTCAGCACCATGATGCGGGCGACGAATCATGCGAAAAGGAGAGGCTGAAATTGTTCACTCTAACCTATGAGCACCTTAGTATTGAGATCGAATCTGACCTAAAACAGTGCTTACCCATGTGAACATTTTCTTATATTGGATAAACTGGCATAGCCTGGATGTTGAGGTTTGCTCTTGACAAAATGCAGGTCAATTTAATTTGCAAATAAGCATCACCCTCGCTAATTGATGATTTTTTGTTAAATAGAACAAAGTGGTATTTCATGCTCTACTCAATTCGGAAGCTACCTAATTGGACACTTTCTGAGAGTTTAAGTGTGCAATCGTCATAGTTCCACCATTCGTTCCAGTAAAAAAAGGCGATAGTAGAAACACATAAAAAACGCGATAACAAACTTCTATATATTTGAGAAGTTATATATGCGTGAGGAACACATATAGTTATTTAAATTAGCTTCAAAATAATAAAAAAAAAAACATTATTTAAAGCTTTTCAAAATCACCTATAACGTGTCTATAGAGGATAAAAGCGCCGAAAAATATTTGCCGAACATCTTTCAGATAATTTAAAGGCGCATTTACTTATATATCTTGGAGGTGAGAATCTTCTATTTATGCTGCCAAATCTTCAGACAGGAATTAAGTATATTTTTATTATCATCGATAAATTTGACTTTATGAAGTTCACATAACCGCCTGAGACCGACACGGAAGGACGATACTCGAAAATACGCCAGCTGTTGTGTCTTCGGCAACGTGCTTTTGTTAGCTGTTTTGCAGTGTAAAATAGTGGGTTGCAGGGCATGCCAAAAAACACTGTGGTCACATGATATATCGGAAGGCAAATACACGAATGTGCAGAAATAAGGAGATGACACGCAATTTGTTCTAAATAATCCCTTACACAACGCTTTACTGCAAAAAGAAATGCATAGAAGTGCATAAAATGATATTCCTAATTAAACAGATTCCGCGCAGGGCAAACAAAGATTTTTTAGAATCCTAATATAAATCACTTTTGGACATCAGCTTGCCTCAGCTCGAAACGTCGCGGGATACTACCTCGGGAGGCTAATGTTATCTTAGGTTTTACGTGCACTTGTTTTGAGACCTTACTTCATGACTCTGTTCTTTATCAGTCATGTGCTCTAATATTTCGTTAGGCTGCCGTATATCATCGCGTGACTACTATAAATACTACACAACTTTACACATTGGACGTCTACTGCTGGTGTTGCGAATGTCGCACTTTACCAGAAAGCTGAAGTATTTAACATGGTTTGCACGTGACGTAATCGCACTAGGTACTGGTTGTCATTGCGAATTGTTCTTGCTGAGAAAATCAAATCCGGTTTGGCAAAATGCACGCTGCAAAAGTTTCGCGCTCAGTGCAAGCTATGTATTTGAGAGGCACACATTTTTCTTGTTGGTACATCGTCGTTAGGCACGGCGCGAGTATCTGGCACGACGAAAACGTGCTTTCTGGCAAGAGTGTTTTTACAAATAAAAGTTGTACCAACTACCCATCTGTCACTATCGTTTCCATGCCACGCTTTCTAGTCTGCGCCGAAAATGTGGGGCAGAGGAATCTTTACGACACAGTATGCTTTAAAACTACCCCCCTCTCCACTCCCTTTTTTTTTAGTTGCTCCTCAAGATACTTTTTATTCCTCAGGGATTGCCTGCTCCGTATTGAGTGGTGTTCACTCGACAATTATATTTGTGTCACTTGTTAACAGTAATTCTTCCTTGCTTTAACTTTGCACCAAACTGTGAAGGTTAAACAAAATACTGGGCGGTCGAAACTTGGAGAACTTGAGAGCGACACTCCTGTGAGACTTAGAGCGGCTGCCAACGTTCGGCTATCCCCGTGAGGCCACTAGGATCTTTCTTTTCATGTATCCCTCCCGTACATCCATGTAACGTCCGACTAATACGTCACATTTAGACCCTTTAACACTTCTATTCTCGGGACAACTTTCTGAGGCAGTTCAGCAATAACGAAAACATGTTTGGGAGCCTCAATGGTGTGCATACATGTAAAATGGGTCGTGCAGCATCTTTTTTTTTTTTTTTTTTTTTTTACCTTAAGTTCAATAAATACCGCTAAGTTGTAATCCTTGACGTTGATAACTTGCAAAAGCATCCATTAGTTTGCCCCTCCGCGAAATGGCAGACAGTCGAAAGAAAGATATGAAACAGCTTTCCCCTGCTCAACTCACAATTAGAACTATCAGCCACGTGATCTGATCCTAATATATACACCGTCAGTGTTTATCATAGTCATACGCAGGGTTGGCAAAGCAGAGAGCATGGGCTGATCTTCAGATATAACTTTAGTTGGGCTATAATGCCCGAGCCCCACTAAAGCGACAAACAGAAACAAACGACAGCGGCTAGCCTTAAACCAGAGTATTTCGCGATTTGACACGCTTTGTAGAATAAAGAAGGCTATGCTCAAACACGAGTATCATGCACACGATGGTACCATTTGCAGGCTTGTAAACACTCGTGCTAACTTCGCGAGCACCGAACAACTCAAAGCCGTATAAAGGTACCATCGCGAACATGCTGCATATGTCTGAGGCTTGTCGCTTTCGTTTGTTTCTGTTTCTAGCTCTAGTGGGACTCGGGCCCATCATAATCTTTGAGTTGAACACGAGCGTTACCCGAATGTTTGGCGACACTGGTTGTCATGAACCAGAGCATTTGACTCGGGATCATGACAATCGGGTACATCATGGTGTCACGTGACTCTCAGTGCGAAGTTGTGATGTCATGTGACGTCACGGTATCAACAACGTTAATAGATCTAGCGACGTCCTCAATTCGAATCGACTTAACGCGGTGAGTCACGTGACGTCACGGGGTCACGTAATTTGACATTACTTGACAGCATGTCTTGACATCATGACGTCACGTGACATTGTGACACATGGCTAATCATAGTGCCAATAAGAAAGCGCCGCAAAAAACCAGGATTTATTATACATTGCAATTCTGTATATGACGATTTGATCAATACGTAGAGGAATACACGTGCCAATAATAATAAATTTGTAATACTAACAAAAAAAAATACTTTGAACCGTTTTGAACCGGTTACCGTTATATTTTTTTTCGGTTCAGTTCCGGTTCAGTTCCAAGATGGCGGCGAAGATTTCGGTTCGGTTCAGTTCCGGTTCGGCTAAAAATTACGGTTCTGTTCCGGTTTTCGGTTCGGTTCGGTTCCGGTTCGACACCCTGCTATAGGCACAATGCGAGTTCTTTTTTTTTTTCCCCTTCACTTTATAAACATTTTCCTCGTAACAAAAAAAAAAAAACCTTCTAATTTTTTTTTTTTTTTTTTTTTTTTTAAGTTAAGCTGTACAGCTCTTTTAATGCAATGCCAAAAGGCCTTTAGAACATTCCGAATGAATAAATAAAAAAAAATGTATTGAATATTCTAGCTACTTCTCCGCATTGTCATCACATAGATTACTACAACTTGGCACAAGCTTTTGGACGCCTTCCGAAAAGAAGGCTGCCGCCTTGAACTTCCCTGGTCATCTAAGATCTCGGTTAATTAGCAGGACTCTAATAAGGACACATATAGTTTTCCAATTTTTTATATTAACGCGCACCCGCTCTCCTCTGTCAGTTCTGGAAAAACCTCCTCGCAAAATTACCACGGCAACGCGATGCTTGCCGCTAGACTCCTTTAAAAGTTATGAGGGATTTTTTTTAAAAAAGTTTCATTAGGAAGATGGCGGTTAACGGGTCTGACAGTGGGTCTGACAAATACGGGGATGAATAGCGTCAGCCAGTGGCGTAGCCACTGGGCGTAGCAATGGGGCGGGGGGAGGGGGAATATATATATATATATATATATATATATATATATATATATATATATATATATATATATATATATATATATATATATATTTTTTTTTTTTTTTTTAATTTTAAATACAGTTTTTTTTCCCAGCGCAAAAATTAACTTTAAATCTCCGAACGCTCATTCACCGCCGCAAGGTAGCTCTAGAGTTTCGAACCAGATGCCAAAGTTTCTGCACGGACCGACATGTCACTGACTGATTTCCTGAAAATAGGAATGGGAAAATGTGACCCGTTTTGACCCGTTTTCGGGTTCTGGCCCCATAGAGCTCCACGTATGAATTCGAGAGCTCCGTCGGCCGCCATTTTCCCATTGCAATTTTCAGAAAATCACTCACAACTTTCGAATGAAAAGATCGGTTCGCGCTGAAACTCTGGCATCTGGTTCCAGTCTAGTTCGGACCTCTAGCGCTACCTTTGGGCGGAGAACGAGCGTTCGGCAATTTATATTTATGTATTGTTTTTTTTTTGTTTTTTTGGTGAAAACGACTTTGTAAATGTTTTTAGGGGACCTTGCCATCCCACAACAAATGCTCAACTTGCGCAAAGATGCATGATCCTATAATCGTTTATTTTTATATTTTTTTATGATGAGGCTTAAAAAAAGTAGCGGCATGCGCTTTTTATTTTTTCAAACTTTAATGTTTTGTCACTTTCTTCGTGTAAATGGTGTGGAACATTTCAGCATTTTGCTTTCAGGTTTCAGTTTTGGTTCTCCAGGCTTCACGGACTTCACGCGTTCCAGGTGCCATACCTTTGAATTTAATTACATTATAATTGAACTTCAATTTTTTCTGCACGCACTCGTTATTCGAATATATTAAATACGGCTTACGAACAAAAAAATAAATAATTTTGTTAATTACTCACAAGCTAGTTGCAGCCAGTTGCATCCCGTTCCAATCCAATCCGGAGAGTGCGTCATGGCGCCTGCCTTGTTTGTAGCACGTGGATGCTTTCTCTGGTAGCGGCTGACAGCAGGACGTGAAAATGAAGAACAAGCCAGTGAAACACAAGCGTGAAAACACGTTCAGGGTAAGTTTCTTCCTTGAGGCGAACTGGAGTCAACTAGCCCGCATGCTTAGCCGACCTATCGAAATCTCCAGAAGCCAGCGTCTGATGAGCCGGCCCGTTGATATCAACCGCCGCTGTTTTGTTGTGTGCAGTTCCAGACATTCTCGGAAAGACTCTCGTCCATCAATGTGGACGTGATCCACCGAGTGGCCCTGAGGAGGGGAAACACGCCGTTCGAGAGCGAGACCTTCTTCGAGGAGGCACTGAACAAGTGGGCAGAGCTGAACTGTACCCAAGATTTCGGTAAGAGTCCTTTTCGCTTTAGGGCGGAAAACATCACCGGCGCATGTTTCTCTTCGGTTGCTTTTCGCTCTGAGCGCGACCTTCGACAGGAGACGCGTTATGTCGCAGACATCGCAGTGCAATGTGCCCCAATGTAAACCAAACGATTTTCGTTAAAGAGCACATACAATAAGCCTTTTGTCCAAATCTCCTAACCGCTGAGGAGAATGCTGGGACCTCAGGTTCACGCGCTGCAGGTACTTCCCTTTTCGGTGTAAAAGTGTGAGAGTGAATCAAACAGGGTGTTGACAAATGCACACACAGTGTCACTCGTCTGATGTTTTTGCTTTAGAACAGTTACTGCTGCAGATGCCAGCACGTGTAACTACACTCTCAGCTTAGGTAATGTAGCGAAAGGTCTACTCTAGTCACTGACAAGATGAAAATGGCAGGGCATATTTTGGACTAATGACGTTAATGTTAATAAACAGGCAAGCTGGCTTAAGTTACGTATAGTTATAACTGGAGATGACGAAAATAGAGTGACGCGTTGCTGTCCCGTCTCTTTGTTTCCGTCGTCTCCAGTTTTAACTACCTGTATTTTGGTTGCCTAACCTCTAGCACGTGCTGCTCATAGCCGTTTTTGTCATGCTTTGGCTGCGCATACACGTTAGAAGCTCACGAGGCACTGAAGTGGTGTGCAACTGAAAGACCTCCCTGCTGTCCTCCTCCTGTTAGTTGCCATAGTAGACGCATTGCCCACCGTGCATTGCTTCCTAAGTTATCTGCTCGGAGTGGGTTGAATCGGCGTATTCCGGTCGCCTGATGCAAAGTTCTCGTGTCACTGGCGCTGTTCACGACCGGCTCGCTAAGAAGAACTTTCCTCTTTCTGCAGACAAGTTGCGTTATGACATCGGAGGGGACATTCACACCCTGCCGCAGATTGTGCTGCGGAAGGCAAGTTGTTTCGATTTTCTGTTATCTCTCAAAAGTGAAGCCACCCAATGTCGGAAGGGTTTTTGATGAGCGGCTCCCTGTGTTGCAGGAAGCGATTGTGGACATTCTCAAGCAGAACCTGGCCAACCTGGACAACAGGGCCCTGGATGCCGTGCTTGAGTATGCCAGCGTGGCGTCTTTTTGTCGACGGGTTTTCTACGAACCGAAAGTGGTTCCTCGGCTGGAACGAAGCTTACTTTTAAATGCGTCGCATTTACTGGCGACGAGATGTTTTGGTTACGCCCTTTTATGGCCCCTTCTCTCAACGTCTTGACGAGGATTATTAGTTGCCAACACAAGTATGTTGATTTATCTAAAAAGTAGTGATGGACTGAATCTGCTGAACTTTAAAAGGAAAGTTTGGCAAAGATTCGGCAAACTCCTGCGCATGTGCGAGAGTGCGACGGGGCCGCGGGTCCATGGATTGCAAATGGACGCCGTGCGGTTACCATTGTACAGTGTAGTACTACCAGCGGTAGTACTACACTGTTTGATGGAAACGTCGAGGTGCAGAGTATATGGTAAATGTGCGTTCGTTGGCCTTTGTGAGTGTGGTTTTCTTCAATATTTTTTGCCTCAAAAACAGAAGATCGACCAGGAATTGACACAATCTACTTCGCAAGTGACTAATGATGCAGTACATTCTGGATAACGTGATTTTCATTTCATATTTCCAGTTGAAACATTGACTGACAAGTACTTTAAAGCACTCCTCGCCATTATAGGAATCCCGTTCTCGGCTTACAAGTAGTTTGTGCCAAAACAAAATATTATTGCTTTTTAATTAGCATTATTTCGCGGTTTTCCTCTGTCGGAATGAAACTAAACAGAACTATCATGCTTAATGTTGCACATCCGACATTCCTAACTCCAGTGATGCGATTGCTGCGCCAAACTGTGCCAAGGGGCTAACCCTGCTACATCCTGCCACATTTTTGCCAAAATATGGGTAATCTGTGCCAAGCCTGCGCCAAAGGACCAATTTCGGTCGCCTTTCAAAACCAAAACCTAAGTGAGTACCGTAATTGAGCATGCGTAAGCTAGGTGGCGCAAGCGGCCGCCCGACACAAAGTATCCTGCATCAGTCGTTCACCCTGTCCTTGCATGGTTTTTCCCGCCGTCTCTCGTTTGTCTCGTGTCTTTAAAAAAAAAAAAAACTATTTTCAACGATAGACGCGGGCGTGTGCGGACCATACCTCGGCAAACCTCACTCATGAGGGCCCTCACTCACCCTCACTCACCCTCATCTTCACAGGTGAGGTGAGGGTGAGTGAGTTTCTGAACCAGGAAAATTCATGAGTGTGAGGGTGAGTGAGGGCCTTGAGGGGGGTGAGGACCGTGAGTGCGTGAGTGGTGTGAGGGTGGTGAGTGCGTGAGGGGTGTGAGGGCCATGAGTGCGTGAGGGCAGTGAGTGGCATGAGAGATGTGAGGGTGGTGAGCGCATGAGGTGTGTGAGGGCCATGAGAGCGTGAGTGCGTGAGGCTTCCTTCAGATCGAGCATCTTTCTCAGCAATTTTGGTGTTAATGGCGGGTTGTTCTCTAGCTTTCCCTAGATCGACACGAATTGCTGAGATCGGGTCCGGCTCGAAATAAGCAAGCAACTCGGAGCGATTCGAATGCGTTTGAAGCGGCTGCATCCAATCAGGGACGCAAAATTTTCACGTGATACCTCGTGCCGGTGATGATGACATCGAAAGACTTGGTTCTGGTTTGAAATCGATAGTTTTTTTGGAAATAAACTGTTTCAGAAAGGTGCATTAGTATTATTAATAAGATTTAAATGCATAAAAAATAGTGCAAGAAAAATAAAATTTTATGATGACGATGGCAAATTGCAGCAATTGGTTGCTGCGTGTGATTGCGGGCAGCCCGTGTTGCTGGTGTTGCAACGTAAAGTTTCTGGGCGAATTTGCCCCATCTGAAGCTGGCCTGAGTGGCGTGAGGGCCATCAGTGCGTGAGGGGTGTGAGGGCCGCAAGGGCGGTAAGTGGCGTGAGGGCGGTGAGTGGCGTGAAGGCGGTGAGTGGCGTGAGGGCCATCAGTGAGGCAGGGCTGTGAGGTTCAGTGAGGGTGAGTGAAGGGCTGAAGGTGAGTGTGACTGAGGGTGAGGGTGATTGAGGGGCTGAAGGTGAGTGTAGCTGTGAGGGTGAGGGTGAGTGTGGCTGTGAGGGTGAGGGTGAGTGAGGGCGACCTAAAATGCCGACCTGTGGTGCGGACGCTCCGACACTAGCTGCGTGCTGGGTGCCAACCACGCCGTCAAGTTGTGAAACGAAACATCGTTTTTGCGCGGCGCTTCCTAAACTGAAACGTAAGGACTGCCGCATGTTCATCAACATTCCTGTTCTTGTTTAAGATGCTACTACAAAAATACCTCTAGCTCAAAGACTGCTGTGTCGAAGAATTGATTACCTAGGTTTCTCTCGTCGGTAGGCTTTAGGTCGAGAGGGACCCCAGTACTTAAAAAATCTGCTGCGAAAGAAAGTTGGTGAAGAGAGGTGAGCAGAAGCGAAGAAGGCAATGTCTGCACGCTGAACCCGCACACCACACTTGTTTGTCTTGAGCTAGTCGTTGCACAAAGCGCTCCGAGAACTTTTTGACCTTGGCTCACGATGTCTGGCATTGATGTGCTCAGGTACTTTTTTCTTCTTCTGTTGTATTTCACCTGCCAGCCTGGCAAGCGTGTGCCACTGAACCGTTTTTTGTCGTATGCTGGACAGTTACATTTTGCATGCAATTTTGGGAACGAGTTGGCGACGGAGCGGAGTGGCATGGTTTAGGTTGAACAGCCATCTCCGCTCGAGCGACAATTTTGCACTGCACTGCAGTAGTTACGTGTTTCATCAGTAGGAGACAGCTTCCATTTATTATAGAACTGGTCAACCTAATGCTGTGCTCTTTACTACTAAGCTGGTCCTTTTCAAATAAATTTGAATAGGCAGTTTTAGAATAGCGCACGCTAAAGCTTTGCGTGCGCAAAGACTAGCGTCGTTGCCACTGCGCATGCTCCGAACGCAAACCAGGTTTTGTGCTTTGCGTGCGCAATTTTAGCGTGCGCTATTTCTCGGAAATAGCGTGCGTACGCAAAGAGTCTGCGCTTCTCCAAGGAGGATTCGTGATGAGAAGTTGGCTAAAGCCAAGACGAGCAGAGTTAAAAAAATATGGCAGCTTCTAGGAATATGTCAGCGGCTGCTTTGGCGGCGTCGTGAGTGCGACGTTGGCGGCATCCTCGCGACTGCAATTTTCAATACGGGACGACATTGTACTCGGTTTGGCAACGATCACCGACAGCTTGATGCTTGTGACGCGCGAACATTTCTCGGCGAAGGTACGATGTGCGAAGGTCAGTACACGTGACCTCTCTTGCCAAGGCGACGCAAGCAGATATGACTAGTCAACCGCTCGTGTCGCATTCTCACGTTTAAACAAATCTAAAATAATACTCTGGACCAAAACACTTGTTTGTTCTCAAGTCACAGCATTTCGTGTGTGAAATAAAAATTGTAACTGTATCTTGGTGGCGTCGCAAGCGCGAGATGGTTGGGCTTTTGCGTCGCGACGGAAAAACGCTATTCTAAAACTCTCTCGCGTCGCGTGCGCTGAAATTGCATACATTATTCTAAAACTCCCTAATATGTGCAGTTTGGTTCTTGTTTACCTATAGCGGGTACATACATATGCATTATTTAACTGAAGCATTGCAAAATGTATCATCTCATTGGCATTTCAGTTACATGCTGAAAGACTCCCAGGTGGTCTAACGACTATAATTTGTTCATTGCGGCAAGCAAAGTGTCCTTCGTTTGTCCAGCACTTGAAACAAATATTTTAATTTTTCAAAGAAAATTTGCTTCAAAAGCTACTTTTGCTGCTCCGAAACACTGTTTTAGCTGCTCCAGAAGCCACTTTTGCTGCTCCAAAACACTGTTTTGGCTGCTCCAAAGGCCACTTTTGCTGCTCCAAAACGGTTTAGGCCAATCACATCACTGTAACTCCTAAACGTCCGCATATGTCCTAACATCACAAACCGGAATTTTAAAAGTTAAAAGGAGACTTTGCGAATGTGAGACGCACACTTTCATGCAAAACTGAAGTGACTCAAATTCGAAAGAAAAAAAGCCCCGCACCCCCCTCTGGCAACACCTGACACGAGAGCAGCGGCCTAGCGCGCGCTCTCGTGAAGCGGCTGCAAATGGCAACTACCTAGGAACCGTTTTGCTCGGCCAATGGGAGAATGGACATTTCATTCGCATTTTTTTTTGCGGTTACAGATGCTGCTGGCTTTGCTTCATGGGTAGTTAATACTTTCGCATTAGTAACAAGTTAGAGCTGAACTCTAGAGTATTTTTATCCCGTGAATCTGAATATCATGTCTGTTTTCATCGAAAATGTAACTAAACACAAAAGACACGATAAACTTTGACCAGTCGTTACGTCATGAAAGGATCTTTCGTCTGCCAAACGCGTGTCGCTTATGTGGGCAGCGCGTGCAAATTGCAAGCTTTTCGAGGTATATTCCCCCGCACTGACACCAGTCGTGACGTCTTTTTCTGGCCTTTTAGAGAATAGCAAGAGTGTGCATGCATAGCTTTGATAGGCGCTAAAGATGCGCGAGTGTGTAGATTCCGAAGACTTCTTTTATGACATAAAGTTCTGAGAAGAAGCTTCAGTGGTACTTTGAAAATTATTTTTTGCGGCTTCCTTCTACCAAATTGAAAAATAATATTGATATTAGTAATCCTCGAGGCCAAATGATGATGATTTAAGTGTTTTTTACTCAAATACAAAACCGCTTCAGCTTCCCTTTAAACGAACTCTGTCCTAGTAGACAGCCCAACATTACTCTAATTTTCGTCTACTAAAGCAGAATCAATTTTAAGGACGTCATAGTGAGTGTTTGGCCAATGTGGAAGGATGACGTCATAGGTGGGAAATAAGGTACTATGAAAGGTGGTAAACACACCAGTCAGAGAAGCGTTCCAGGCATTCGGCCGAGGTCGACGTTGTCTCCAAAGAACGCTCGTTAAGGGTGGTTCTCTGCATACAGGCTCACGGTTGCACTGGCGCGGGACCTGCAGAGGGACTTCTACGTCTACTTCCCGGACGTCCTGCGCCTGGTGTGCGGCCACCTGGCGACGCAGGACACGGACATCCTCGAGCGTCTCTTCGTCTGCCTGGCGTACCTCTTCAAGTTCCTCTGGCGCTACATGGTCGAGGACATCGACGCTGTCTTTGGGTCAGTGCAGGGTTTCTTTTAAAGGTGTTTCGTGGAGTTCCGTAGCGTTTGACCGTTACGGCCGGCTGCAGTGGCCGGTTGTAGTGGAGAACCGACACCAAAAGGCGTTACGTCCATAAGGAACCATATAAAGACCAGTTTCCCGGCAGGATTTGATCTCGACACCTTGAGATTGTGAGCCAAGTGCTTTGCCGACAGAGCTGTCCGGGCTCAGTGGTAGTACTGACCACGCAAGAGCGAGTTGTTTTTGCGCTTTGCGTGAATGAGTTCGCATGCTTTGCAGCCTTTCCAGTCGTGTAGCATCATCTCGCGGGTGTGTCGGAAGCGAAAGTGAATCTTCGGTAGGCGGTGCCGTTAAGTGCCCTCCTGGTTCTTTTCTGGAAGGCCTATCGCATGTTCTGTGCTTACCAGTCTTTGTAAGCATGATCAAGTTTGTACAATTGTTTTTTTATTTGGTTCTTGCGCCGTGGATACAGGTTCCGGAGACTTCTCCGCTATGCTTTTGCGCGGTCTGGAAGACGGGCACAGGCCTTGAGGAGCTTTCGGCGATTTTGCAGACGATTAAAATAATGGGAATGTGGATTTCTTTTGAGAATTAGTAGCACTGTGCAGAAGTGGAAAGCCGAATGAAGTAGTTGTATTTTTTGTAGTTTCCGACAACTTGCCTCCGACAGTCAAAACGGTGAAAAGTTGTCAGTTAGGAAGGAAGGACAGAGCAGGAGGGCAGAAAGGTTAGCTTGGGTAATTGTCCCGGCTGGCTACTTTGTGTAAGGGGAGAGGGACGGGGAGCTTAAAGGCTTTGTAAACTTGCACATACAGTAGAACACCATTCACAAATTTCTCACAGGAGCGCAGTAAAAAAAAATCACATGCTTAGAGATAATAAGTGTATTAAATGTGTTATTTGAGAGAATATTGCAACCAATTACACTCTTGGGCAGGGCTGAAGGATGGAACAGGAAGCAATAAACCTTCCTTTATTATTCATTTTTCAGGCTTTTCTGCCGTCCCCACTTCCGCTAAAGCGCTCTGCGTGTGTCTTGTTTGGGTGCCATGATGTCATAATTTATTCTGGAATAAATTATAAATAGTAGGAAGCTGAAGTGTGTTGGAGAGCGACAACATTAGCAATAACTTTTATTTGCCAAAAACTTCATCCGAGTGCCAGAACAGGCACAGTTAAAAATCTGTTGTGGAATCTCCAGGGCTGTTCGAAACAGTAGTGTAACACCTGTTAGGTAAGTTCTTGCAGAGACCTTAGGGTCCGGAGTTGTTTTAAGCCAGTAGTGAAACTACTTGACAGTTTTCACATACTGTATCTGTTAAGTATCTGAAGGGTATTGGATAGATTTCATGCCCGTAACTATGGTGTCTAGGTCCTGACAAGATGAGAATAGCAGGGCATCTTTTTCGAATGCCTGGCCTCTTGCACACACTCATTGCCTTTTGCCATGCCTTGGCTGTGCATTAAAGTTGTGCAAATATTCTAATTTTATAATAGCAGTTTTGAATAATACGCTAGTTGATATTCACTTTGAGATGAACTGCAATTTTCATACTTTTTGAAGCGTTGATCCCGGCGGGTTAGGCTTGTTGAGTGCGCTTTTCGCCGAGCATTTTTGCACTACGGGCAAGCAATACCTGTGGAGCTTGGTGGCTCAGCGTGTGTTGCTTTCTCGCTGTACACAGGTGCTCGGTGAGAAGCATACTCAACGGGGCAGTTATGCAAGACTATAGTAATTCCTCGTTATTACAAAGTCAATGGGTGGCAAAAAATTTCTATATAAGCGGTAATTCGTTAAAAGTGATAGAGCCAAAAAACAATGTTAGCAGCCTTGAAGGTGGGTGGGAACACTGCGGAACACTCTGACCGTATATTTAGTCAAACAAACCTAGGTTATGAACAACTCGCGTCAGCTTGACCGAGTAAAAAAAAATAATGAAGTGGAGTTCGCCGATAATTTTATCCGGGCATCAGTGCTTCTCGAACTGCTCCAGGCATCTCAAGAATTCTGTCACCGCCGCTGCACTCCACTTTGTTTCGAAGCTGTCAAAAGATGTTTTGCGTCTCCCCAGTTGTCGGCATTTCTCAAGGTGCCTCTCTGATGTCGCTTTGTGTTTACCCCTGCCGCACGCAAGGTCTACGATTGCGGCATCCGTGGCAGGAGCAACAATGGGAACGTCCTCATCGACAAGCGCGAACAAATCAAAGTTATCCTCGGTGGCTTTGGCAAGATGTTTTCACACACTCCTGTAGGTATCGTTGCAGCTATGGAAATCGTGCGCCGGCTCGGCAACCGTGCTTGCGAGAGAAAATCTGACGTGCTCGAAGCGGTTTGCAACCCTTCCTCTCCAGGTCACGGGCGTGCTTTCTCCTGCATGAGAAACTTTTCGAACCCGTCCAATGTTCCTTGTTTGTCTTGCGAAACAGTAGACAGCGTTGAACAGCCGATGCCAGAATGTCGAATTCTTAGGCGATTTCAGACTTGGGCTGGCCGCTTTTCTTAACCTCGCAGATCTAAGCGACTTTCGGTAAACACTCCCGATCTCCCATACGACGCAAGTGTGCGTGTAGTACGCCGCAGGCACGCGAGTCGGGGGCTCTCGAAGAAATATTTTCCTCCAGGCTCCACCGTTCCTTTGGCCTCGATTCCGACAGGAGTTGGGCAGCGCTGGCCGCGGGCGCCGGGAGTAGCGTCGGAACGTTGACGCCGCTCCCTGCCCACGTCCCCGCATCGGCGCATTGGCATCAGAAGCGGTGCTCTGCCTTCTGTCACCCGTTTACTTTGTTTTCTCAGTTTGCCGTTTGCCTTGGTGGAGAAGGTGGAGGGAACATGTGGTCTCCGTGCGCCGCCATGTAGGCTTGTGTGCTTTGGCACCTCGACCTTCTTAATAAGTGTGGCCGGCCGCCAATGCACTTGGAATAATCCGGTTAAAAATGTGTGCACTTCGGTCGGGACCACACTGAACATCGATAACAGTGATTTCGTTATAACGAGGGATTGCTGTATACGTGAGGCAGCGATGTCTTGACAACCCGCATTCATTGTTCGTGCTTGTTATTTCTTTTGTCACAGTTACAATTTAAGAAAGAATATTTACATATAGCAAGCAGATTTATGAATAGACATACCTTAAAATGCCAAGGGTAGTAGTACCCACCCACTTTCACTGCAAACTGGGTTAACCTAGACACAGGCAATCCTCCGGTCGAATCGGGCACTTGACGCATGATTTGCAAAAATTCCAAGTTAGGGAAACGTTAATAGGGGGCGCTTGGAACGAAGCAGGGGCTTCTGCGGTATTTTACGGTACTAGTTGTATTAAAATTAACTGAGCTTAGAAGTGCACAAGTGGAAGGTTGGGAACATCCTTCACGAGTTGAGCCGAATTTTTGTTCAAGCGTGTTCCACGGTAGTGAAAGGCTCGAAGAACCCATTCAATGTTCAGTTCTAAAGCATTCAGCTAAAACCACTATTCGCCTCGAATAATCCACTGTTTGCACATCCTACAGCGAGTGCACGCTCGTGACTTGAGACGCCGAAGCGGCGTCGACGGTAGGAAGTTTGTGCTTGAGGCGGAGCATCTAAAGCTGGTCCCTGCCAGTCTCATCCTGTCAGTGACTACAGTAAATACTGATTTAACAGAAATTTGGTCTATGACGGTCTGTAGCGTGAGATGATCACGGAAAAATTGATTTCCTCGCAGGCTGTACGTTCCCCTGCTGGGAAGCCAACAGAAGAAGTATGTTAGAGACTTTGCGTCGGAGAGCTTTGGCTTCCTGCTCCGAAAGGTGAGAGCATTCCTTTCAGCTTGACGCCCCGAAGGTTCGAGTTGTGACCCACGGGGATCGAAATCGCTCTGTCTGCCCAGGTGCCGGACAAGCAGAAGCTTGTGGATATGATGTTGAAACGCCTGGAGACAGACCCCCAGGTGAGAGGTTGAAGACGTAGGCGTCACTCATTCTCTTGTGCGGGTAGAGGTGTCCAGCCAGTCTGAAGCGTGCATTCTCCCCTTTTTTTTTAAACTCTTATTTATATATTTAATACTTGCCAGGCCTTTCTGCATTACGGCAGGTTACAGCTTCTGTTTAACTATAACAAGTTAATAATCTCCCAGAGCTGACGGTGCCTCCTATTTTAAAGGCGGCATGCCCATTTTCTCTCTCTGCATATAACTGGGAAACGTCCTACCCTTGAATGTAGCTTCTACCAAGAAGATCCTCAACTTGTGAAACTAATTGTGCTTATATTAGGTGGGTGGGTACAGGATATTTGCCATTTGATTTGCTAGTCCATTTCCACAAATTACGACAATTGGCTTTCGCGGGCTTGCTGGGAAGCATCTGCAGGTTTCTCTCAGACGGGTGTGGGCTACGTGCGTGAAAGTACGCCGATGCTTTCCATTTTATTTGTTGTCAACCCACATCTCTAGGAAAGCCCCATACCTTACCTTCTGAGTAATACTTTGAAACGAAGGCCAGCATTTGGTCGCTGTCTTACTTTGCCACATAATGGTCGGCTGCTCTTCGGCCACCGGTCTTTGTGGCCCTTTCCTTGAGCATACTCGCTGTTATAACGTTGCCACGTGACTGAGACGTTTGTCTGACTTTGGCAGTACGCCGACGGCGTTGGTCGCCTGCTCTACGAGGCGGTCAAGGGAGTGAAGGGACAGACGCACAGCTGCATGGCTGCGGTGAGTGTCTCTTTCCTCTGGTCCTCGCGGAAGTCCAGTTGTCCGGTTGGTGGCGTCGTCAGCCGTACCCCGGAGTTGCGCTTTCCCTTCGGCAAAGGCGACCCGAGACGTTTCTTCGGTCGCAGGTGCTTTCGCCGGCGTTGCGTCGTCTGGACGGTTCTGTGGGCAGCGTGGACGTGAATCGGCAGGTCCTCCGCATGACCTTTACCTCCCTGGCCGGTCACCTCTGCGGGCAGCCCCCCAGCTCGTCGGCACCCGTCTGGCAGTGCCTCCTGGTACCGTGCTTGCCCGCTATTTCTGTCGTACTGCATAGGGGTTTGCGAAAATTAAACTTGCGCGCATTTCAAGTACGAATATCTAAATTTGACAATGAATCGAATACGAATATTGAAATAATACCGTGAATGGAATTCATATCTTTTTGAATACAAATATTTTACGTTTAATAGGAATTGGTTGTGGGTACTTTAAAAAAATCCCAGCTGGAAATCTTTTTTTTAAAGAAAGTATACCTATTAAAAGGAAAATTTTTTGTTACGTGAGAAACTTTTCACAGACTTGGACGAAAAAAAGAAAAAAAAAATGAAAAAGGCCCTGATGAGATGAGTTGAGTAAAACAACGTAACAGGAAAGCAAAGCGATGACTACATTATTTGAATATAACTTGTGGTTTCTTTTTCCAGCGCAGTCTTTTTAGAATTGGGGGTCAAACTATAATTATAGCCAAAAGAAGGCTGATGTAGAGTAGCAAGAAAAATTTCAGAAACTATATTAGTTGACCGAGGCGCTCCAACATGTCGGCCATTTCTCCTAGCTCGCCGGTGCAAAGCAGTGAAGCTGGTTGCCAGAGTGCCGGTGCAAAGCAGGAAAGCTTGATACAAGCAGTCTGAGAGTTCTGACGACACTATTCCTAACTTTCAAATATTTGTAGAGCTCAAATACTACGAACAGTACAAGTAGGCTGTGAATCGAATAGCAAACCCTATTTGCGAGGCATTAGAAGTTTTGAATATCTATGCATTGCCAATGCCGTGCTTTTTTGCTCCTCGCCACATAGAGGTGTGCTCTTGCAGTGCCGCCCTCTACCGAAACTCTGGAGTTGCGAGAATGTCGTAAGACGAGGAGGCTGGAAAGCTTATTTTGAAGGCTCACCTAAGTGGATTTTTTTTCTCCGACCAAATGCAAGGGCCCAACACACTTCGCTATAAAAATATAGTGCAGTCCACTTATAACGATAATGGGAAAACCCGAAAATGCAATTGTTATAACCGATTATTGTTGTATCTGGTCTGAAAACTGATCATTTCTGGTCTAAAAACATTATAAACTGGTCGTTATAAGCGGTATATCGTTATAACTGAATTGCACTGTATTGCGCATTAATTCGAAGGTTCGTTCTTATCTCCTCAAGCCATGGAGGTTCCGGGAGTATGAAGACCTCGCAGTCATAGCTAGCTTACTCACTATTCGGAGTGGAGATTACATAGACCACACTGCTGCGTGACCAACTACGCTCACTCTCAGTATCAACAATCTTTCTTGCTACGTCCCCACACTGTTGCGGAAACATGTGGCTTTGTCTTTTGTCCAGTTTGCACAGGCTTTCGTGCAAGCCGTGCATGAAACAACACTGTCAAAGTGCAAGTAGCTTTGACAGTGATGGTGCACTGTTGAAGCTACTCTAGTTTTGACAATGTAGCACGATATAGTTGACGTCGAGGCTCGACGGTGGGCAATTTCGTAAGCTCTGCTTCATTCCCGTTCTAGCTTCGGGTAATTTGGATGAGTATTGTTTGTCAGAATGGGAAGTTTACTTCGCCGAAAAATTGGCCATACGTGAGTAGGTGTGCTGAACTTGGTGAAACTTTTAAAAACAGACACAATCCAGGAAAAAAATGAAAATTCTGCAAAAAAGTTGATTTTGAAAATCGCCTTATTCACATCCACCAACAACTAGAAAGTATTCCCAGAAAAGTAAATTTGTTTACACTAAAGTTTTTTTTTTTTTCTTTTTTTATAAATTATTTTTTGGTCCATTGATGCTAATGAAAAGGTATGAGGTACAAGCACATTGAATGCGTTTTTCTTGTTCCTCTCTTTGACATAAATTTTGATTTAGAAAAACTCGTTTGGGAAGGGGACAAAAGGGGAGGCTCACTCATTGTTTTTCCTAGCTGAAATTTAATGGACAATGCAACTGTGGCATTGTTTTATTGCTTTGTGGATGTCTTTTATAAAAGATGTTAGGATTTTGTCAACAACATAAAAGGCAAGAAATTTATCTGATTTTTCAGTGCAATGTTAGCATAAAATAAATTACTTTTTGGAAATTTTGTTTTTACAGTTGCACTGTCCAGGCGTTCTGCTGCATATCTTGTGAAAAAAAATGTTGGGTGTCACATTAGTTGTTTAACAGTAGTTTTTCTGAACACTGTGAGTGTGTTCCTGATAAAAACAACGAATTTCTTTCACAATTTATGTATACCAATGAAACTTTGCACTGCATTCTGCCTCACAATTGCCACTATGTACCGTAAATGTCATTCATATTTAGCCAAAGGTTCAAAAGTTGACTTTTTTTGGTGATGTCCTTCCTTAAAAGGGAATTGTGCCGATTTTTTTTTTAGCTACCTAATCTGAAGGCATCATCTGAATGCAATGGCTTCCTGATTTTAAAATGCTATCTCATTCCCCCAGATTTCCTCTAGTTAATTAAAAATGTGATATTTTGGTCGCTGCTGAAATTGAAGCATCGTTCTCCCTAGTTTTTCCCCAATTTTCCCCGCCACGCAAACGTTACGTCACCGGCGGGCAGCGAGGCGCGTGGCCAGCAATCGGGTATGCGCGCGCCCGCCTTTCTCGCTTCTAACAGCGAGAAAACAGGGGCGTTCGTGCTATCTGAAGTTGATAATAATCTGTAGTTACACAATTGAGATTTTGAGAAAGCCGTTTTTGCCTATGCACTAAAGCTGCTGCTCGCTAGTTTCGTAAAATCGCTAGCAAGTCTGTTCTCTCTCTACTCGGAAGCTTGCAGTTACACTGGCGAAAAAAGGTCGAAGAGGCATGGAATAAATCTTTTTTTTTTTTTACATTATCCATGCATTCCGTAGAATGCGCAGAATGTGGGTACACATGCCCCACATGCTCATTTTACCTAAAGGAACGGGCAATTTGTTTTAGATTTTCTTTAGAAAAGTTACTGTTGCAGATGCCAGCACGTGCTAGTACTATTGTTGCATGCACATGCTTTTTGGTGGTTAAGTAATTTAGCAAAATGTCTATAGACCATTAGAGAAAAGTGCTTCTGGTCGGTGCAATTTTCAGCGCACGTGTGTGTGGTGCATAGTACCTTGCACGCTTTTCAAAGCGGCGAAGATGCTTGGTCTGTGACCTAACGCATGTAGACTGATTCTCATAAACATTGAAATGTGTAAAATGGAATTAACTGCATTTGTGTAGTCCAGATGGCAGGTTATTTTTTTCATGAAGATTGCGCTAAAATGAATATTAAAAGAACTTTGCAACCACCAAGCCAAACATCAGAGTGCAGGGAAAGGCGCATAAAATACACTATTCATTATTTTCTTGAAATATTTTGCTATAAAATATTTTGGTTATCAGTTTAGAAAGGGTTATTGATGCAGTCTGCCGATCTCCTGCCAAATCGAAGTCTATTGAAAAATTGGCAGAGCCTTGTAGGGGTTTCTTATGAAGTACCAGCACTAAGACCGGGCTACGCGACGGGCACAGGATGCAGTGACCAAGAGCGTGGGTCGGCTCAGAGAGGGCGGTGACAGGACGCACCTCGAGAACCTGGTGGCAACAGTGCGGGTCTGGGTGGATTTCAAGGACGGAGTCCTGGTTAGGGGAAGCACCGTCGTGCCCCAGGTGAGACCGTCTGGATGCTTGCCCGTGCCTCGACTTACCTTAGAGACGTACTAGGGTAGCCATTGCAACCGTGCCTCAGTTCTAATCCAGACAGATCGGCCCTCGTTCTGCATCACGTGTCGGTCGAGCGGTCATCCAGCCTATCGCATCATTAAAATAGGTTGCATAACTCGGCCAGTTAGCTGGGCCTTTAAAGATGGTTCACCCTTCTGCATTTTGGTGGGATCGACTGCATTGAGTCCACCTACAGCGAGACTACACTTCCTATGTGCATATAAGTAGACTGAAGGTTCTGCAGTGTTTTTTGAGATCAAATCTACACAATATGAGAAGTAATCGCTTATGACATTGTCAAAATTTTTTCGACCTCACAGCGAAAGAATGATAACTGATTGGAGGTGTTCTAGGTCTGCCCAGTAGACGGCACAAGTGCATTTTCTCATCGTAAAGGGTCACCGGTGGTTGCCATGTACTAGCCGATCACATTGGAGTGCAAATGTGCAACCCAGCCTTTATTTGCTTCAAAATGAGGGCACCAAAGGATAGACAAGAAATTGGCGTGTCAGGAAATTTGAAGATCCACCATGATTACGGGTACGGCGGGGATTGCGCCCTTTGCATGGCCCGCCGGCAATATCGCTTGCAGATCCTGGAAGTTGCGTCAGGCGTTGGCGACGTCTCTGCGGCCCTGACGACGAACTTGTTTGGGTGTGTGGCCGCCCTCCTCAAGGCTTGCGGCGTTGCCATGGCGACGAGCAACACCGTCTGCAACCTTGTGGCAAAGGCAAGGACCATTACACCTCCCTTGCGAGAGCCACCCGGAGGGTCTTGAGGACAGAACCTAGGGGGAACCTTCTTCTGTTCTAGACGTTCGAGAATGTGACACATTGTTTTGTCATTTGTGCTTGGTGCTCTTTCCTCAATTTTTCCCACTGCCCTCCTCCTCTGTGGTGCCTTCTGGCCTTGAGGGGAACATATTAAATATATAACTAAATAAATGCACAAGTTGCCTCCACCACAAACTGTTTTGCAGTCTGGAGGCCCTTCTCACGAGTTGCTTTCCCCGTCTAACTGCAGGTGTTCTCGGGAGACTTTCCGTCGGCTGCCGTGTTCGACTTCACGCTGGACGTGCTCGACTACTCCCTGTTTGAGAAGGTGAGCGGGTGTGGGCTTGCCCCGTCTCCTACTTCAGACAAGGGACGCACGCGCGAGGTGCACGCATCCTCACCGGATGGTGCCACAGTGCCAGGTGCGGGGCACTTCTTGCGAGAGCCAAGAGATGGCGCCGTAGTACACGTGGGAAGTGAAAGGGCGAGGATGAGTCGCGGGGAGCATAAATAAGTTCGATTTTTTGGATGTCTCGAAATTGTTTGAACCGGCGATTCAGTCACTGGTGCGTTAAACGTGCCAAAGGGTTGACCAGTTCCTCCTCACAGGTGGTCCTCGCTCCGCTGGTGCGATACGCGGCTCAACTGGAGGACGAGTCAGATGCTCTGGCACTGCTGACCGAGGTGGTCCTGCGGAGGCGACCCGTGGACCTCGCGCGGCCGGGGGGTTCCGGCAGCCGGCCGCTGTTTGACACCGGGTGAGGACGACGGGCGTCCTTCGAACGAAGGGGTGCTGCTTCGCCAAGTGAAACCTGGATTTCAGGTTTTCATTCTTTTGTCAGACGGAATTGTGTTCCGTTGCGACGCAGAGCCTGGCCTTGACCTCTCTAATTTTCGGCTTTCGGATTCGTTGGAACCATTGCTGTGGAGAGACACGAGCGTGGAAATGGTGGGAATTCAAGAAGGTCAATTTCGAAAGTTGTATTGTGGATATTTGGAAAACAGTTGCACAGCAGCTAAATTTAGGGGCACAGAAGTCCGCCAACGTCTTGACTGCCAAATTTAGCCATATTAATAAATTATTTATCAATAATAAATGTTGGTAAGTAATTATTTATAAGGAAAAAGGTGTACACATCTTTTCTTTGCATATTCTCTCTCCTGAATAGGACTAAGATACATTCATTACAGCAACAGCTGTTAGGGGCTCTTCCCACTGCTAGAAATGCCGTCCGTTGTTGATGTTGTAGTAGCGGTAGTAGTTGCTGTTGTTGGCAGTGTAGGGCGTCCGTCGTCGATGTTGCGAAATCCTCGAAAAAGATCACCCGCTGCCCGCGGGAATCGATCCTGGGTCCACTGCTTGGGAAGCGGAGGCGTTAGCGTTGAGCTACGCCACAGCACGAACGACTCACTCTAAACTTGGGGATTTTGTAGTATCCAGTGCCCACTGCATGCACTCTCTGGAAAAAAGAAAAGTAGCCTATAACAAAATGTTGTAGCACTGCCATTGTCTAGAGCATGTTCTCTGGAACAAAAAATAAACAAAAGTGTTTAAAACAAAATGGAACAAAGCGGATGTCTATTTTGTTCCGAACGCTTTGCCGCGATGTGTCGCAGCTATCGCTGTGTCTCTACTGTGAGTTGACGCAGGACTGCTGAATTTTCTTTTTTGTCTGCATCAATTAAGCTATGGTTTTTCAAAATATTTCATTCAGTGTAGTCTAATTATTGTAAGCACTTCAAAAATTCCCGAATTAATCGAAATAGAAGGGCATAAACTTCGAGCCTTTTTTCTTTTTTATTCCTACTTCCTCTCAGCTCGACCCATGTTCTCAGCTGCCCAACTGAGATTGCTCAATTGAAACGGCTCGATTGAAGCTGCCCAATTGTTTGACAACCGGGTGACCCAGCCTCCTATGTCTGCCCTCTGCGAGAGAGTCCCCACGCGCGTTTCTGGCGCTATTCCCGAGCAATCTTTCCAGTGTAACAAATGCGCTTTGACCGACCGCCGCACCCTCTGTCTCCTCCCCAGGTGTAGTGCGGTGGTCACTCTCTCGCGGGTGGTTGCGAGGATGCTGTCCCTGGACGTGGCAGGCTCCCTGGAACGTGTCTGGGCCGGCCTCGTCTGCCTGCCACACTTTGCGTGAGTCTGCTCGCTGGCAGTGTGCATTATATCCAGTGGTTGAAGCCCTTTTGCTTCCGTAACCATTTTTTATGCTGATTTGTTTTATGAACGCAAGAAGCCTCCGATGCAAATCAATTTGCAATGCCCGCTCAACATTTTTTGAACCTTTGGTTAAGGCGGAATGCAGTCGGGGCTGTTTAATATGGGCTCCGTTAAAATGGATACCTCGCTCTGGAGACAAAATGTTCAGGATGAACTGGGTAAATACATCCATTTTTATCTCGTTATTATGGACAATAGTTTGGGGGAACGGAGGTGTCTATATTAATGAGTTATGACTGTCAAACCAGGTAACGAAAAAAATTGGCAAAGACGGGGTCCCCCCCCCCCCCCCCCCCCCCCCCCCCCCCCCCCCCCCCCCCCGACAGTCATGAGGTTTCAGTAGATGGTTCTAATGACAATCTCGATAATGATACGACGCCTGTTCAAAGGCGCCGGTTGAGTATCAGTTTGTGAGTATCGAAGTTATCAAAACAAATTACGGTACTAAAGTCTTTTGAGTCGCAAAATTCGCAAAAATTAAGTTGTTTACAGTTTACCAACCAGAAAAATGGCATTGGCACGGATACAGTAACTCTGTGTCATCGTAAGATAAAAGATGACGGGAAGCTCTCGTCTGTGGCTGCTGGTCCGTATGGCGGATTTGTTGGAGGACACTCATTCGAGTTGCCTGTTGTAGGTCCCTCGTCGGTGATGACGAGCTGGAGAAGGCGTTGCCACCGTTGATCTCTGCCCTACACGACCGCCTGACGATCGGACCGCCCAGACCCCTCTCCCTCGTCCTGGTCCAGGCGATGTCGTCTGCCGTGCTCTGCAACCTCGGCGGCGTCCTCACCTCCTGCCTCGGCTGCCAAGACTTCGTGGAGCTGCTCAGGTGGGGCTCGTAGCTTCGCCGCAAAACCGACCACCACCCAATTCTAGTGCAGCCTCTCTTTTCTTTGCTTTCTTTGAACGGAAGTTTCGGGTTTTAGATGGAGATATTTGTAAGCAGCCAGGCTTCAAAAGTTAGTCTGACCACCGTGGACGAAAAGTGCCTTGTTGGGGTGCAAGTCCGGCGACCGGGGGCATGGCTTAGCAAGGCGCAGAGTCGGTGGGGTGGACAACTTAATAACAAACGGAATTTAGAGCACCATTTTAAAGGGAGGGGTATTGAATGTTTCTAGGCTAAGGGGTGGTGTGGACAAATTCCAGCTTGTTTGTAAAGAGTAGATTGACCTATCACCAATAAAATGTGTCCAGTTATCTATCCAGGCTTGACTATTGGACGATCTGTAAAAGCCAGCAGCAAGATGACAGTGCCCAGAGGCTGCACTTGCTAATGTATGCACCACAGAATAACTTGGGCAATTTGAGTGTCTCTACGGATGTCTGATGTCGCAGTACCGCATCCGTGGTCCGTTAAATTGTCCACTCCTACAGCTTGAGGTACAGCTGCAACGGAAAAAGATTAGCACAAGTCATCGATGACCGGAGCGGCCAAGTTGCGACACGGGGATGGCCAACAGAAAGCAGCCCATCCAATAGCCCACATTTCGAAAGCAACCTTTTCCCTCACTTTTCGGCCGAGCAACGCGCCAATATGGTTACGCACGTAAGCCCATTTATTAATTCTTTTGTGTTTTACAGCGGAGCTGTTCGGGGCTAGTTTCCCCAGTATCGTGTCCGTAAGCAAACAAATGTTGACACAAAATTTTGGACAGGTACCGCCATCTTTGAGCGACAACGGCAAAATGGTTGCCGCCGTCGCTTATAGATGATGGCAACCTTTCTAGCTTTTTCCATTTTGGTTTCAACTAGAGTGGAAAGGCTGAATTTCTTTAGGCATCGTCCTATAAGTCGTCCTAGAGGTCATCCTTGAGGTTGTCCTAGATATCGTCCTCGAGGTCGTCCTAGACGTTGTCCTCGAGGTCGTCCTAGACGTCGTCCTTGAGGTCGTCCTAGACGTCGTCCTTGAGGTCGTCCTAGACGTCATCCCTGAGGTCGTCCTAGGAGTCCTTGAGGTCGTACTAGACGTCGTCCTTGAGCCTTGAGGTTGTCTTAGAAGTTGTCTTTGAGTTTGTTTTAGACGTTGTCCTTAAGAGTCGTCCTTGAGGTTGTCCAAGAAGTTGTCCTTGAGGAATTGTGAGCGGCAGTATTTCCTTTATCGCTGTTTTTCCCTAAACCGACAATAGACCCCTTTCGAAAAACTACTCTCTGTTGGCAGCTGTGGAATCCCTGCACAGTGACAGACCAAAACCGCAACGTCACGTCAAGCTTTATATGTTTGGTTCGATTAGATGGGAAAAACACACCTACATAATAAGGTGATGAGCGCAGTGACGTAGCACTTTTAATGCTGTTTAATTGGCTCTTCAACTCCTAACCGCTCACAACGGCCACGCAAAAAAACAACAACAATAAACAGGCTTATGTGCGCAATCATGCTGGCGTATGTGAGAGATAAGATAGCTTTCGAAATGGCAGGCTTTAGAATGGGTTGCTTTCTGCCGGCCACCCCCGCTTTAGAACATGGTACATGCGTGGCACTCTCACTATCTGCACGCTCGGGAACAATAGTGCCGCACGTCCCCATTTTGTCGCTCTGGTCTTTGGTCACTTGTGCTACGTAATCTTTTTGCGGTGCAGCTGTACCTCGGCACCACTGGTGTCCTGCTGTCAATGTTCTTCGCAGTCTGTTGCTACAAGCAGTTCAGCTTATGAGAACTCGGGCTGAATCTCTCACTGACTGCGCAGCCTACATCCGGACGACCTGAACGTCCTGAGAGCAACCACTGTCTACCTGCACCACCTCAAGGACACGGGCGGTCTGGAAGACCAGCTACAGAAGCTTCTGGCAGACTTCTACAGACCCCTGGAGCTCAACCTGACATCGCCTTATGCCCAGGTGACCCGTCTGCTCTGTCTGCTCCGAGCACGTGTCTGCTTTGAGCGCGACGGCCAACACGCCTCGTGGCGAGTCGATAGCCATTAAACCGATGTCTTCTCGAAGTTCTCGAGACCGTGCACGTTAGGTACCGAGATGTCCCTTGTGCCATCTGCACCCCTGCGTTGCTTTCTCGCCTTTCGGGGATTGAGAGCGACGATGCAGAGAAGCTGACTCGGTGGCGACAGCTTCACGGGATAACAGGCCGTCTTTTCCGCCCCCGTACCAGTACCAGTGAGGTCCATGATCTTTGGCCTCTTTCACGTTGATCGAGTCGTCCTTGTTCCGATCCAGGTGAGGTTCCTGACCCTGCAGATCCTGTCCTGTCTGGGCACAGCCGACGTCGGTGCAGATGAAAAGGTGACCGCTCCCTACATCTTTTGTCGGAGAGGAGTCTCTTTGAAGAAGCGACGCATACTGCGCTACACGGTGCACAGCACCCAACTTCTCTGGTCTAGCTGGCGCATTCTGCCGCATCGTTGTGGTCGCCGAAAGAATGAGAACGGCAGGGCGTGCCTTTCGAGCCCTTGGCCTCCAGCACGTGCTCGTTGCCTTTTGTCGTGCCTTGGTTGGGCACGCGCGCTCAAGGTGCACGAAACGCTTAAGCGACATGGAAGTGGGGAAGCTAGCGCTGGAGGCGGGGCCACTGAAGCTCCTCCCTGCCATTCTCATCGTTTCAAGTACTGGCAACATTTAAAACAATAAAAAAAAAAAAAAGAAAGAAAGAAAGCAATGTTTGCTAGTTTTGGCTTGCTTTGTCATGTCACTCCAGTTCTTCGAGACCTTTGTCATTTGGGGTTTTCAGACACCTCATTCTACCTCGAACCCTGTTTTTGGCCATGATGCACGCTGGACACTTCCACAGTTGGAACCGTCTTTGGCTTGCACAATGGGTTATGTGCTCCGAGTTTTTTGTGTTCATCTGCCCCGTGTAACCAGGCGAATCTGACCTTGGGAGTCTGGGTTCTCGCAGCGCGGGGAGCTGGAGTCGGCGTCGTACGTGTTTGACCTGTGCCTGCGCGCCGAAGAGGTGCCGCTCACGGTTCAGCACTACCGGGAAAAGCTGAAGCACCTGGCTAAGCTGAATGCCGAACAGCTGACGGCATCCGGAGTCTCCCTGGAACGCTACTCCATGGTGAGTTGGGTGCAACCGACCCTCCAGAGTGTGTTCTTTTTCAGTGGCCATCTTGGACAACTTATTTTCAGTATATTAAAAAACAAAAACAAAAAAAGAACCCATGTGCTAGAATTACTTACATGTTCGCCAAGTCGTTTATTGTTATGTTATTCGAAATCCCCGAAAAGGTTAGTGTTCCTGTCTGAAAAAAATGGCTGTGTTGCTAAGTGAGCGAAGATCCGGAGTTCGAGAGTACATCGCAGGAAGAGGACAGATCGGTTGCCACACCAGCCACTTTGACGGATATTAAATTCATCGCTCTTGCCCGGCCCCTCTGCCTCAGTGGCACAGTTCTGCAGCTCGAAAACTTGCGCCGCGGAACCCAGGGGTCTTCGGATCAATTTCCTCCTCTGCCCTTTCTGACTTCTACGAGGTTCATGTTGGTACATGCGTGTAATCACTTCTGTGTGTTGAAGGTTAAGACCCCCAGGTAAGCGGTTGCACTGCACTGGCCAACTTTCCTATCCATAGGGAAGAGACCGGATGCCTCTTGGTGCAGACTGACTAGATTACTTACTTTCTCTAACAAAGGTATATTTTTTTTCTTAGGCACCAGTGCTGTACCTGCTGGGCACACTGCTGGTGAACTTCCAAGTGCTGTGGAAGCCCGTCCAGGAGATCCTGTCCAGCCACGCCTCGGCCGACGGACCTTTTTGGAGCACGTTTGTTGGCCACCTCACCCGGGTTTACGACCGCATAGGTGAGTCAGACTTCCCCCTCCTCTGTGCCCCTAGCCACAGAGGTGAAACAGGCACCTTTGCAGACCTAGTTAGTAAGAGCGCCTGCGAGCAGATCTGACGCAGTGCATATCAATATTAGTGATGCGGGCGGGTAGTTTCATTCTGACGACGTTATAGGAGGGAAGGAGTCGTTGTTGTCGAATGTCAGAAAAGGAGCAACGCCGACTTTGAACTTGTGACATGAGAAGAGCTCTAGACGAAGTTATCTTGTAGCACATGGTTTGTGAGATGTCTTTGATCATATAGTAGTTCTTTCTTGTTGCACAGAGTTTGTGAGATATCTTTGACCATATAGTAGTTCTCTTAGGTTTCTGTAGCTCATACCTAGTCAACAAAAACAGTCAAGAGGCATGTGGGATACAGAGAACTGCGGTACAGTGCACTCCACTTATAATGGCACCACATATGACAAAGTACTTCTTATAACGATCAGTGTCTAGACTTGAAACAATCAGTTTTTAGACCAGGTGCAACGATAATCGGTTTGAATGATTGAATTTTCGGGTTTTCTCATTATGTTACGATTGGATTGCACTGTACCGCAGTTCTGTGTGCCCCTCATGCTTCCTTACCGTTTTTGTTGAATTCTGGTATCCAGAAATAAGGAATGACATACAGTCGACTCTCGTTGATTCAAACTCGTGGATAATTCAAACTAGCATGCAGGTCCCGTCCTATGCGTGTCTCTATGGGAGGAAACTCCCGGTAATTCAAACTCTGCTTTATTCAAACAAATTTTTCGGTCCCCCTCGAGTTTGAATTGACGAGATTTGACTGTAGTAATTAAAACTAAAGTTTGGCCTGAGTGGATTCGTGTGGTGGATAACTTGACCGGTGACAGCAACATTGCCCACACTTGATGACTGTTGTTTGCCAAATTAAGCACAGGGGAATGCCCTGGAAACAAATAATTTGCTCAGACTGAAAAAAAAGAAATGCACACATTATTTTGAACAGATGAAACAACCTGCGTTCCAACTTTCTAACTTTCGGAGTTTAATGGCGTCCAAAATTGAACGAGAACTGCCAAGAGGCCAATGGATGGGATTCTGCAAGGATTTTTGGCAAGGCAGTGTCAGCCCGGAACCTTTTGGATTTTTTTTAATTGGTGGCACTGATATTGCCGCGCGCGCAGCTGGCCAAGTAAACAGCGCGCGCGTGGCCTAACGGTTATTGTACCTGGCTCCCACGCGAAAAGCCAGGGTTTGGTTCCTGGAAGCGACACATCTTTTTGTTTATTCCTGCAGGCTAGTATTCTGGTAAATTCGAGAATCCTGCTGCTTGTTCAAGGTCCGAATGTTCTATGCGTCAAACTTTCTACGCTGATTATTCCAGAAGCTCACGCATGTGCATAAGGTGCTCCGCTTGGCGAGCCACAGTCAGTCTCGCCCCAGCGTTCGACTCTGCTGTTACGCCGACTTCGACGCCCGCGACGCTCTGTTATTATCTTTTGTACCCTTTTATTTTTGGCACAAGTTCGCCACATTAAACGTTTATTTCTTCCTGTTTATCTATTGGTTTTTGGTCACCACCCGTGACAATATTTTGCAGCTCCTTCTCGCCCTCTCCATGGCCCGATTTCTTGTTTGAAGCCAGAAGTGATGGCCACTAGAGCTCATGTTTAATACATTTGCTTCCTAGAACTGTGCCCACATCATCTGACCGGTTGTGGAGCTCACAACAGCAGACGGGGTGTTTGGACAACAGTAGAAGAGATTACAAACCTCGGCAAGTTGGAGATGCACAGAAAAGCGAAAAGGCACAAAAATCACGAGGGTTAATAAAAGGAACGAACCTGGCATCCAGTTCGTTCATTTCCTCTAGTTGTCCCTTGCTTTTCGTGCCGTTTTCGTTTTCCCGCGCTCGGACGACTTCTGTAGGAGGTGGTGGCTCTATCACCTGCCCACGACTCCTAGTCGCCTCAGTAGCTCCTGAGACAAAATACCGGCCATGATTCCCCATGGAGCAGGTTCGAATCCCGGGGGGCAGGTTCGTTCTCGCAATCTGGTGGTGGCTTATTGGTCGATACATTGTACGCCAAAAGATTTCCATGTGGTCGACATCAATTCTCGGTCCTTCACTGGGGTGTGCCAGACTCCCTTCGTCGGCTTGGCGCGTAAAACCCACAAATTTATAACTTTTGCCCCGAACTGGTTTTCTGCGCAGAGAGTCCAGTTGTTCCCGAGGCCAACCTGGAGAGCGGGAGCAACTCGAGACTCCTGGGAGTCCTGGAAGATGCTGTGGAGTCCTCAACGTCCCCCACGGACCATCCGGACTACGTGAACCACCGTCACCTGCTCTGGGAGGCGGCTGGGCTGTTTGCGGGCGTGGCCGAACGTCGCAACAAGGACGTCGTGGCGCTCTTCTACCGCTTTCTCGAGTGAGCCCCTGTCTTTTCTGTCTTGCGTTTTTCTGGCTCGCTTTGTCGTCTTCCTGCCTCCGAGGGTGGGGGCATCCAGGAACGTGCGTGTTTCGGCTCCAAGGATGGGCGCGTTTCTAGATGGCTTTGCACGGAAAAGCTTGAAGCATTTGCGTACGGATTTTCTTTCTTGAAGAAAGTGTGATGCATTCACCTGTGGCTTTTTGTCCCCATTGCTCTAGCACGAGCCACAGGTAGGCTGTGGTCTCTTTGTACGATAGAGTGAGCTTTGTTTAGGGCAGGCATGCGCTACCTTTGCAGACTTAGTTTCAACCTAACTTGGCAAACAGCAATAACTACGGCCCCAGCGTGCCGACCAGAGGCAAGATACAGCGTGTTGTTCCAGTGCACCCCTGTGGAAAGCATTATGTGCACCACTTGTTCTTTTTGATTTGGTTTGAGGGAGCTGTAGGGCTTGCTTTTTGCCAAGTTATGCTGAAACAGACCACAGCTGAAGTTCTAAATTTCAGGTTGGGCATCGTGGCTGAGCATCAGTTTAATCTTCCTTTTTTATCAAGAAATTTGTTGGTGAGAAAGGCAGCTCTATTTCTTTTATATTGATTGCTTTGTTTTCCTTAGCCTGTTTTCGTCGAAGGCTAATCTGGAAAAGCCAGCTCACGAATTTATGAGCTTCTGTGAAGGACATGAAGAAGTGTTTACCTCAAGGTTGGGAAAGGATTTCTTGAACTTGAAGCTAGAAGTAGAAGAGTGAATATTTGTGTGGGTCGTTGCTTCGGTCGACTTTGAAGGCTGGTCAGCACAAGTTAAAGTGGACTTTTTCCTGGGTTGTTTACAGGTATACAGAGTGGTAGCAGATGGGTGTGCGACATTTTTTGGTCGCCCGCAGACCACTGTAGGCTTCGTGTCAGCAGCCAACAACAGGGGCGAAGCCGGAATAGCTGCACACTTCGAGCTCCGAACATGCTACAAATGTTTCACTCATTCCCGAAACAAGTTTGCTGCAACTCGTGTCTCTTCGGTCCACACAAGCCCCACATAACGTTTTCCAACTTGCAGGCGGGAGTTCTGGCCGAACACGCAGACGGCGCCTTACCACAGCATCCTGAAAGCAGACGACAGTGTGGCTCTGCCTGCCAAAGCGGAAGAGATGCCGGAGAAGGACGCGGACGAAGCCAGTGTCTTCATTGTTGAAGAGGAGGACGAAAATGCTGCCAACGAGGTGGCTGAGGCTGAGCAGCGGAAGAACGCCAACCGCGCCGCTCCCAAGGTCAAGCTCAAGTTGGTGAGGTAAGTGCCGTTCGGTGTCGTGTAAACGGGCGAAGACATAATTGCACATTCTCGATACTTGTAGTCGTCTGTACAAGTGTTGTGTTAATGGGGCTCCTTGTCGAGCCAAAAGTGGTTATTAGAAGCGTACGGCCTTGATTCGTGCCGAGTTGTTTGTGTGTGTGTTTTCAGGTTGGAGGCACAGTAGTAGGAACAATGTGTTGATTGTGAACCGTGCTGTTGATGCGCTCGAGTAATGCCATGTTGAGTTCCTCTTCTCGGTGGTTGTTGGCAATCTGGTGCCCTCTCTTAAGAGCACTTGGAACTTGTGGCAATACACGACGAGTGTCTGGCTACAAAGCCAGAAGTTTTTGGTCTGGTTCCATTGTATCACAGTGTCAGTGGCTCATGTGGCTGTAGACAAACCAGGAGTTTTCTCACCGGCCCTTGAAAACCTTCAAAACTATCAAATAGCGGATGTTCTTGAATCAGTGTGGATAGGAGTAACCTAATATATGATGTTTCACATCGACAAGCACAGTGCAGTGCACTGAAAGTGTCACTCTCATTACAAGTTTGGTCTGTGTTCATCCAGGCACTTGCCAACTGTACTCTCTGTTGCAAAATAACTTCAAGCTAAACAACTCCTGAGACGATTACTTGTTTTATTTACCCTCAAGGTACATTACAGAAAGGAATGAACGTACAAAAAAATGAAAGCCGTTTATAACTCCCTGCAACGCCGAATTAGAGCGCAGCTCTTGAGGAGGAGGAGGGAAGGGTACTGAGGTTCACGTATTCTCGGGGGGGGGGGGGGCCACGTGACCTTGGTGACATGACCCCCTCCCCAAGGTCACGAGGGGGTCACGGGATGTTGGGGGTGTCACGTGTCCGCGGGGGTCACGTGACCCCCCAGAGAAACTTTTCCGCTAGATTTGGCGGGGAATTTTTTCCGCTAGATTTAGCGGGGAAATTTTTCCGCTAGATTTAGCAGGGAATTTTTTTTGCTAGATCTAGCGGGGAAATTTTTCCGCTAGATTTAGCGGGGAAATTTTTCCGCTAGATTTAGTGGGTAAATTTTTCCGCTAGATTTAGCGGGTAAATTTTTTCCGCTAGATCTAGCGGGGAAATTTTTCCGCTAGATCTAGCGGGAAAATTTTTCTGCCAGATTTAGCGGGGAAATTTTCCCGCTAGATTTAGTGGGTAAATTTTTCCTCTAGGTTTAGCGGGAAATTTTACCGCTAGATTTAACGGGGACATTTTTCCGCTAGATTTAGCGGGGAAATTTACCCATAGTGCCACGCGCGGTTACGCCGACGCCGCTCAAGCCGGGAACGGGCGCCTAAGAGCTGTGCTCTAAAGAAAAGATGGCATATAAATCAATTAAGGATGCTGTTAGTAAGACTTTCTTTGAAAATAACAACATCATGAATTGCAGCGATTGAAGTGGGAGAGATGTTCCACTCATGGTGATGTTCGAGGTATGAACGAGATGTCAAATGTGCGAGTTTTGAAGCTTACTATGCCAACCTTATAAATGTGATCAAGCCGAGTGATAAGATGGTTTGAGAATGAGTTTCTAGCGAAGGAACGGGTTATAATGATAAAGCTTGTGGAATAAACACGGACAAGCATTTTTCTGGCGAGAAGACAAATTAGGTAATGCTAAGGTTGCTTTCAGGTTAGTTACACCTTCCGTACAATGATAATTTGTTAGAATGAAGCGAGCTGCTCTATTTTACATGGCTTTCAATGAAGTGGTCAAATCTTGATGACGGAGGATCCCATGCTGATGACTCATATTCTAGTTTTGAACGGACTATGCATTCATACAGATTTAGTTTCACTAAGGAAGGAGCTTGAAAGAAACTTCGTTTCAGGTAGCCTCGCATGCGGTTTGCATTGCCTGTAGCATACTTTACATCTGTGTGCCAGGGGAGATTAGAAGTTGCATAGATGCCAAGGTATTTGTACTTTTAAAAAGACTCCAGGACTTCATTTTAATGTGATATGTGGGAATAAAACTTCTTTGAAAGCACTGTCGCATTTGAAATGGTGGCTTTCACGGCTTTGGGGTCCTCGAAAAAGGCTCGTAATTAAAATCGCCCCAGCAGCCTCAAGTTTTTTTTATTTGCTACCAGAAACACGAAAGCTGTGCCACAGCAGTACAGTTGAACCTCACTTTAACGAAGTTACCAGGAGCCGCTAATTATTTCGTTAAATCGGGAACTTCGTAAAATCGAGGAAGGGAGACCTCGTGAGCATAGGCTGCGCGGGGAATCCAAATTTGTTCGTTAAATCGGGAAGTTTGTATTGTTAAATCAAGGTTCAACTGTAGTACGGGTACTAACACAAACTTTGAATGCAATCTTCATTGCATGTCTCTTTTTCCCCCTTTAGGAGCTTGTGTGATCACCTGGGAGTGCTTGCCAAGTTCACCAATCCCAAGGCGATCACCAAGAGTGAGCGGCTCTACCAGACGCACCTGGACGTGAGTGCCGGACGCCGTGATTTGATCGTTGCTTATTGATGAGGCTCTGGGCACTCGTCAATGTGTTGTGCACAAATTGACGGGCAACGAGAAGTGTGTTCCGAGCATTTTGAACTACTGGCAATTTTAAAAAATGTGTGCCTCGAGAATTTTGTTTTGTTTTTTTGGGGGAAATGGCATTTTTAAAATTAGCAGCAATTTGTCTTCTAATCTAACCAGTTTATCGTTAAAAAAAAAATAAAATAAAATATTTAGCTGTGATCTTAATTTATAAAACCTAGTGTGCTGAATTGGTGTTGAATTTGATGCAAAATCGGCACTTTCTTGGAACACACACTTTCACTCTGCAAATTAGTGGAAGGAATATCTCATTATCTAGGGCTGATTCGACAATAATTAATTTTGCTACATGTAGCTCATTGTGCCATCTTCCATTGTTGGGAGCAGATTTTTTAATATAGATCTAGCCTCTAGGAAATGTTTTAATGCTCTCATTTTTATCACTTGGTAGCAACAGACCGAACACTGAAATTTTGTGCGTTGTAATCAGCCAAGCACTACCGACATTTAATTCCTTATACTCTGTAATATCTAAGCATATGTTAATAGTGCTTTTTGAATTGAGAAACTTTTTCCTATTGCTTCCACAAAATAGGCAGGCCATTATCTAAAAAGTATTTGAAGTCGGTAGAGAAACTAAACAATTTTGTGTATTTTCATGAAGCTTGCTAAAAGAAAAAGAAAAGCATTAATTTAAGACCAGTGTTCCTCTATAGAAGACCCCTACATATACTTGCAATGCCAGTACTTGGTTCCAAGTAAATCAAGCTTTATGTACGAGAAGTCACATTGAAAAAACTTTGATTCCTCGCCTATAGGTATTAGTGTGAGGAGTGATTTAGATTGTTGGCATTGTTTTAGGAGGTTTCTGAGCAATGCTGCCTTTCTGCTTGCCCACCAACAGCTGCTGACGTTCCGAGACTCCCAGGTGCAGAAGCTGGCCTTTGCCTGCGTCGTGTCCTACGGCCACAAGTTCCTAATGCCTTACAGGTTAGACGCAACCACCGGGCATGCATTGCAACCTTCTCGACCTTATGCGGTGCGTCAATACCGCCCTCGGCCTCGCCTCTGGATTGGATTGGATTACGGCAGACCAACCCTTTGTATCGGGCGATTGCGGTGACCATTCCGAAGGTCGTTTGATGTCCCACTAGTTTCTGCCTCACGTCTCCTGTCAGTAAACTGGTCGAGTTTTTTTTTTTTTGTTCCAAAAGATGTTTCCCAGGGGTTGGGTTTTGCTTTACAAAAGAATAATATAAAGAAAGGGTGAGTGCGCAAGTTTTTTTTTTATTTATCTTGCGGGAGCATGTACAGTGCTTGCGAGCTGTCCAGGTTTAGAAGCATCAAATGGAAGGAGTATTTAAGCTGGAAAGTCGTCACCTTTCTTTCATTCGGTTTCATTTCGACACTTCCGCTTCTGTGACATTACGGCAGTTTCGTATTCCGAACCGGAAGTACTGCACGGAGATTTTTCGTTGGATGGTGACCTCTCATTCTCTGAATTCAATCCTAAGGAGTGTGGAAAGTTTTAATGGGAAGGGCCAGCGCTCCAGTCGCCACCACCGCCAAGCAGCCGACACACAAAGCGGCAATCTTGTACGTATCACGTACATGGAGCGCCTAATTTTAAAACTATAAATGACTTCAGAAAAGTGAAACACCATGCGAATATAATGTTTATAGTTCGCACAAGGCATCCCAAATGGCAGTGCCTTCCTCGGTGTGGAACTTTGAATTGTCTAATTAGCGTCGTTCATGTACGGCGATGACCGTCAAAGGGTTAAGGCAGATTCAAATGCATCTGCCAACGTTACTAAAACACTCATTCGGGAAACTAACCCTGGAAACCCGAACCGCTTGCGTTCATCAAGACCATATGGGATACGATTACAGCGCCACCCTTTAGCGGTGCCGTAATCATGGCACTGCGACATGTAGCCGTTGGCCCTTGCACGACTCAACGGAACCGGTAGAAGCGGTCGCTTAGATTCAAGAGTGGAAGCTGCAGGAAAAATGGTGTCATTGTGAGCCCGTTTACTTTGTTCTCGAGCACGAATCGGAGCCGCTTTTTCAAAGCAGGCTCCTATGGCAGTTTTCCAACTGAGCTGTTCTAGTAACGGAAACTGCTAACGACCGTGCGCCTTAAAACTTCCTAAAACTTTTTGCAACGAAAGAACACACTTTTTCGAAAAACTTATGACAATGTTATTAATGACCGTTTCTCATAGATGGTACTTACATTTGCTCTCGCGAGTACCGCAAAACCTTCACTCTAGTGAAATGTAGCTCCCGGGGCCACCTCAAAGGTGGCGCCAGCATGCCGGTGTATTGTCTCGTCGTGAGAGATAAGGAGAACTCGAGCCGTGAGCAAACGCAAGTGTGCAAACGGGCCTTTGAGGGTCGGATTGAGGGTGGCGCCATCTGTCGAGATGTCTCTGAGCGGCACGTCTTTTTTCCGCCACCCCGCTCTAGGGAGAACTTTGAGCGGTTGCTGGACGACGGCAGCTTCCGGTCGGAGCTGGTGCTGTTCAACGTGGACGACGGGGAGGAAGGGGCAGTCCATTCCGACCACCGTCCAGAGGTTGTCCCAGTCCTCCTCAGGTAAGCCCACCTGCTGCAGGATCGACGGAGTAGGAGGCGTCTCGAGCGACCGCCAGTGACGTGCATGGATGCTTGGAACTAATTCTGCTTTGCGGCGAAATTGAAATTTGCATCGTCGTCGCCGAAGCCGTGCGGGCCTGTTGTCGGCCGAATTTAGTGGGCCAACTCTCTGATAAATTTAGCGGCGCATTACTATGGGAAATGTGGTTGGTGCCACAGTGTATCATGTTATCGAAACAACAGTGAGTGTGTGGGCGTGCTGGTGATAATGAATCGTAATGTAACACCTGGGACTGTGGTGCAGAAAAAATTTGGAAACTTGCAGCTTGACGAAAAAGATGACGGCAGGAGAACGTCCCGAACGCAGCCAAATTTGTTTATTTTGCGCGCTCTGTATACACTTGATGCTGACGTCGTCGACTTTCCGCGGGTACACACTCTTTGTGGACGCTACGACTAAACCGCCTCTTAACAGCGAGATGTTGATACTGGTAGACACATTCATCTAAGCTGTACAACCCTCTCTCACAGTGGCTCTGACCTTGAGACACTTTCTTTCACAATGAATGATGCCACCTTCTTAAGGGGGAGACTACCTGGGAATGTCAGCATCGCCGGAGGGTATGTGGACGTAGCAGGAACGACGAACAGGCTGGGAGCACGCTTCCTATGATCAATGGGTTTTTCGGAACAGCGGTGGCTTATAGGAAGGAAAGGGGAGGGTAGGAGCGAGAGAAGGCCTTGTCTCAGTTGGCATGCATGTGTGGGGAAAGACAAGGATAGGAAAAGCATTGCTTCTCATACGACCCTTTGCATATCAATTCATACTTTGTGTACGACTTCTGGCTCCGACCAGAAAGCACTGCAATTGACGCATTTCCCCACATGTTTTGCTAATAATGAGTTTTGTGCGTTTTTCTTTACATTTCTTTTATGCTTTGAGAGTCTATCATTTATGCATCTCAAGGTTTGCCCCCACATACTTAAAGCCAAATGCGAGCGGGATCTCGTAGACTACATCTTCTTTCAGGGAACCAACCTCTCCCAATAAGCCTTTTGACATATCTTCTTGCTGGACCTTAAAGGTGTCGGGTGGTTCACTTTTGAAGCCTGCACTGAACATCACATCAATTCTGAACTTGTTGGCACAGGCTTTCAGATTGTGTGAAATCTGATTGAAATATGGGATCACTGTTACCTTTCTCCTTGGTTTTTATTGTCTTTACTTCTAACCTTGTACTACAAGGATAGACAGATGCACAAGTACACGTGGTCGTGTTGTTTGTGCCACTCTAGGTCACTTGACCACGTGACGTTCATCAGGCCACGCCAGTTCACAAGATGTCACGGTGCTATGTGATGTCACGGTGTCACGTGACATCTCGTTGCATCACGTCTTGACACACAATGTTACTAGACCTAAAAATGTTGACATTGTGGTGCCACGTGACATCCCAATTTTGCACCGCGAGTCGTGTGACGTCGCGTGTTGCGTGTCGCCGTGATCTTGCGTGACCCAACGTCCCACTTCTTTCACAAACCACTGCTCAGGTTTGCTTATGTGTTGCCAACACATTTTGCTTACGGGACGTCTGCGCAATAGATAGGAGCACCCCAAGTGTTTCATTTGCCCACGTGGTTAAGCGGGGTGGTGCCGCTGGGAGACCAGACCCGTGTAAAGCTCTGCGAGGTCGCGCATTACTTCGAAACACGGGTCCGGGCGTGACGGAGGAAGCGTCGCCACTTGCAGGATCCTGTACGGCAAGATGCACACGCGGTCTGGCTCGGCCACCGGAGGAAAGGGCAGCTTCAGCGCTCGTCAGGGGGCCGTGCTCCGCTTCCTGGCCAACTGCCGCCAGGACGAGCTTGTTTCGTTCCTCCACCTCGAAGTGGCCACCCTCCGGGAGTACCTGGAAGGTGAATTAGTCAATTGGGACCCCCGAGGGGGGGTCTTTTTGTCTTCTGTATGTGAAGAGAAACTGAAGGAGAGGGAAGAGGAGAGAGTGCGGTGACGTCGGAGCGCCGAGCTGCGATTGGAAGGATTAGTGAGTAGATGCGGAGGCTAGTTGCCTTTGTCTCTGCTCACGTTTTTCTCCAGTGAGATCAAACAGGAACGTCGTCCGCTTCTCGCTCAGGGTCTGGCATTTGGCGTTCGAACGCCAGACTTTGCACGGAGACGAGAGCTGTGGGGGCGTCCGTCGCACACTCTTGTCCCCTCCTCCTTCAGTTTCTCTTTGTTTAGTCGTTGACGGAATGAGAACAATGGCGTGTCTCTTTTGGTAGTTTGGCCTCCGGCACCCACTTGTTGCCTTCCGCCGTGCTTTGGCCAGGTGTGCATGTCCGAAGTCACAAGGCAGAAAGCTCGGACCGGAGGCGGAACAACTGATGGACCTCCCTGTCTATCTCATTTTGTCTGCCGGTGATTATAGTTGTGCTGCGAGGCACGGGCGTCTTTCACTTTGACGTCATGCCCCAGCATTTGCTTTTTATTTTCGTTGGTTGTAGTGTTGGTGAGCTTCCATGGTGGCTTTTGTGAGCTTCCATGGTGACTTACTCACATAAAGAATGGGGGTTTATTTTTTTGGCTCGTTGTCACCGAGACACCCGGTGCAGGCTTTTGGGTTCCTGGGCTTGTGAAGCATTTGCGGTGTGTCTCCATTGTACGGTTTGTTTCTATACGATAGAACCCTGTTCTACATTGGAGTTACGTGATACCAGCATTGGCGAGCGTAACAGCCGGGAAAACGTATCGTTCGAGTGCAAGGTTCTATATTACATATCTAGTGCAAGCAGAAACGGCCGCTGTGCCGTCCCCTTAGCTTCGTTGTCTAAACATTTGCACCGTCATTGCTTACGCTTGTTGTCTTGCCTCGATGAGAATGCTGTGCAGGGGCCCTAATCTGGACACTTGGCGAAAAATTCGGCGAGAAATCCGGCGGCTGTGATTGGCCGACGCCGAACTCGACCTTGGCGCCGGCCTATCACAGTCGCCCAATTTCTCGCCGACTTTCTTGCCAAGTGTCTAGATTAGGGCCCCAGGACTGGGTTTTTATGATGGTGAGCACAAACGCAGGAACACAGTTGGTACAACTGATTGCCATTTTTTTCCTTGCATTGTTCTTGCAACTGAAAAGTTGTCACCAAGATTGCTGGTTTGGTGGTATGTACTCGTCCCATGCAAGATAAACGGCAAAGTGTAATGTTTGTCATTGTGCCGAGGCAAAACACGCGAATGTGTCGAATTCCTGTTTGCGCTAGCGCCGTCGTGCCGTGTACACGAGCACTTTTTGAATTCACAGAGGACATCTCAGCAATGGTGGCAAAGATACAGGCAACCCTGGATTTGGCCAAGGTCGTGCCCATACGGCGTCTGCACGGGTGAGTTTTGGGGGCTGGGTCAGGAGAGCTCCTAGTAGCTGGGGCAATGCTTGTTTCAGCTCTTGTCAAACTCGGACGTCGTCATTGGAACAAATGTTGCATATGTATTTGGTTAGTGTTCATTTCCCCAGGAGGAAGTGGTGGATACCCTCTCATGTGGTCAAAACTAGGTTGAACTTCTTATGAGGGGATCCCAGGCATACATAGTTTGTGCAGCAAGGAGCAAGGTCTACTAGAAATAAGCGTCATATAACAGTCATTAAACATGGACATCGGCATTGCATTAATTAATTTTTTAATGCATTTTATTGTATGTGTGTCTCGTTGAGGCATTTTATTAGAATTTATTTTCGGTAATGCAGTTTCTCAGGCACATGCAAGCGTCAGCAATTATAAAAAATAAGAATGTGACTTCATTATTGCTACTTTGTACCAAAAACTGCAAAGGTAGGACGACAGTTATTTCACCAGAGCGTGCTATATGCCACATGACAGTAAGGTGCCATATAATAGAAAAAAAAAAAAAAAAACTTTTAGCGAACCTTAGATGCAATTAGCTCAGGATGCGACGGACACATTTACGATTCCCGTCGACTTCATTACGACTGGATTCGAACGTAGCGTGCTGGCTGGAATCTGCCTTGCAGAGTAAGCTCGCAGTGTTGACGAAGCTCGCAGACATTCAAAGCCGACGGCCTTTCATTTGCGTCTTGCCGCAGGACACTTGGCACGGTGGAGAACGTGCTGCGCCACCTGGGTGCCCTGAGCCCCGGCCTACTGCCCACACTCCTCAAGCTGACGGTGGCGGTGACCACGTACGCCAGCGCCATCTTGGGCCACAAGGAGAAGGTGGTGCGGCCGCTGGTGGCAGCCACGCGGGCGCTCAGGGCCCAGGGAGTCAAGATGCTCACGCAGGTACCACGTTTTCCGAACCATGGGTCCGCACCCGATGAACATATCCAGTCGGTGCCGGTTTTGTTGCGGAGGGTAGAGATTTTTTAAAAAGAAAAAAAGCTGCGATGGCTACACTATTGCAGTCTGTGCGGATGAGTTACATGGCTGGAGGGACATAATACGGGAGGACTAATAATTGCAATACGTGAAGTAATTAACCGAATTGTTTTTAAATAACTTTTTGATTGGTGCAAATGAAGGTATGCTTCCAATTAGAAACTTGCTCAGCATCGTTGAAAAGCACCAAGTAAGTAAATTTGAGAAAAATTTGGGGCATGTGGGGAAGGGCAGTGGTATGCTAATGTTGCCAGTCGTGCAACAGGCACAAGGCATGTGGTACAGAACCGTGCACGTCTCTATTTCTTATTCGCATTTCTGCACCGCCAGCATTGTGCCTGTCGCACAAGTGCTAACTTTAGGTCACCATCGCGCTTCCCACACACCCTAATTCTTTCTAAGGTTTACCTATTTTCAGTCATGTGTGAATAGTGAAATTAGAGCTTGAAGCGAATAGTGGTTTTGGCCGAATATCTTCGAAATGGTTTTTTCATGCCTTTCACTGTTGTAACCCTGCCTAAACAAAAACCCAGCTAAACTCGTGAAGGTTGTTCCCAAGCTTCAACCCATCCATTTATAAGCTAATTTTAATGTAGCTATATTTACGGACAGTGACCTCAGAAATTCCGATGCCTTGAGACGGCAAGTAGACAGAGGGTCGGACACACGACAAAATTTGCAGTTATTCCTAAGACGACTTGAAGGCGAAAGCACAAGCGCAGATCCCGGTGATGGCGAACCTCCGAAGACGGCGCGCTCTCTGGCGACGCGCTTTTGGCGCCGTTAATCTCGCAGCATGTTGTACGCCCTCTCTTCACCGTTGCCCGAGCGAGAGCGTCCCTCTCCCGCTGGGTTTGCGCCGCGCGTGTGCGCCTCCGCCGACTCTGGCACAAGCGACGCCATCTCGTGGTCTAGTGGCGAACCGTGCTACATGCAAACATTTGTTCTTCAATCAAGAACTAGAAAAAAAAGAAAGTGAGCAGCCCTGTTTTAATCCACAATAGAGTCACAGCGACAGCTGCCACACGTCACAGCGAAGTCGTTGGGCGTCAGCCTCTCGTTCACGCGCCATGGGTTCGGGAACAACAGCGTTCCGATCCAAAATGAACATCCGACTGTTTTGTTTCAAATGCTCGTGTTTCTTTTCTTGTTCTGGAGAGGGTAAAAGCGCAACTATTTACAACTATCGCTGTAAGAAAAAAGAATCAGGAATGTCAGTCACTTGTTGTTGTCGTAGTTTAGTTTAAGAATCCCAAAGGGTCTGGGGACCCCTTGGAGTTCTTGAAGGCCGTCTTAAGGTCCTTGAAGCCTTGGACCGTCAGTCAAGCCAAGTGGTAAAACTTTTCTTTTTAATTTATTCTGCTTGACCCACAAAGCAAAATAGACCCAGCCATGTGCACTGAATGGAAGGGTCGATTACCGTTTTAGAGCCTCGAAGTTGGTTTGATGGTTTGCACGCATTTAGTTTTCTTCATTGACACTTTTGCCATTGTAATCTTCCATTGCCCTCTCCTCTCTCCCGATTAAGGGGAGACATAGGTCTTTGGAGCCAAAAAGTCCCTAAAAAACAGTTTTTTTGAAAATGGCAATGTTGAAATTTACAGCTATTTCTCTTTTGATTTGCCAAGAGTTTCTTATTTTGAAGATTAATATTTGAACCATAATATCACTTTATATTATCTGTGTGGGCTGAAATTGCACTGAAGCTGATGCTAAAACAACACTTCCTCAAACACAAATTTTGGACTCCTTACAAATTTTTAGTAGTGATATTTCAGCATGTAGGGCAGACAGAAATATAAATTTCTTTAGAAACATGTAGCGAAAGGTGCAAAGCATGCAATGGTTGGAAGCAGCTTTTTCAATATAGGTGTAGGAAAATTTTTAACTGAGCTATTGTTTTATTGCTTGGTAGCCAGACATTGAGCACTGAACTTCAATGTGTTGTAAAGTCACAAATAATGGTTCAATCTAAAAAGTACCTCCGACATTACATTCTTCGTAATTTGTAGTACCTGACCCTATATTAAAACATTCTTTTAAAAAAAAATGTATTTTTTACTTTTGCTTTGGGAAGCAAAGTTTTTTAATTATAATTATCCTGAGAACTAACATGCTAATTTTAAAAAGTAACAGATAATTGAAAATGGCACAAAAGTCTGAACAAGCTTGTGCTGCTTCATTGGGCTTGGCCAAAAAAATAAGGAAGAAAGCTCCAAGATCAGTGTTCCCCCTTAATAGAGTCCCCCATCCTTTTTGTTCATACAGAAGGGGTCCTCAAAAGTATGTTGTGTCCCTCTAGTTGTATAACTCGCCTTTCCTAACTGCACTAGTGTAGCTTTCACAGCTTTTTTAAAACAAATCTGTAAAAACAAAAAAAAACACACCCTGCATGGTCAGTTTATGGCGGTCTGGGCTCAGGGGCACTCACCCTCACCTTTGTTCTTTCCTTCCTGCAGTTCTTCGAGAAGTTCGACACCTACGAATTCACTCCGGCAGAAATCGATGCGGTCTTCGAGTCGGCAGTCTGGCCTCTGGTGCGTACACCCGCTACCTGAATAGCATAGGTTTGAGGGCGGTTTCAGACAACACAGGTAGATCTGAAGTTCGGAAATCTCTAAAACACTAAGTGCTGCAACGCAACAGACTTCTGTCATTCGTGACCTCCATTTATATCAATTTGATGCCCGCACTGTGGCATTAAAGGGTGAGGGGTTCGACTGGGCTTTTGGTCTCACAATCGAATGTGTGACACAAAAATCTAGGGCTGGTAGGTCTTATGTTAAGGGGGATTGCCATAAATATTGCACTTGTTGTTTTTCTGTTTTTTTTTCTTCGAACAAATGGACAGGCCCGAAACATAATACATACATAAATACTTTTTTTTTTTTATCTCAAAGTATGTTTTTTGGCTGCCATCGTGTATTTTGCCACCTGGACCGGACGAGCGGCCACCGAGTCTCGATTTCAGTCTATTTATTCTGGTTGGGCACTTGTACTGCACTTCACAGCGAACTGGCCGGGTGACCCGGTGGCTTGTTAACAAATACTCCCACCTTTTCCAGCTGCCCATTGTAGAAGAGCTGGGGGGAAGACAGTTGCCGACGCCACTGCTCAAGTTCTTCCTCGCCCTAAGCCGCAACCCGAGGTAAGGCGAATTTGCTCGCAACATCGTTGCATTTACGCGTCTATAGCTGAGAATTTCCGGTGGAGCAAATCCGTGCACCCATTGACTGCTACGGAGCAGTCCATACTTTGAAAACTTTCTCGGAAAGTGTTGTTGAGTGGAGCTCAATGTCAAGGTTAGCTCACACACTCGCAACTATACTCCGTTTCACCTTACATCCGAGCGTAGCCGATGCTACGAGCCATCGGAGCCAGTCCCAGGTTGTGCGAGTGTCACGTGACCTTGGAGAGGGGGCACAGCGACGTGAGGAAAGTGTATCACGGGCTACGCCCACAGAGTGGGATTGGATAGGATAGCTCGTAGAGTCCGCTGCGTCCAGAAGTAAGGTGAAACGGAGTATACTCAGGAACTAGTGCCCAAAAATCTCATACAACAAGAGAACACACTAGCGCTCTCCGTTGGACAGCCATGGAGCTTGCCGCCAGCGCACTCTCGCCAGCCGCGCAAACACAACTGTCACAAGAGATCGGTCCTAAGCAAAGCCAAGCGTGCAAACCGGCCTCGAGCTCTTGAGCCATCATTACAACATGCTTCGGCGGCATCGATGATCGTTTTTGTCAAACTCTGGCGTGCAGGTACTTTGTGCTGTTCAGCAAGTTCAACAAGGACGACCCCGGCACGTCGGCCCTGCCGCTGATCGTGGCTCTGATGGGCAACTCTAAAGTGTCGCCCGCGATCGTCAAGACGCTCCTGACCATCGTGGACAACCTGCTCACGTCGACTGAGGAGGAGGAGGCGGATAATACGGAGGAAGGTGCCAAACCCATCAAGGCGCTGACCGTGAACTGCTGCTTCGATGTTTTGGCCAGGCACTCGACGGCACCTGCTTCGGGTGAGTGTTTTTCTGCTTTTAATAAGATACCTGGAATGCATCTACCATGACTGCTGTGTTTAGAGTCCTAGTTCGCCCATGCATCGATTTTTTGCAATGATTTCTATCCCAGATGATTCACTCTGGCTATTTAACTGTCAAATAAAATTCTAGCTTCAGCTCTGTGTATTACTGTTCATGTGCTGAAATGAAAAAGCTTGTGGCATCGCAAAAAGTGGGGGAGAGGGGTTTGCGACGGAGATATTTTATATCTTCGGTGGGTCGCAGGACAGCAAAGTTTGGGAACCACTGTTGTAATACATTCTTCTTTCAACTTGCTTGACTCGTTTCCACTTTGCTGTTAGATATGCCGGTCTCTGGGTTCATCCCCCAAGTGATGATTTACGTCTGTCTGAACCCTCGCACGGCTTGGGATGCCTCCTTTGCCTGCAAGACAAAGAATCCCCGCACCGAGCTGATTGCTCTCTAGCGTCGACGAATCTTAGTGTCGCGGCTCGAGCCTTGCCGCAGACGACGTAAACGCCGACGTACATCACGCCGTCCTGTGTCTCCGACCCTTCCGGATTGGCCACGAGCAGAGTCGGCCTCTCCGTCGAGAGAATGGCAGCAACAGCTCGTTTCGAGCAACCCGCGAACCGGGGCCTTTGTCTTTCCTGATGGTTCTCTTTAGTAATCTGATGGGGGATGAACTCTCGGCAACCGTTGGCCAGGCGTTGACGCGTGCGACTTGCGATGCGAGTCGGAACGGCGGGGGGTGCAAAGGCGCGTCTTTCTGTCTTCGGCCGCGACGGGCAATGCAGGGACGCTGAGCTACGGCACTCTCCTAATCCTGCCGTACGTGCCGCACATACTCAAGAGGCTGAGGCTGGTGATCGAGGCGGCGTTGCGCACCCACAAGCCGGTGTCGGCGGTCGAGATGAACATCCTTTCCAGGTACGGCTTCGTCTCTGGGAGGGACGTTGTTGCCACGCAGGCAGACAATTTTCCCCGTCTTCGGTTAACATTTCAAACCAGAATGCGACTTTAACGCAGGATGTGTCTATGCTCAGCGAAGAGTTGACTCGAACTTGCAGAAATTAACGGAGAAAGGATGGAGCGGGACAAGACAGCGGACTAACAACTTTGCTTTCTATCGTGTTGTAATCATGTTTTTCGTAGGCTATTCGCATATCCAGTGCGATTTACTTATGATGATAATGGGAAAATCGAATTTTCAATCGTTATAACCGATTATCATTGTACCTGGACTAGAAACTGATTGTTTTTAGTCTAGAAACTCTAGAAACTGATCGTTATAAGCGGCACATCATTATATGTGGTATCATTATAAGTGGATTGCGCTGTAGTACACAAAATAACCATTAGTTTTTGCTTTCTATGAGAAATCTTGCGCTCTAGGGTCAGATTTCCCATGTGGTTTGCGCTCGACCGATTTTGTGCTCTCTGGTCTCTGTCAGCTCGATCAAGCCTGCGTAAATTTTTTTTTTTGGCAGGATAAGCGAGCATTTGACGGATCCGACCCAGTGCTCGGAGCTGGCTCGCCTGTTCCTGGCGGGTTTCAAGAAGCTCCACAGCCCGGCCCCCGTGAGTTTGGTACTTTGAGCAATTTCAGACGTTTGCGGCTCTCCAGGGCGGTTGCTGACAGGGGGCTTTGCGAGCGTACCGATGACACGGTCATCACTTTCATGCACTCCGTTCTTCATACACTTCAATTGATAGTGTAAAAACAATTCTCTATTTTTCCTAAAAAATTTGTTAGATCAGTCATTTGCGCTTCGCCACGTGCAGACGCCAGACCTTCATTATTTGGTCTGCAGAACCAGAAAACTACCTGTGGAGAGCAGTTACCTAGCCTGTTTGACGTAGTTACAAGTTTCCAGGAAATAGACCCTTTTTAAAAGTCAGTCCACTCGCCCTGTGCAGCGCCAAACCCTTCGCTCGAACGGCGGCATCACGCAGCTTCTCCGCACCTGAAAAAGCGAACGTCTTCAAAAGCATAGTGCAAAAAGCGGAAAAGACGAGGGACTTTTACGTCACCTCCAATTCACAAAATCGAGGGCGCTTGATTTAGCTTAGCACAATCTCCTGCCACCACCATCAGAGCGGCGATATTGGAGCTTTTGGGACTGCCACAAGGTGACTCTGACTTTCGAGAAGGGTCTGCTGTACCTGGGATTACGGGGATTGCAGGCAGCTTAAACTTAGCTGTGTATCACTGCTGGGACGTGAGGTTGTTTCCAGTTGCTTCTGTCACGTCTTTGCTAGCCTGTTCGCCTGAGCTCGCTGGAACGTCTCCAATGTCTCTTTCTTAGGAGGCGGAGCAGCAGAAGCTCACGACAGTGCTGAATTTGACAAGGACGGCGGAGAATCCAGAGAGGCTGCTGGGGTGAGCTGGACTTTTTCCTTCTTGTCAACAGTTTTGTCCTAAAAATTGCCCGAGTTTACTTGTAGAGCACATTGAGTCCATTTGTTGTAAATGCAGGTGCAGCTTAATATTATCTTTATTGATCATGCAAAATATTCGAAGCAAAAGTGGACAATGTACTTTTATAACAAAGAGGTGAGAGTTTGATACAGACGTGCAGTGCAGTACCAAACTCTCATGTTCAAGGGGACGTCTGGGCAGTTTGTTATAGACAACAGGTTTATATACTCCGGTTTGCTGTGATTGAATTCATGTGTATTGCATCGGTGTGCGTACATACTGTAGGCATGCCGTTTTGTATTAAATAGGTGTTAGTGCATCATGGCGTGACTGCCTGTTCTCACAACTTTCAGGTTTGCCGCTCCTCTGTTTGCAAGCCTGGGCAACCGCCACTCGAGGCGCCTGCTCTGCGAAATTTACTCGGTGATCGCTGAGCGCGTTCCTCGCTACGCAGAGCTGGCTGCTTTTGTCAACAAGGTACGGCCGCACAGCTTGACAGAGGACGAGTGCGTCAATCACATCTCTTGATCTTTTCCTTCGTTTTATTCCTTCAAGTACTGTGGAAGCGACGCGCTTGCCAGACCAATCATCTGCCTCTTTTTCATAACCTGACCTTGCTTTCTGCGAGTGGGTACGGAAGGGAGGGAGCATAATCACGTGGCAGAAGATGAATGTAAGACTGCTCCAACAGGCACATAGCGTGCAGAGTATAGGTAGCCCTGGGTGGCCAGAGCAAAGCATTAGCCTCCTAGGTAATGTTACGTGTGTGGAACTTTGGGTTTAATTAACCGACAGCTCGTATGAATGAGGGGATTTCACAAGCTACCTTTTACCATACCGAAAGGTTGTCTGCCAAAATGCTGGTAAATAGCTTCTACCATTTTTTCTCGTGGTTTGGGTGTTTGTTGAAACTATTGTAGATTGAAACTGGTTGTCTTTAGTGCAGGGAACTGTCCTAATGAAGACACTTTTTTTTTTTTTTTTTTAACCCTGTAATTTTTTGTTATAATGCCTTCGAGGACTGTAAAGTAATCTCTGAGTAAAGATTAATAAAGGGAGTGATTATTTCATTAGTATCATCTTTAAGTCTCGTATGTGTCGTACAACTGCACTCTGAGAGTGTAGTAATTGTGTGACAATTGTCGCTGACACTTCCCCTAGGTGAACTCGTGGAACCGGCGCTTTGCGGAAGAGCCTGACTACCAGACGCGGCTGGAAGGGTTCAGGATGGCCGCGGCACTGCTGAGCAAGTACAAGGAGGCGCCCGACGTGCCTCTGGTGCTGAGCGTCGTCTACAACTGCACTTTTACCATCCGCGCGGTGAGTTACCCCAAGTTCAGACGCGTCGATCCAAAGACTAGCGTAAAAGGAAATGACCAAACTTTGATTGAGGTTCGCTGCCTGCAAATGTTTGTTCTGCCCATCCAGTTCTCGATAAACCGGAAGGTGTCAATCGGGAAGGCAAGTGTCTGGAACCATTCATTGACACATACCTATGTAGCAAGCGCTCCTTAGTGTGTACGTGTACCTTTAAAGGGTCTGTAGACTCCAGCAGTGCTTTATTGCATCAAGGCCCAGTCTAGGAAAGTTAACCATAGTTTTGTTTAACCCGAGACTGGGGTATTTCGGAAAAGGGACGAGAAGAAAAGAGGCCACAAGGAGGCGACGTATTGAGACGTCGCCTCCTTGTGGCCTCTTTTCTTTTCGTCCCTTTTCCGAAATACCCCAGTCTCGGGTTAAACAAAACTATGGTTAACTTCCACCAGCTCGCCTGCACCCTTACAATTTTTTCACTAGGAAAGTTACTTGGCTGTTACTCAAGAGAGACAGACATTCTTCGAGATTGTAAAGTTTGAGAGCACCCGGTTTTGACGAATGGCGTGAAACTATGGTCGCATGTGAATGCCTGCCTGTTCCAGAGGAACGTACGCCAGGCTCCGGTGGAGACCGGGGATCATTTAGTCATATTAGTAGAGCACCTCTACTCTTGATGTGTTGAGCAGGTAACTCACTCTGTGGCCCGTGCGCGACGCAGGTGAACGACTTGGCGGTGCGAGATGCGGCGTCCCTGGCGCTCTCAGACGCCATGCCTGTCTTTGCGGCGTGGCTCTCGGAAGATGCAGCGGCGTACAAGGCGTGCGTGTCGGAGGCCCTCGTGCGTGAGATCAAGCGGGGACTTCGCTCCAAGGACGAGGCGAGTCCTTTCCCAGAGCGTTGTTCAAATTGGGGTGCAAAACCTTCATTGTTCTGTCTGCTGTGCCTAACGTGCACTTGGTAAAGTGCAGGTACGGTGCGCTACGCAGTTAGCGCAAACGAGTTATGTCCGGTTATTGCATTTCTTAACACAGTGTGTGTTTTAGGGCTGGCTTGCGAGTCTAGATCGTCGCGAAATGTTGTAGGGACAGTAGGATGATACGGCCAGTCATTCTTACAACGGACCGTGTTCACCCGGCAGAAGACGAACCACAGACCTCTACCTAAGTAGTTCGACATCCTATCCCCTGCACTGGCGCAGCGGCTTTGGTTTACATAGTTACAGCATACCGGGTGTTTCTGCGAAGACTTTCAGACATTCCTAAAAATAGGATGTTTGAGAAAAAAGAAAACCCTTAGGGAACAAACCAACGCCTGCTGTGGCAGCAGACGTCGGATTGCAAAACCCATACTAATCAGCAAACTAATTTTCTCAAATTTACTAAGTAATTTTTTAATTTGTGAAAATTAACCTATGGTTCCAATTAAAAAGTTGCTGAGCATCATCAAAAACTTCTATATCAGTAAATTTTTGGACGTCTTGAAGCATGTGAGAAGCGTAGGGGTGTGCCAAAGTTCAGCGTGCGTGCGTACATACTGTAGGCATGCTCAATGAGCAGGCACAAGGCTCCAAGAGCAAGCACAAGGACGGTGATGCAAAAACACGGGTGATATTTTTAATGTTTGAAACAGTGGGGGCGGGGACTGAATGGGTTGGAAAAAAAAATTAAACCAAAGTAAAAAAAATCTTTTTTTTTTGTCAAATTAAGTAAATTAGATTTATTTGATTTAAATCAGATTAAATTGATTTAACCCCTTAAGTGCCACATTTTCTTTTAAAAAAAAGCAACCTAAAAATACCATATATTTTTATTAAGGCATTTTAGTTCTCTAGCATAACAAATAAAATTTCAAAAGTTTATTATGCAAAAATCAGCGGCTTCGAGAAAAAAAAGATGACAGCATCTCCACGTGGTGAATGATGATGATTGGGGCGAAGCTCTGGTGGTGCTGGTGATACTAATTTTATTGTTCATAGGTAGTGCTGATGGTGCTGATTTTTTTTTATTGCTCATAGGTAGTGCTGAGCTCCGGGCTTCGTTTCGACTTCATTATTACTGCTTTATGGTCGGTGAAATGCAGAGCCAGTGGTTCTTCTAGCGGATTAGCTTCGATCCACTAGAAGCCGTAGGAACGCATCTCCACCGCTAAAGTCAATGGTCCATGTCAGAAAGAGAATATGTGGTATGGAACGTGGTTATATACGCATTTGAGCATTTGACCGCAGCGCCCTCTCGTCTATAAACGTTGAGCCAATGCATGCCAAGTTTAACGCGATTATATACGCACTTGACCGCAGCGCCCTCTCCTGTATAAATGTTGAGCGGCTATATGCAACGTTCCATCCATGACAGAAACCCCAGCTCTTGAGTTACTACCACATCTCAGAGCCCCCTACTCGTCCCGCAGTTGTGGCCGAGTGGTTAAGGTGATGGATTAGAAATCCATTGGGGTCTCCCCGCACAGGTTCGAATCCTGTCAACTGCGCAAACATTTTTTCTTTTTATGTGAGCACGGACGCCGGCCAGACGGACAAGGCTAGACCCTAAGGAGCTTCGCCCCTAAAAAAAGGCGCCAACTAAAACGAGTGCTGCCATCTATGATCAGCGCCCCAAACTACTCGGACAAGTTTAGCTCGTCCATGGCATGCCATGCCATGGACGAGATGTGCTCGTCCATGGCATTTTTAACCAGAAAGCGGCCGACGAGCTCAGCTCGTCCAAGGCACTTAAAGGGTTAAAATCAATGTAGCAACATAAGGTGTTTATATATCACTAGGTCTTATAAACACGGCAGATTGATCAAATTGTCCGAAATTGTGTTGTGTGTATGTTTATACGGCCCGAAGTTGGTCTGCCTCAGCGGGCGACGTGTCGCTCAGCTGTAGATGAGAAATTTTTCCAGTGCAGTACAACTGCTAGCCTGAAGTCTTTAACGTGCATCACGCAGCAGCGATACACCCCACGCCGGTATGATTCTCATCCAGATTGAAACCAGCAGGGGTGGGAATTGAACCCAGGATTCCTGGGTTCTGCAGCGCGAGCTTGCGCTTTACGTGCTCTGAGCTGGTGTGTGCTAGCCCACTCTGCCACCTATTCAATTACTGAAAACAATGTTAAAGAAAGAATTGCTGTGAATTAAACTTTCAAAGGAAGCTGGAGCGGTTCTGTTTTTGGCGTCCAGGGTCACGAATATCGAGATTATTTTTTCAGTTTGGTTCACGAAGGCTGCAGAAAATCATTTCCAAAGTTCCGCTAAAGCCCCTTTTTCCCTGAGTGTTACGTCATGAAAGGAGTTTTTGAAATTTCTGCTCTTGTGTATCTTCAGCGCTATGCCTGTGCACTTTTGCTATTTTCAAAAAGGTCAGAAAAAGACGTCGCGGCTGGTGTCAGTGCGGGGGAGTATACCTGGCAAGCTTGCTGACACTTCCCAATAGGGTCAACTTTTAAAGCTCCGGATGAATTTGAATGAAGTTTGCAGTATACATGTTTGCAAGTCCGGTCTCAGGGCGCCGCCATCTTGCCCAGTGGGGTGCACTTGGGCGCGGCCATAATCCGATTATGACGCCTTAGCAAGGCTTCGTACTAATCGGATTAGGACGCGTCCAAGCGCACCCAGCGAGCAAGATGGCAGCGCCCTGAAGCTCGACTTGCAAACGTTTATATACTGACAGTTCCAAGGCGGAATGAAGTGAAAAATTTATTCTGTGTACATTAATTTTGAAAGAATTTATAGTTGTTTCTATTGGGAACACGCTGACATTGTTCTGGAAAACTATTGTTAGAAAACTAATGTAATGCCCAACATTTTTCTTCATTAGATATGCAGCAGATTTTCTGGGGAGTGCTGCTGCGAAAACAAAATTTTAAAAAAGTAATTTACTTTATGCTAACATTGCACTGAAAAATTAAATACAATTTTTGCCTTTTATGTGGTCGACAAAATCTTAACGTCTTTTATAAAAGACAAGCAAAGTAAAAGGACAACTTCACAGTTGCATTGCCCATTAAATTCCATATAGGAAAAACAATGATTGAGCTTTTCCTTTTGTCCCGTTACCAAACAATAGTTTTCCTAAAGTGAAATTTATGGCAAAATTTGGAACAGAGAAAAATGCGCTCAAAGTGCTCGAACCTCTACCTTTTCTTTAGCAAAGATGGACTGAAAATAATTTATAAAAGAAATAACTATGTAGTGTAAACAAATGAAACTTCCTGAGAATATTCTGTAGATGTCGGTAGATGTAAATTGGTAGTTTTCAAAATCGTTTTTTTACAGCGGAGCTTTTAAGGGCTAGCTTCCCCAGGATCGTGTCCGTTAACAAACAAATGTCGACACCCGTGGTCGACACAACACTCTGGTTGCCGCCGTCGCTCATAGATGGCGGTAGCTGTTCCGAGTGTTGTGTTTGTCGGTTGTCTGCTTGCCGCTGTTGCTCATAGATGGTGGATACATTTCCTCGGAGGAAGAAGAGCGGGAAGGGAACAAGCGGCGATGTTCGCAGCAGTGCGAATGGTTCCGCAACCGCCGCGAGGCCGCTATCGCCTAAAGTTCCACTGTGTCGAGCGCTTCAGATTCCCTTGCGAAAGTAGAGCAGATTGCTCGCCTGGAAAGCCACCGCCGAGAATGGAAGCTACAGCTCTGCTGCTCTTCCTTCCTCACCAGAGTGGAAAGGCTGAAAGTTTTTTAGGGGCAAAGCTCCTTAGGGTCTAGCCTTGTCCGTCCGGCGTCCGTGCTCACATCGGTCGTGCTCGTGAGCTCACGTGCTCATGTCCTCGCGTAGGGGAAAAGAAATTTTAAAAATAAAAAACGTGAAGAAAAAAAAATGTTTGCGCAGTCAACGGGATTCGAACCTGCGCGGGGAGACCCCAATGCATTTCTAGTCCATCGCCTTAACCACTCGGCTACGACTGTGGGACGAGTAGGGGGCTCTGAGATGTGGTAGTAACTCAAGAGCTGGGGTTTCTGTCATGGATGAAACGTTGCATGTAGCCGCTCAACGTCTATACAGGAGAGGGCACTGCGGTGAAATGCGTATATAATCGCATTAAACCTTGCATGCATTGGCTCCACATTTATAGACGAGAGGGCACTGCGGTCAAATGCTCTAATGCGTATATAACCACGTTCCATACCACGCATTCTCTTTCTGACATGGACCGTTGACTTAAGCAGTGGAGATGCGTTCCCACAGCTTCTAGCAAATTCAAGCTGATCTGCTAGAAGCGGATCAGCTTGGATCTGTAGCGGAATTGCTGTGCATTACAAAAGGCTGAGAAGCAAAAGATCAAGCGAAACAAAGGACAAATGAACACTGATAAGTAAATACTATGTGAATACGTCAAAAGAGCGAAAATGAATCAGTAAGATGAGATCACGATGGCGCATGCCATTTCTAGAGCTCGATAGATGAGAACCGGGACTCGTAGCCGGTTGCCTGCGGGCCGCGTCCTAGCGAGTCACGGGCCGCATGTTTGAGACCCCTGACCTAGGGCAACTGTGGGCGACGTCTCATCGTCATCCCCGTCGTCTCTTGCGTGCAGCCGAGCAGGCACGAGTTTGTACGTGTGCTGTCTCAACTGCTTCGCCACTGCGGACAGCACCCGTCGCTGAGCGGGCTGGCCAAGCTGTGCTGCCAGGAGGACGCCGAGCTGGACTTCTGGGACAACCTCTGCCACATTCAGGTTGGTCCCTCGTGCCTGCCACCTGCCACCAGACCCTTCTCATCTGTGCGAGAAAGCAGTGACTAACGAGTGACTGGGTGCGGTGGAAATTCGCTACTACAGTCAAACCTCGATATGTCGAACACGGATACATAGAGTTATGGCCTATATCGAACACTTTCTATATCACGCGGGAAATCGCATGCATTTTTTATTTTTTTATTTCGAACGGGGTCGGGCATAAAATGGATCTATCGAATTCCGCCACCCCAAACAGCCCTTGCTCTTTTGACAGGCGGCGAGCTTTCCTGCAACACCCTCGAAGATAGCGGTGGCGCAATGGGCGTTTCCGACTGCCTACACACACGCCGAGGGTGCCATTTGAACCTCGTTAATTCAACCCCCGCTAATTCGGAAATTCGGATATTTTGAACTGCCGATCCGGTCTCGTCAAACGCATGCATTAGTCACTGGCAGCAAACGCTCATTAATTCGGAGGGTATGCGGCGCACTATGGTTAATTCGGACAAATTCGGCAGGTGGCGCTAGCTACCGTCCGTTCCAAAGGGTATGACCGCTATCCATCCGAGGTGCACACGTGGTTTTTCCGGTTTTCCCATGGTTCTTCGCTCTTCCGGTTCTCCGTGTTGCGCACCAGTTTTGCTCTGTATTGCCGTGCTTCGGCGCGTTACTCTCCTGGCATGGAAGCGGCAGAAGCGTAGCTGCAACGGAAAAAGGGTAGCACAAGTGACCGACGACCGGAATGGCAAAATCGCGACACGCGGGGCTATTGTTCCCGAGCGTGCCAATAGCGAGAGTGACAGTCACGTTTCATGCCTCAACGCGGGGATACTAAAGCCCACAACTTTAACAGCTCTCTTATCCGTCAGTTTTTCGCCGGCCGCCCCCGCATTGAAAAATGCAACGTGACGGGCACTCTCGCTATGGGCGCGCTCGAGAAAGATAGCGCAGGGTGTTGCGATTTCGCTGCTCCGATTATTGGTCAGTTGTGCTACTTGTTTTTCGTTGCAGCTGTGCTAGGCTTAGAATTTAGCGATGAAAGTGGAAATACTGAGGGCCTTGAAGGACGGCGTCTCTCGACGAGTGATGGAAAGTTATGAGGTCAAGAGAAGCAGTTTGGCCACGTACGTGAAAATTGAAGCCGATATCCTACAGGCTTTCGAGAGCGAGAAGTTCAACGCGAAAAGAAAGCGGCCGTGGAAGGTGGCACACCCGAAACTAGAAGAGGCCTTGCTGTGCTATATTGTCAGCGCACGGGATGTGTAGCTCCGACAGTGCGAGTGCGGTGGAGCACTCGACCGCGCTAAGGAAAGTTGCCGTCTCAGTCTAAATGTCGTCCAGAAAGCAGGCGGTAATAACAGATTCTGAAAATAAAGGTATGTCACAGGTAAACGTTCTCGCACAATTTTCTTTGTCCTTTCGATGTTTCGACTTTCGGATAATTCGAACATTTTTGCCGGTCCCATGAGATCCGAATTAAAGAGGTTTTACTTAGTGGCGCACGCACGCCGCTGCCTGGATAATTCGGCGCAACGTAAACGACGCACTGCATTTGCCGCCTCCTCGTAGGTATTATCGATAGTGCTACGCGTGTGATCGTAGTTCTTTCGTGTGTTGTGTTCACTTGCGTGAGTGATGGCTTCAAACGCTAAAAAAACGGACGTCCCTGACATTTGCTGCATAACTGGAAGCTATCCAGCGGGTTGAGAATGGAGAAAAAAAGTTGAGCGTCGCCGAAGCTTTAGGCCTACCAAGAAGCACTTTGAGTACTCTACTGAAAAACAAGAGTGACATAAAAGCCAAGGCAGAACACAACCAGCACTCAGGCGCGCGGCGTGTACACAAAGCTGCCTTTGAAGATGTTGAGAAGTCGCTGCACAAATGGTTCATCGACGCAAGGGCCCGGAATATTCCTGTATCCGGACCAATGTTACAACAGAAGGCCAAGAACTTTGCATTTATTCTCGGCACCGAGAACTTCAATGCCAGTAGCGGTTGGCTGCAATGTTTTAAGGCCCGCTTCAACATTATTTTAATTCAGCTTTCGAGTGCAAGATTTCCCAGCTACCGGCAGACGACACGCGGCTGCTCCCGCCTATGCGGTCGGTCGACACGCATGTGCCGCCGTCGGCGCTTCGCAGAGCGCGACGGCCACGCGCTTTTCACAAGTTTTTGACGCGTTTTTGATGTGATTTAATATATTGAATTGTGACTATATCGAACTATTTCGCCATCACCGCGCTGTTCGATATATCGAGGTTCGACTGTAATCTGCTTTCGACTTGGTGGGCCTACGGTCGGCGACAGGACCTTTAGATGCTCTGCTTTGAGCGTGGGCTTTCGGCCTTTGATGACAGTTTGTTGCTTGCTTGGCTAAAGGCTGGCGGAAGGCAACAGGCCTGTGTTGGGGTTGTAGCACCCTCTGGGTTTTTGACCTGTCACCGACATAGTCGTGGTGTCACGCAACGCAGTCATGTGACTACCCCGTCACATCAGTTCCCATCACACGACACCCGTCACATGACACAATGTAACTGTCTCACGAGACACTGTGTAATTTTTTCATGAGACACGGTTACACCCATCGCCGTGTTACATGACACTGTAACTGTGTCATGTCACACATTTACACTCGCCACCGTGTCACATGGCACGACGACGGGCGTGTCATGCGACACATGACGGGCATGTTGTGACATAGTGACGGGCGTCACCGTGTCGCGTGACACGGTGATGGGTGTAACATCAGATGAATGCCCTGTTTGCCGAATGCGTTCGGTCTAAACGTGTGCCAGGGTGTTCTCGATCACACGGGGTCGAACTGGGGTGCCCTCTGCCATCGCCCAGATGCACCGCCGGTGCCGCGCCCTGACCCGCTTGGCGGCGTCGCTGCGGACGGGGCAGCTGAACGACCTGGGCGCTGCGTCGCTGACGGACGTCCTCCTGCCGCTAACGACGTGCTTCGTGCTGAACCCGTCCTACGCCAAGCAGAATGCCCTGGTGGACGCGGCCATCGACCTGATCGGGGCGGTGAGCGGGCGCCTGCCGTGGCGCCCCTACGAGGCATTGCTGTCACGCTACCTCCAGCAGTTGCAGCGAGACACCGAGCACCACAAGATGGCGGTGAGGTAACGTCCCGTCCTCGTCTGTCTCGCATTTCACAGGTTCACATTCCATCCTGGGTTTCCCTCCGACGGGAGGGGTTTCCCCTTCGTTTCCAGTTTCAAGTCGGGTGTAAGTCATACATTTGTGGTTAAGTGGGATTGATTGGGTTGCAGCCGCACAACCAAGCAGACGTAAGTTCCCGACGTCCCCATCCTGAAACTGAGGTTCGTTAAAACCTTCGTATTTTGAAGGACGAGAGAAGAACCTTGCATGCTGGCGCCCTCTATCGTGTAGCCCCGGAACACCCCCGATCTGCCTGTAACTGGACTGTAGCTTTTGCAGAATGTGCGAGATAATACCTGCGCACTATCTACGAGAGATTGCCGCTTTTAACGTTGTCAGAATTATTTCCAGCCTGCAATGAAAGATTGATGCATAAAAAAGTGAACAGCCTTGTGTTAATCCAGAGTACAGTCGCAGCGATACCTGCGACATGTCACGGCGAAGTCTCTGGGCATTGGCGTAGCGTCCACGCACCTAGGGGTGTGTGAACAAAAGCATTTGGAACAAAATAGACATCTGATCATTCTGTTCCGAACGCTTTTGTTTCTATTTTGTCCCAGAACGCGTGAAAGCGCATCTCCTGGTACAAACTCTTGGCATTGACAGTGCTACAATGGCATTTTGTTACCGGCTATTTTTCTTTCCCTGAGAGCATGTGCAGTGAACATTGGGTACTACCCTAAGTACAGTCGAGTTCTGTATGTCACGCTTGAGTATTTCGAATTATTGTTTATATCAAAGAGTCCAAACATCCCCTTGAACATACCATGTAATCGTATAGGAACATTGTTATGTTATCCATCTATGGATTGACATATAAAACAACACTAAAACCCATAGAAATTGCACAGAACACAGCACTACGAGCAATGCTATTTGTTAATAGGCGCGAAAGTGCTTAATCTGCATACCGCTTCCTCAACATTTTAACAGTTCATCAATGCCTCGATTATCGTATAGCATTATTAACATTTAAGTTCATCACCAATCAGATAACATGCTCTTCAATTAGTTTCACTCATCATGATGTCATGTATCCTCTGCGTTCACATTCCAAAGCGTCACTGTCTGTGCCATACGTACAAACTAATTATGGCACGTTCACCTTCATTTACATTGCTACTAAAACGTGGAACTCCCTACCACACAGCCTAACTGCCATGTCATCATTTTATATTTTTAAACAAGCCATATGTGCACACACACTATCTGCATGATTGATCAACAATTTCTGCATGATTCATCAACAATATACACAGATGGGAAGAATTCCAGGGCTAACTAATAGCGTACTTACTCGCATAATGAAGAACGCACCCTGCACAACAAGTACCCATATTTAGATTTTTTTTTTTCCCTCGCGTAATGAACGCGTTTTCAATTCTCGGCTCCGCAAGTCTCGAATTGCGTGCAATTTAGCTAGCTACCGAGCCAATTTTCTTTTGCCGCCAAGCGGTCAGGCCAAGTCAAGCCGCTTTGTAATGGCTGCAGGCGTGTAGTGGCGTTGTTGTGGAAGTGCGGAAGTGATCGACTGTGAAACCGAGTGGCGTGCACGCTTGACGAAGCTTGGGTCGAGGATTCGCCTAGCCCCCGGACATTCTTCGCCTATCGGAGGCACCACAGACAACAGCGGACCACGCTGTTGTCTGTGGTCCGCTTTCGGACAGTGAATTCGAGAAAACGGTTAGGCCTAAGAATGGTCGCGTCACTCGTCGGTGCCGAGTGAGCTTCGAGGGCGCTTCTCCTTCAGCAAAAGTCACGCCGAAAGCGCCCTAAAAGGGTTCGCAATTCATAAAGCTTGGTTACCGTGGCGCGCCCAAGACCAGCCGTGGGTGGAGACGTGCCGCGGTACCTTGCCGTGTCATAGATGGCACCTAATATGGCATTTGCACAAAGTGTGTAAATGGAAAACTTTTACCCTGCATAATGAAAGCCGCCCCCCCCCCCCCCCTCCCTTCCAAATATGTCATTTTTTCGGGAAAAAAAGTGTGGTCATTATGCCCCCCCCCCCCCCCCAGATGTGTGTCATTTTTTCGGGAAAAAAGTGTAGTCATTATGCCCCCCCCCCCCCTTGCCCTTAACTATGTGTAAATTTTCGGGGAAGAAGTGCATTCATTATGCGAGTGACTACGGTAGATGGTGCCAGTATGTCCCCTCGTTGTAAACAGTTGCAAGCCATTGGAATGCACTCAGTCACACCCAAACACAAATGTGTGAACCGGCCTCTATCCTTGAGTTGGGTCACTTTAGCGAGGAGAGGGCCAGGGATTTGGAGTTGCTTTCTTGCGAATTGAGGTAGCTGGGCTTTCATGGTCAGAGTTCAACAAGAGGAGCCGGAAGCCCCTACCCTGGGTATCCCAAGCAGGAATGATGGAGCGCTTATTTTTCCTGCCTTGGATATCCTAAAGGTAAAGGGAGGAAAAGCGGCTTGTGTTGGGCTTGACAAAGAAAGCCGTTGGGGCTGCCTTCATGTTAGGCCTAAGAGATGACGGCCTGCTTGTGTATGGTTCCGATTGCAGGCTAGTGGTGGCCATTCTGGAGGCCTTCCACTTTGACCTCAGCAAGTCGCAAGGCGTTCGAGGAGCGCCCATCAAGCCTGTCAAAGCTGGGCTTCCCGGAAAGCCGTGCCAAGCCGACAGCGGGACTGGAGTAGCAGTCGGGGAACCAGCCGAAGCCGTTGATGCCGAAGCCGGTGATGCCGAAGCCGGTGATGCCGAGGCCGATGATGCCGAAGCCAGTAATGCTGAAGCCGCTGATGCTGAAGCGGAGGATGGGATCAAGGATTCAGAAGGTGTCGATTGGTTCCGCATCTTTCTTGTCGGGGAGCACTGAAGAAATGATTGCAGTGTCTGTTTCTAAATGTTGTTCCTCTTTAAATTCTGTAATTTAAATATTGCTGTTTAAGGTGATAGCTTCTTATGGCATGGACCTTGCTCTCCGTTGCTGGTGTTCGTCACACATCAGCCCTACCACCGATCACACAAACAGCATGTACGACCCACGCACTTCATGCGTATGGTAGCTCGACACGTTCCATGTCCCCTGGTGTTTGTCAGCATGATCGAGCTAGTGTAAATTTTTGACGACCTTTCTTTGTATATAGCCTGACTTGTGTACATGGCACGGCACCATTGGCATGAACAAACGATTGCCAGTATTTTGGTTTTTCTCAGAATCGAAAAGTTGTGATCATAGCTACAAGTGTGGCAAAAATGTTGACTGGGGTACTAACCTAAGCTGTAAAATTTGCTGCCCACCATTCACTTTTAGTGAAGAAGCGCCAATGTCGTATTAGTAATGTTGAAAGGGAAAAGGAAGCTCGGAAAAAGTGCCAATGTCCCGTTTGTGCTTACAGTATCTTGTGGTGAACTTTGACCTGTGAGTTTTTAGAATCAATGGATCTCTCCACATTTTTTGCAACACCTCTGCAGTTGCGGTTGCTCGCACTCGGAGGTTGTGCATCCTGAAGTCACGGGATGTCGTGCGCACTGTGAGGTCATGCACATCATGCGGTTGTACACGTTGCGAGGTCAAGCACATCGTGAGGTTCTGTGCACTGTGAGATCATGCACATTGCAAAGTCTTCCACGCCGTGGTTGAGGTCGCACGCACCACGAGGTCGGGCATATCGTCTGGCCATGTGCACCGCGAGCTCATGCACATTGTGAAGTCATGCACACCCTGCGATGTGTTGGCCTCTGCTATCTGGCCATTGCAGACCCTGGGAAAGCAAAACAAGCTGTCGCAGAAGAAGAGGAGGAGAAGGAGCAGGCCCAGGCCACTGCCATCCACACTGCCATAGCCAATCGGCTCCTGCCCAGACTGCACAGGGTTCTGGCTCAAAAGGTGGGGGTCAGAGAACTCGTTTTGTTCCGCTCTTCTTGCCCGCCAGAGTGACCTAGCACGCCGCACTCGAGAAATTTCGTTCTGTCGACGCTTCACTGAGCGATCGACGACCAGTGCTCAGCGATGACTATAGCCCAGGTCTAAAGCCCCTTCATACAGAAAAGTATTGACATCCTTCGAAGAGCACTGCTTGCTATCCTAGGACGATGAAGATGTGGGCGAACGCTGGAGAGCAAGAAATGGAGATAAAAGAGTGCGTGCGGCAGAGGAGGAGGAGGAGGAGGAGGGAGGGAGGAGGAGGGGGAATACGTATGCCTTCAGGTTGCAGCAGAGGCTACGAGCCGATGGCCCCAGTCGTGAATCTCCAAAACACAATGTCGCAACTCTTGGCATCTTTCTTCTTCACGGCTCATTCAAATCCAGAGAGGGTACAGTGACAGTGCGCCTTCAGTCTTTGTGTATGCGTTTTTCATCTCTTTTAGCCTTTGACTGCACTTTGTTTTTGTTATTAAATTCAGCGTAGGAATGTGGCTCGCCATACTGGGACGATCATGAAGGTACGATTGCGAGAAAGCAAAAAAGAAAGTAAAAGTAAAGCGTGCACATTGTAGAAATGTCGCCATCTTTCTTATCCGGGGACCTACTTGGGACTAGCACTGCCAGCACATTGTAGGTGACGACAGCGATAGTCCCAGGTTTTAGCTAGAGAGCCTAGAATTAAGGGAGGAAGCAATTCAAACCATTTGTCTGCACAATGCCAGTCGCCTCCCGCACAGATTGAGTGTACGTGTATATGCTTGCATCGTCGTATTAAGGATGGCGGGTGGAGAGGCAGAAGAGAGCTCGGAGACTTGCGGGCGACGGACGCTCTTGCGTCGTTGCGGCTCGCGTTGCAAATGCTGCGCATGAACCACACTACCCCAGTCGAGCGGTTGGAAACGCCGTGTAGTCCACGCTCACTGGCCGTAGACGAGCAAGCGAGCGGAATCGGCTGGCTGCTGAGCATGCGTCCGTCCTCTCAGGCCCGGTCGGACGATGAGCACCGGGCAGCCAAGAGCGCCTACCCAGAGGACACAGAGATCCTGCGCATCCCCATTGCGGTGGCCATGGTGAAGCTGCTCCAGGCGCTGCCAGGGAACACGCTCCAGAGGCACCTGCCCAGGTGGGTGGCATGGCGGCACCACGCGGTGGACACGGAAAGCACCCGGGCATGGACTCCTCTTTCTCTGAATATCGGCAAAGCCACTGAACAGGCTCGGTTTAGGGTTCTGGCACTTCGTTCCCAAATTTTCTTGCGGGTGCCGCCGTGCTACGTGCTTCTTTCGTGCGTACACAGGCTTTTTACCGAGGATATGTATATGAATAAATAGCATCTGTACCGTCCTCATTCTACGAACTTCTGCGATTAACCTCCAGACATTGTTTTATTATTGTCTTACTGAGCAGCACTCGAGTGTTCTTCCTAACGCAGAATCTGTTTTATCAGCTGATTTTCATGGAGTTCCGTAACAATGTGCTGTATGGGTGGTTATCATTTGAGCCCGTTCTCTTTTCGCCCTTCTCACTTGGCCCTTCTCAAAACAACCATTCTCAAAAAGATCTTCTCTCTTGGACCTGTCGCATTTGGCCCTTTCCCGTTTCGTCTTTCGCATTCCAACCCTCATTTGGGCCCGTTCTCGTTTCGCTTTTTTCACCTGGCTCTTTTCAAAACAGCCATTCTCAAAAATATCTCGTTTTGACCCGACGCACTTGACTCTTTCTATACCAAATTTATTTTTTCAAGGTAATATTAATAAATACATTGACATAATTTGTGTGTGTGTATGTGTGTTTGCGTGCGCGCCACGCTGCAGGCATACTCTCTCTGCTAAGGATTTAGGCAGTGCGTCGAGATCGTCGTGAAAAGCTACTAGCTGACAATAAAACAAACCAACTATTCATCGCAGCCAGATCATATTCCGAAATGTCACGTTGTTTGAGGTCTCTCGACTTGGGACAATACCACCACTTCTATAATGCAGTGGTTCTCAAAAGGGGGTCTGCGAAGGCACCCTAGGGTTCTGTGAGGCCCTGTCTCATCAGTCAGGCACGGCAATATTAGTTGTGTTTCTTCACGTTGAGAAGAAACGTTCCAATTTTCGGGAGAGCACTCTCGTGTGTATGTCAATAAGATAAGTCTACTTCACAGTAGCAGTTAGTTATATCCATTTATTAAGCGATTATCATGATAACCTATACCTCAACTTTCTATTCCCCTCACCCCGAAGGGGGTCCTTCATCATCTCTGCCTTTCAACAGGGGGTCCGCGAAACATCAATGGTTGAGAACCACTGCTATTATGTATGCTATTTCTGTTCAAACAAAGTTTCCAAATTAAATGTTCACTGCTTCTTTTTTTTTTTTCCTCTCGTTTGCTTGGAGGAAGGGAAGCAGGCGTCAATGTACGATTCTCAGTGCATACCTCTACACATAGCATATCTCTGATGGTATGTTGGGGACCCAAGCAAGGTAATGCTCATCAACAAAGCTGCGAAGGCATAACAACTTTAGAAGCATGCCGAACTAGTGCCATTCGGTCGTAGCGCGAACGGGCGAAATGAGAAGGGGTCCAGTTGCGAAAAACACGATTGGGATCTTATGAGAAGGTTCAAACGAGAAGGACCAAATGAGGATGGGTCGAAATGTGCAAGGTTCAAATGCGAATGGGACGTTTTAAAGGGCAACTCCGCTTCTTTTCCAGTGGTGCAAAACTATACAGTTCTCTTTGTTATCATCTACAAAACCCCCATGGCAAATATTACGACGGAATTCCGCCTAGAAGTTCATTAAAATCGCTGTCAAAGTTTGACAAGCACGAATCCGCTGGTTTTGGATGAGACGTGCGGGCCAGACAACACTGCCCGGCTGCATTTCCGCTTCCTCCAAATTCCTTCTCCCGGCACGTCCGCGACGTCATCAAGCATGTACAGCTTTTTTTTTTTTTTTTTTTTTTTCAATTTTGTTTTCTTTCCCGGGGAGAGCACGGGTGGCGCCAGCGCCGTAAAAGACGTGAGTGACGCGCTCGGCCGGCCCGGCGCTCGACTATTGATACTACTGATCAGCCGATCGCCTCGTCGAGCGCGGCTTGTGTGTTCAGTGCGCATACTTTTGAACACCAAGTAAAAGGAGGAGAGGGAAGCTGCCTTTGTAAGAATTTTGAGTGACAGGTTAATCTTCTCTAATCTTCTGGGAGGAGAATAGCGACGCCTGTGCTAATCCAGGAGGCACAAAGGAGGATCCTGATAATAGGGGAGCTCCTTCTTCCCCTTGTATATCACGTGGGTGTACATGCTTAGTGATGCCGAATATACAATGTTGTCCGGCTTTGCCACCGTTTCGGTTTCGGTTTGTGATCATGGCTAGAGTAAAATTACTCGAAAAATATTTTATTTTTCGCGAAACAAAGGATTGGGGATTGTTTTTGAGTGCTTCAAAAAGCAAAATCGGCCACTATCTCAAAATTTTTGAAATTAAGCGGAGTTGCCCTTTAAGATACACCCGTGCTGTATCAGCCAACAACCAACACGTCAGTCTCCTGGCAGCATTTGAACTTGCTACCTCGAGATTGGATTTTGCCGACTGAGCTATCCCGGGCCGGTGGTCTGATCACGGCAAAGCAGTCTCTGGTGCGGCTTGTGAGAGACTGGTCGCACGCTATGTCCTCCTCTTCTTCCTTGGAAGGCCTATCACATATTTTGTGCTTACAAGTCTTTGTCAGCATTACGAGGCCTGTATAATTTTTTCATTTTGCCATTGTTGGTACTGTGAGTGCAGTGCCAGTTTAATTTACCGTCATTTATGTGCAGTGGTATCTTTTAACACAATGTGTTTTATCAGCCGATTTCCATAGAGTTCTGTAACTCTTTGCTCTAACAGCTGGCTGTAATGACACCAAAAGGCATTAAGAGCGCCATATCTTTGGAACTGCTAAATGAATTTGAGTCCTGTTTCTTGTTTGGCGCTCCTAAATAACATTGTGAGGGCATGACAATTTTCTTTTTTTGATAAATTGAGTGACGAGTTAATAATAAATACATGAAATTTTATGGATGTGGGTATAACCAAAAACATAAAAGTCAATATTGCACAAAATAGTTTTTGCAAAGATAATATTGAAAACGGCTTTGTCTTGCCCTGGGTAATTTATCCAGGAATCATGATACAAAATTCACACTGCCCCTACTTTTTCCAAATTCTCCAGGCCCAGAACAAGAGAAGCATATGAACAATTATGACAAACCCTCATAACTTGATGGCTAGCAAGGACAGGGCCATTAAACTTTCCAGTTAATCTCGTGTTTGTGTTATGTACAAACCCTGAAAAGTTCATAGTGATATCTCTAAAAACATAAGAGGCCGCATCTCCACGTGGGGAATGATGTTGATTGGGTTGAAGCTCTGGTGGTGCTGATGATACTGATTTTATTGTTCATAGGTGGTGCTGATTTTCTTTTTTTATTGTTCATAAGTAGTGCTGAGTTCTGGGTTGCGTTTCGACTTCATTATTACTGCTTTATGGTCGGTGAAATGCAGAGCCAGTGGTTCTTCTAGCGGATCAGCTTGGATCCGCTAGAAGCCGTGGAAACACATCTCCACCGCTTAAGTCAACAGTCCATGTCAGAAAGAGAATAATGTGTGGTATGGATCGTGGTTATATACGCAGTTAAGCTTTTGAACGCAGCGCCCTCTCGTCTATAAACGTTGAGCCAATGCATGCAAAGTTTAACGCAATTATATACGCATTTGACCGCAGCGCCCTCTCCTGTATAGACGTTGAGCGGCTACATGCAACGTTGGAGTGTGGCGTAGTGGTTAAGATGTCTGCCTCGTAAGCAAGTGGTTTTGAGTTCAAACCCCCGTGCGGGCATCTTTTTTTTTTTTTTTTTTTTAAAGTGGGTCGATCTTGGAGGCGGTGCAATCGATGTGAGCACGAACGCCGAACGGATGGACATTGCTAGACCCTAACAAACTTCGCCCCTAAAAAAGTTTTTTTTTTTTTTTTTGGGGCCCACGTCCTCCCTTGTGCTTTGCCAACTAAGCTATCCAGGATAAGGGGCCCGAGCATTCGAGACGCCCTTGTCTTTTTACCTGGTAGACCCATCGCATATTCAGTGCTTACCAGTTGTTGTCAGCGTGATCGAGCTCACATAATTTTGTTGTGGCCTCGTTCGTTATATGGCTGCGTCTTGGCCAGTGGGCTCGTAGAGCATGCGCCTTGGTGCTCGGTGTCCCACTTTTTCGCAACCAGTCCCCGTTAGAGACTCTGGAGGTGGTCTAGGGTAGGGGTGTGCGAATACTCGAATATTTGAATCGAATAGAAAGGTCCCGAATTATTCGATTTGCGAATCTAATTCCTAGTATTCGGTCACTCGAATATTCAATATATTCGGCCAGACGCGCGGTCGGCATGGAGCTGACAAAAAAGTTGTTTTTTTTCCCGATGTAAGCGCCGTGATATTAGACAGACCATGCAAAAAACACCTCTTGGTCCTACCATTCCACAAAAATCTAACGCGCGCAGGTTAGAAAAAAGAAAATTAACGAACGCCACAAACTTTATAGCACGCAGATTTACTCACGATCGTGACACAATCTTACCTTGAATCACAACCGAAACATCCCGTTTGCGCCGCTTTCAGAGAGGAATTGTTGGGAAGCCGGAAATCCACGCCATGCCTAATTCTTTTCACGAGTAAAGCCCCTCGTTTCAAATTGAAGCGCCGATGTAGAACACATTTGCCGCATTCACAGAAATCGGCGACTGCACGATCACACAAAGGAATTTACGTTAACCACGCCGATGAAACCAGCCGAGTTTTCGTCGTCGTTCTTTTGGAACCGCCAGCGCCGCGAGGCCGTAAGCCGCAAATGACGAAACGGAACGGAAAAATAGTGTGCCTAGATTTGTGAGGGTTTCCAACCGTTCAATAGCTGCGTTTGTATTTTGAACTGCGAAAAGGTGACGAAAAGACGAAAGCGTCGATCGGGATCGGGCAGACAGGGCAGGCGTCGTCGCTCTTTTGTTTGCTCGCCTTCTTTCCATGCAACAACACAACACATGCGCACTTACGACTAATCTGTGCTGGAGCCGTCTCCGTAATTTCAGTTTCGCTTGCTCTCTCTTTTAAATCAAGGCTCTCTAAAACAGGATACACGAAAAAAATGGATGCATAGCGGCAGTTGGACGGTGACTTGCGCCGCCTAACCACGTTTTGTTTTCTTGCTTCAGATTATATTGTTTAAGCTTGTTTACTCAGATATAACACCTATCTGTTTATTTATGGGAAAAAAAAATCCCCAGTGTCCTTTTTCTTCCTTAAAATAGAGACCAAATATCGCAAAATGCCCCTTTTCTGAGATACACAAATATTTTTTTAAAAAAGTCGCGGTGATAGGTTGTGCTTTTAATGAGAAAAAAAAAAAAGGCACGCGTGGCTGTAACTTTGTTAATTTTTTTTTTCTGTGTGTGACGTTTAGTGTAGATTGATTATGTTTACGCCATAAAATTGGATCTTTAGTGCCCAACGTCCAACAGCAACAGCTTTTTTTTTTCACCAGAACTTTTTTACATTTTTGCTATTGTTCAGTACAAGATGCATATTCTACACCAAGCGCATACTCTGCACTTATAATAGTCTCATTCGCAGCACACTTTGAAAAATTCCTACAAATAAAATCCCTATTCGATATTCAATTCGATATTCGGATTTTTTTTTTTGATTCGATTCAATATTCGATTCGAAAACTACTATTCGGTATTCGCACGCCCCTAGTCTAGGGTGCACTAGACCGCCTCCGGTTATGCGTACACTCTGCCGTTTGGAGCGCATCGACCGTATGCGCTGGGGCGTCGTTTGGCGCCAAGAGGCAGTCTGAGACTGCTCCGCAGACGTTCCCTGACAGTGGCGCCTCGCTCGTAGCGTCCTGCTGAGAATCTGCGAGTTCCTCAAGTCCCGGTCGGGGGATATCCGCGAGGCGGCGCGTGGGACCCTGACCAAGGTGATGGCCCTCCTGGGGGCCCCCTACATGGGCTACCTGCTCAGAGAGATGAAGGGCCTCCTCAAGAGGGGATACCAGGTGGGCATCCCTCATTTCCACCTTCCCTTGCGTGAGGGAGTTCCTTTGGTTCCTTTTAGATGCTCTGTATCACCCGCGGAAGCTTTGGCTCATAAGTCTCAATGCCTTCTTTCTAAGGGGAACCCTTCTCTTGCTTGTGACCCCTGCCCGTCGAGGTCTCGGGAACTTGCACTTCAGTTGGTTAGATGTAAGAAATCGGTCGCACACTTGCTTTACATTAGAACCTTGTACCCTAAAGCCTCTTCATATCTCTTAAGACGATAGAACACGCTGGCGCCACTCGTGAAGTGACCCCAAAACTTAATTTCGCTCGGACAAAGGTTTTTGCGGTATTTGTTAGATCAGATATGTGTGCTATTCATGAGTAATGATCGTTTGTAACATTGCCAAAAGATTTTCGAGGTAGGCAGGAATTTGTGACGTCTCGTCCGAGGGATGTCGCAAGTTTATTCTCATGGGGTTTTTCAAATTAGGGTCTTTACGCACCCAGAGGTTCCTCAGACTACCCTCACAAATAGCTTTCCTTGACAGTCCCTGCCCCTAAAAAACAAATTGGGGTGTATGCTTATACAGCCTAGAACTTAGTCTGCATCAACGGGTGACTTGTTTCCCAGCTGTAGATGAGAAATTTAGCCAGTGCAGTACGGCTAGCCTGGGGTTTTTAACGTGCACCACGCAGTAGTGATACACGACCGCATGCCGGTACGATGCTCATCGAGATCGAAACGGGCAGGGGTGGGGATTGAACCCAGGATCTCTGGGTTCTGCAGCGCGAGCTTTCGTTCCACGTGCTCCGAGCTGGTGTGCGCTAGCCCACTTGGCCACCAATCACCCCTCCCTAGCCCTAAGTATTCATACTTCCAGTTTAAGCAATATGTTAGCAGATGTGAACCACCCATTGATGTCTAGCTGGGTGCCAAGCACTCCCTAAAACATGCATTGTCTGTGAGGTCTGCATTCGGTCCTGCTTTACTGCATCAATACCATGATTGGCAGAGGTTCGTTGGCTGCCGTTTGGGGCAGACGGGCATTCCTCGAGATCGAGGAGTTAGAAGACTGTTGTACGAGGAAAAGACAGCACTCCTTTACGTGCAGTCTCTCTTATACGTCTCACCGTGGACGAAGCCTGAAGACGAAGTCACTGGACAAGTGGCTGTAGTTTGTGCCTGTTGTCGGGTCCCATTTCTACAGTCGTAGCGAGACCTCAATGTCGTGGAGCTTCCTAGAGGCCATAATATTTTTTAATGTGGTATCGTATTTACACGGTTTTAAGTCGACTTAATTGTAATTTGAACCCCCCCCCCCCCCCCCCAACACACACATTGCACATCAGCTAAAAAAAAAAAAAAATCTTTAGGGTGCATTTTACGACAAACACGTGAGAACTGCAGGGCGTCCCTTTTGAAAGCCTAGCCTCCAGCATGTGCTCGCTGCCTTCTGGCATGCTTTGGCTGCGCATGCTTGCCCAAGCCTTATCGAAACTAGGCTTCAGTCAGAGCATGCCAGAAGGCATGCTCTGACTGAAGCCTCACCCTGTCGTTCCCACTCTGTCTGTGAATATAGACTATGATTTGTCTGCACTGGTGCTGTCGCTCCCGTCGTCATCACTGCTGCATTCTCAAAGCATGTCGTCGGCGTCGTCCAATGAAATCTCACAATTCGCAAATGAAAGCATCAACCGCATCTTTTTGGCTTGCTCGTTGATCCCGTCGAACGTCGCGGGTAGGGACCGACCGCGAACCAGCTCCTTCTCCCGGAACGTCGCAACCGTGGTTGGTAAGGTTGTGCCGTGTTTGAGACAAAGCCAACAGGTAAATAAAGAATTGCTGGAAGGCCGCTCACAAACGTTTGTAGAGTGTCCCATTTCAATCTCTGTGTTTGTGGTGCCGTCCTCGCTGCAACCCGCCTCAACCCGAGTTGATAGCACGCTGCGCACGGATGCATCCATGTATGCACTAATCAAGAAAGGGGCGCAAGAGCTTCTATAATTGACAGGGCCCCCAACTTGGCCCGACGCCGAGTATTTGCCAACTCGATCGCCAGCATTCCCGCTTCCCCAGCATCGCTCTTCGTCACTTCTTTCACCCGCTCGCTCACTCGTTGCGCCTAGTTGGTTTTTCTATTTTCTTGTGGACTTTCTTTTTTTTTCTTTACTAACGAAGAGAACATTGCAAGAACATGCTTTCGCGAAACAAATGTTTGCGCTTGATGCCGATCCACGGCGTTCATCGCACGTATGCAAGCAGTTGCCTTTGCGATAGCAAAACATTCTTTCATAAGTAATTCTTACGTAGAACAAACTAATTCGAGTTCATAGTTTAATGTATTTCTTGTGCAGCTGCGCTAGATATGTACAGAAAACTGGGCATTCTTTTTAGCTTTTTCTAAGCTTTTTGTGCTTGCCCCCGAGACATGGCCCATCCCACTTTTAATGTGAAAGCATTAACTGTCCCATGGAGCGAGCTGACGTCATCAGTTTGAAGCGCAAAACGGCACCTAGTTTCCGCGATCCCAATAGGAGTAAAGTAAAGCTGATAGATTTCGCCTTCGGTTATATTGGCTGGCGTGCATCGACGGGGCTCCCATTGGCTGCTGCGCTCGTCAGTTTCCACGACCGCTCACCCCATGGCGCTGCGTGTCTATCAGTGCACCATTCACACGAAGCGTCCAAGGTCAGCGTGCCCGGCGGATCACGCGCGCTGACCGGCGACGAAAAGTATGCAGCAGACGACAAAGGGAGCGGACGAGCGGCTTGCATGCTTTCACATTCACAACTCATAAGAAGTGCTTTGGTGTACCTCAAGCTTTTTTTTTTATAGGTTTCACGCTGCAGGGGGTGGGCTACGACTGGGGATGTTACGGTAGGCTCGTTGACGGACGCCTGCTGGGGGCCCACGTGTTTGCATGTCCCATGGGGCTGCTTACAAGGTGCACTGTCTTTTCTTCCTCCAGGTGCACGTCCTGACGTACACGACCCACGCGGTGCTGGATTCTCTCTCCGCCACCCTCAAACCCGGCGACCTCGACTCCTGCGCACAAGACATCGTTGAGGCAAGTTTCCAATCGGTGCTGTCAGATCACCTCTGGAACTTCCCTTAAACACTCTACAGCATTTGTAATCGCGTTAGATTTTTTATAGCGACGGTAGTGCTGGTACGTTTGGTACACGTCATCCGCTAGCTGTAAGTTTTAGATAGAAACCACAAACCATCAGCTCTACGCTTTATAACACAATGAGACATGTAGAGATTTCTTTGTCGGCAGCTCGGCAAACTCGGGCGAACCCAACATAAATGCATCGCGCGTGCAGAGGAGCTTCTTTGTGAAACTTCAGTGGGCGAGCATCTTAAACGTGTTTTCGTGCCCGCAGCAACACAGAACACAATCCTATCTCGTTAATGTGGACCACGCTTATACGGACACCCTGCTGCCCAGACGGAATTGGTGACGAACTGGATCAATACTTGCAGTTTCGTTTTTCGCTTGAAGGCACCCAGAAGGGTAGCCATCAATAATGATAGTGTCCCCTAATGCGGAGCACGTGCCCCCTCGCAGCAGACGTACAAAGGAGCCCTCCCCCCGATTTGAAACAAAGCTTCACAATTGAGGAGCGTCCAGCAACGGATGCTTCTCTCTTCCGGTTGTGCACCAACCGCGCTGAGAATGTGGCATGCGTGTGGCACAGGTGTGCCAGACGGAGCTCTTCACAGACGTGGCAGAGGAAAAGGAGGTGGCCCAGATCGGAGCCAAGGTGAAGGAGGCCAAGGCCACCAAGAGTTTCCGCATCTACCAGCTGCTGGGGGCACTGGCCTCGCAGGACAGCCTTCCCGGTCTGACCGGCCCGCTGTGCGAGGTGAGTCCACTAGGGAAGGCCGCTGCAGCCTGCTGTGGTCCCTTTTTGGATGATCGCGTCTAGAGTCGTCGGAGGTTTTGCATTGAAGAAGACCCGCAACCAACAACACTGTGGCATCTGCTCTAATGCGTCTGCACTTGTAGCATACGCAGATGCATCAAGAAGCGCAGGTGCTTCCAAGCAAGTTCACGGCAAAGATTTGCGGACGCTACTTGCTGTTGTCTGCACGCACTGCTCACCGATGCTGTGGACTACAGGGAATGCGGAAGGAACGAAAAACTTGATCTTCTCGAGCGCTGGAGTCTGTCGTTTTTCTGGCTGCTTAGAGACATGCTTGCAGTACAAGGGAAAGGCACGGCTTGTCGGTGTTCATTTCTAGACAGGTGCTAGCTTACGTGCCATCCCGTTTCAAGCTGACTGTTGCCACGCTGGCCGAGTCAACTTGATGGAGCCTTCCTTTGAAAGAGAAGAGGTTGCCCAGCCCGATAGGAAAAATGCATCAGTACAGGCATCTGAGGTGCTGACATCGTAGAGGTTCTGATGCTGTGAGACTTTCTAAATGCGTATAGTGCCAGCTCCTAGCACTTTTGTGTTGGGGTGTAGCCCCGATTTTGACGTCACGCTTATGATGTCGCGGTGTTCTCGTGACGTCACTAGCTTTCTAAGGGGTCCACCACGACATCCTCATCTGAACACCACGACGATGTCGTGGTGTTCACGTAACATCGTCACGAACACCGTGATGTGTCACGTGAGGTCATGTCTTGTTGTGGTCACATGATGTCATGGTCATGTAATGTCATAATATCACGTGACATTGTGATGGTGCGTGACAGTGATGTCACTTGACACTGTGACGTCAGGTGACACTGACATCCCACCATGACACTACACCAAAGAGACGGGGAGGTTTTGTTGGCGGTGCAGCTGAAGTAGTCCATTAGACCTTTCTGTTCTCATCGCGAAGAGGTTCCGGTTGTTCTGGTCGGTTGCTGGAACCGCGAGGCCTCCCGTTACGATTGTTGGCAGTGTGTGATCGTTTGCGTTCCCGCCTCCAGGTACTGCTCTCTGCGACCAGCCACAGGACGGTGCGCAAGTGCGAGGACTGCCTGCAGCACCTGGTCCTGGGGTTGTCCTCCAACGAGGGGCTGCCCGTCTGCCCCCTGCTGGTGCACGTGCACCGCCTGGTTGCGGACAACTGCGCCCAGCTGAGCACCAGGTCGGTCTCCCGGGCACGGCCCCCACACGGGGGTCCCGGGGTATTCTCTAAAGCCCACTGCTCACAGCATGTACAGCGCTTGGCCGTCCTGCGGTCAGGGCCAGAAATGGTGCCTCGTGGCTACTGTTACGATAGCTACGTGTTGTCTGTTGCTCACCTGCCTGTCATTAACGTAACATTTCTTCATATATTGCCTGGGAGTTCAGAGAGCATTGTTTTGTCGTGCAAAGTGATCATGAGTGTGCTTGGAAGGTATTGTACTTGGTTTACGAAGTAGTAGAAAAAGTACATGAATAAGCTGCTCCTGTAAGGCATTCGAGGTATTCGGGTTGTCCCAATGTACCTGAATATTATGCTACACTGCATGACGTAACATGAACACGACATCGGCACTTTTTTATAATTTACTAAAACGGGGTATTACCCCTTTGACGGTCGTCTCTGTGCGCATACGGCGGGTGATTGCACATTTGAAAGTGACCGCCTACACGCGAAACTGTGCGCAATGCGGGAGACGGTGCTATTTGTTACGTCTTTGCCTAACTATAAACGTTAAGTTCCCACTATGTCTCACTTTGCTGGGCTATTTATACTTTTTCATACTGGACGCTCCGTGCACGCGATGCTCCCTTCACATACCAGCCGCTCTGGCAGTAGTGCGACTGGGAGCACTGAATCTTCTGATTCAGACTTCCAACGCTTTTCAGAATTAAATTCGGAGGATGAGAGCTCATCATCCGATGGAGAAGCTCTGTAAGGTACCTCCAATTAGGAATTTGAAGCCTCTGGAATGTCGCGTAAGCAGACGTGCCACAATGAAACCGAATGGAAGCAGAGCGACAACTTTTTGCCTTCAATATTTTCTTTTGATGCTTCTAAACCTAAAAACAGCTTGTAGTAACTGTAGGTGCTCCCATTAGATAATTAAGCAAAAAAAAAATCCCTGCAAATTGACCTATTTTTTATATACAATTCCTTTGGAAACAAAATCCAAGAAACATGTTTTGCGGAGGAAAAAAAAAAAAAACTCAACCGTGAAAGGGTTAATGAATATGACATTGGATTGCTTAGGTTCAAGGTCCGAATACCTAGGCACCGTCTAATGCATGTACAGATTTAACGACTGTTTTTATTCCGGGTGCAAAACAAGAAAAACCTGCAATTGCTTGTTTGTGCTAACTGTGTCACTCTGTGTACAATCTACTTGTACTTTAACGTTCCAAAATATTTGAAGTAGTACTTCTTAACTTTCTTATTAGGCACGAGCTACTTTTGGCCGGCATTTTGAGCAAAAGGCCTTTCAGGAATTATGTCAGTAACAACACTTGTAGTTCGTGGTGTCGCGCACAACTGGACACCCTTTTCTTCGTGCTTTTCTCTCAAGTGCAGAGCAGAGCCACTTAAAAATTGGAAAGATTCATGTGGCAAGACTCAACTCCCACTGAATTGATGTTAAAAAAAAAAAAAAAAAAAAAAAGGTGACAGGTTTTAGTTATTATTATGAAGAAAAAAAAGACAGTGACCGCCAAGCGCTTCCGTGAACGGTCCCTAGAAAAGCGCGCGAGTTAGACATGTCGGATGCCTCAGAAGGGTTTCTTGCAGCCCAGGGGAGAAACCGGCACCTCCCAAGCTGCTTGCGGAGCGCGAGGACGTGTTCCTGATTCCCCGAGAACCGTCGCGCGACGGGCTGCCCGTGCGCACCAGCAAGAAGACCAACGCCCACGTCTTGGTTGAGTTTGGACTCAAGGTAGTACCGCCTCCCCTTCTGCAAGAAAGGCTCGAGCGTAGAAGACCGTACCGTACAGCATTTGTAAAAAGACATTGCCGGTTTTCGGTGATGTGACTGCTGCGCCAAACTGCGCCAGTGTGCTCACCCTGCTATGTCCCGCCGCGTTCGATCGAAACGAGAAATTCGCGTAAAAAATATACCGAAAGTTTGTCGCACTTTGTCGACGCATAAGCCAAGAATTGGTTTCTTGCGTTTGCAATTGAGCGTGGTCAACCGTCCTGGGACCGCTTTTGATGGCTCACGACGGGAGAGCACACTGGCCCCACCCGTCGGGTAACCCAGAAACCATTCTGATCTGCGTATCGCTAGACCGAAGTTTCTGTGGTACTTGCAAGATCAAATTTACGTACCATCTGTGAGAAATGGTGTCTTATATCATCATAACAATTGTTTCGATCATAGAGTGAAAGAGTCACCCTATGCTTGAAACGCAAAAGGTTGTTCCAGGGTTTCTTGACAGGTGGAACCATTGAGTTTTCTCGTCGTAAACGGTCACAAGCACTCGTGATGCGCTTGGTCTCGCTCAAATGCAAAAGTGTGAATGAGCCTTTAGAGCTTTAGAGCCAAGGAAAAAGTAGTGACAGTTTAGACACTGCCCACAAAACGGTCAAGTGTCCAAATACTGCGAGCAACAGAACGTTTCTTTCGCGTTTTGCAAGCAACTGAAAGCTAAGGTTTTGCACGAAGCAAAAATGTTGGCACTTCTGGAGTTCTCTACTTCCTTCACCCCTATGCCGATATCTCGTCGGAAGTAGCATTTTGATTTCCTCAGGCTTGATCTTATCATGTGTTGATATTTTTTTTCTCAGCCTTGCTTAAATTAAATGCAAGTGGGAGAGTTGGTCTTCTCCTTTAAATGCTGCATAATGTGGAAAACTATAAATAAATAAGAAGCCAGGTTGATTTATTGCCAAGCTGTTTGTTTGTCTCTGGTCAGACAGACAGGAGCCATTTGAGGCTTCTTGTGATGAAATCACACTTCCTGTTTTTTCTTTATACTGTCGAGACCGGTTATAACGAAGTCGGTTACTATAACGAAATAGCGGCTACAGCGAAGCGATCCCGATTTCCCATTCCCTTTTGCACTTTGTTAACCGAAGTCTGTTGTAACGAAATAGCGGATATAGCGAAATGATTTCCGATTCCCGTTGACTTTGTTATAACCGGTCTTGACGGTATAACAATGTTCTCCGGCCTGTACCCCTACCTTGTGTAATGTTCGTAAGGGCATTCAGAGTTTAATAAAGGATGACGTTGATGATGAAGTCGTCCCACTGAAGCAAATGGCGAGACGTGATTGGTGCAGCTGCTGCAGGCGGCACTGAAGCGGGAGCGTGTGTCGGCCTCCGACAAGGGCCACCTGGAGATGCTGGACCCCTTCGTGCCTCTCCTGACGCAGCTGGTCGACTCATCCTACGTCAAGGTCAGTTCAGATTTCGGCCAAAACTTGACTTGTACTCGCCACTAAAAATTGCTGCGTGTAACTGTCCTCTAAGTAAGACATTACGCGTGGAGACGGTCGGGCACAATAACTCCCGTTTGTGTAGTTTGCTCAAGTCTTGTCGTCCCGGCGTCGTTGCCGGCGGGTTGAAAACCTGTTGAGAGTTGTCCCATTGCCGTGATCTGCAACTGCCTCTGGTGCAAAGGGGATTACGTACAGTGTTCCTTTGCGCCGTGTTTCGAGAAACTGGGTTAGCATCTGCGAGCTGGCCCACCTTTTAACGCTCGTACGACAGCCCGCCAAAGCATGCATTGTCCCCAGAATTTACTTTTAAGACAACTTATTTCCGGGCAACTTTTTTCGCCTAGAGCGTCGCGAAAGGTTGCAACAAAACTGTGTTGACACGGTCAGTTGCTTTTACAAAAGACCGCGTTTCTCGCAGGAATCGAACCGCTGACCACTCGCTCAGTAATCTGATACCCTATTCCAGTGGTTCTCAAGCATGCATGTGTTCGGACCCCTTAGGGACCCGCCGAAGTGTTGGGGGGGATCCCGCACGAGCGGAGGAAGGGGAAGAGGGAGGGGAGGAGTGTGAAGTAAGACCACTAATTGTAATCTGAAAAGGGCATCCTTTTCTGTTATATACAGAAGTGAGAAGCATCAAGTAAAAGGATGAATGGAGGGATAGATGGAAACGGCTGTACCTTTTATATTGGGTGGTGGCTTGCTCCACCTAGCTAAGATCAACAAAAAAAAGGGTGATTTTTCGAGAATTGAGGAGTGTGGGGGGTGGGGGGGGAGAGGGGAGGGGAGGGGAGGGAAGTGAAGGGGAGGGGAGGGAAGGGAAGGGAAAGGAGGGAAGGGAAGAGAAGGGAGGGAGGGAGGGGGAGAGAGAGAGAGGGTGTAGGGTTAAGGCGAGGGCTTCGCAGAAATGGTGCCCCAGCGGGTCCGCGGAACCCCATTGGAGAACCACTGCCCTATCCCATGCACCGGCGGGGCAGCTTTTTTTTAGTCGTTATAGTTGCCGTTTACATGCTTTGCGTTGCAGCAAAAACTCGGTCACTTCATAGGTGGGGGGAACTCAAAGCATGCTGCAAATTCTATATCTACCGACTTTATTTTTAGGATTAAGATACATTTCAATTTACCGTAGGCAGTGCTGACATTTTTCAAGGGGTTTGTTTCGAAGGTCTTTTAAACGCCCATAAAACGGGGCATAAAAACGTACCTAGCATTGAGGGGGTAACTAGGACGGTGGTCAGACGTTTATTGAACGACACAGAAGAGACTGCAGCTCTCAGTACCACGAGTCGGGCACCATCGTCACTTCCTGGCTTCAGTCAGTGGTTTAGCATGTCACGTCTGTCAAGTGGAGGTCTTATTCCTGGTTAAACATATAAAATAGTGTTGCAAAAGAAGACATGGACACAAAGCAAACGAGACAAGCGCCAAGTTATTCCTGTCAGTTGTGAGACTTGGCAGAAGACCACACGAGGTATGCGATGTCGGGTGGCGCTCATTCATTGCGGCACCAACACATTCCGGTGGGTCGGAAACAAATTCAATGTTCCCCTTGACCTCGGCTCGGTCGTTATTAATTCTTGGTGCGCCGTTTTGACCCCTGGCAGGTGGTGACCACGTCGCTGCGGTGCTTTGTGCGCCTGCTGCGCATGCCCCTGCCCTCGCTGAGCTCACACGTGCAGCGCCTGGGACGCTCTCTCTTTGTGCTCCTACACAGGCACACGGGGGCCAGCATGAAGCAGGGCGAGAACATGGAGCTGCTCACGCTCGCCTTCAAGGTAGGGCCCCAGTCGAGACTGCCGTGTCGTCCGGGCGCTTTGCGAACGGAGCGAGACGTACCGTTGACCGGTGGTGATGTCCGAATTTCTGCGGTAGTGGCGCTGCTAGCGCATTGGGTCTGTGTTGTTTTCCAGGTGTGATTTTCTGGCAAATGCATTGTGTCACTACCTTTGTACATTGAAATACGGGGAAACGCGCAGATTTCTGTGTTGGCGACCTGGCGAAACTATCGTAAATTTGTCGCACGTGCAGAGATGCTTACTTTCGCAATGGCAGGAGAAAAAAAACAAGTTAAAACAAGCTATTTTTTTTTTTGTCGTCGCAGTGCTAAAAACATTGTCACCCGAAAGCACCATTAAAACAAGACGAGCTAGCCAGCGAAGATCCATCAAAGAAGGTGTACGCCAAGAAACAATGCACCTCCTCGATTACATTATGTGGTGAAATTAAACACCTTTTCACCCGATTTTTAATGTTTGCGGAAATCTCGCGGCGCCGGCCATCTCTCTGTGGGCGGGCTGGGCTTTGGTGTGGTGTGCCGGAGCCGAACACCGCCTCTGCCCAGGTGGTGACGGTGCTGGTGAAGGAGGCATCGCTCTTCCCGATGGAGAAGCCCCAGCTGCTGGTTCTGCTCAGCTACGTGGAGCGAGACATCCATGACAACTCCCGCCAGAGCGTCGCCTTCGCCCTGCTCAAGGTCGTCTTCGTTGTACCTCCCCCTTCGGCAGTTTTAGCAGACGGGTCAGACAAAGCGTGCGCTCTATTCGTTCGCACGAGGCCCAAAACGTGAAGCCTCAAGTGATTGAAATTACCAAATTTGCTGGGGAGATTTAACACCAAAAGTAGGTGATTCTGCAAATGTTTTGCTCTCTAGGACGACATTACATACCTGCATAAGATGTATCACTCTTAGTTAAGAAATCTATGATATGCAAATGAAGCCATTAAACACCATTTTGACTGCTTGAATATAAAGTAGGGGACTTTGGGCTATCTACTTTTTATAACTCAGATGTAAATATTTCAGGAAGAATGAGTACCTCAATGTATGAGATGCATAATTGTCCTATGTCAATTTTTAGAAACAGTCTTTTTTTTTTTTTTTTTTTTTTTAATGAGGACTTTAATTTAAGGGGGGACATGGGCCTAAGTTCCATATTTTTTTGAAAAAAACTTCATAACTATGTGCCAAATAGTTATATTGATATAAAATATTTTCAACACATTGTGAGGCAGTAACAAAGTTAAGAAGTTCAATGTTTGAATGTATTTTTCTCAGTTCCGCTTTTTGCTCCAAATTTCATATGAAGGAATCTTTTGTTCGAAGGTAAAATTATTTGATACCACAATCAAGATGTTTCTGAACTGAAATTTACTGGGGAATCGGGCTATCTACTTTATTTTGTTTTAAAGTCCTCATTGAGAAAAAACTATGTTTTCAAAAATTGAATAGCACAGTTATGCATCTCATATTTTGAGGTACTAATCGGTCTTCCTGAAGTAGTATTTACATTTGATTTATAAAAACTAGATAGCCTCAAGTCCCACATCCCCCCTTTATATTCAAGCAGTTAAAATGATGCTTAATAGCTTCATTTGCATATCATAGATTTCTTAACGAAGAGTGATGCATTTTTTTATGCAGGTATGTAAAGTTGTCCTAGAGAGCTGAAAGTTTGCACAGTACACCTACATTTGAAGTTATAAATCTCCCCTGCAAATTTCATTCCAATCACATGAGTAGTTCAGAAATTCAACCACTAGCCAGTGTCCCCCCTTAAGCAAAATAAAGTAGAGCCCGATTCCCCAGTAAGTTTCACTTCAGAAAACTTTTGAATGTGGTATCAGAATACTTTTTCTATCGAACAAAAGATTCCTTCCTTCTTCAATGGCAAGGGAAGGCAGGGAGTTTTGAAATTTGTTAGTTCGAGAGAAGGAGCTTTGAGGGGACGATCAAAACGGTTCAAAACGATCATTGAATGACCGTTGTCGTAACCATAACCAGTCTTGAAATGGGTCATTAGTTGTCCTCACTCGACTCGGCGAGTCTGTCTGTGTGTCTGAAACCCCGTTGCAAGGCAAGAAAAAGTCACCCTCGGCACATAAGTAGCAATCGTGCGCTCTTTGTCTCCGCGTGTGCAGACGGCAAACACTTGCCATGCGGAAGCCTCGAAGCACTCGCACATTGTACCGGTCGTCACAGACGGTCAACCTCTAGCCCTGCGGAAACGTTTTGTACGGAGGGGTGGAAACGTTTCTGGTAAACAGAGAAAAATTTGAATGTATATTATTTCTATGCATGAGCTCGCGAGAGACGTACGTGCAGCATACTTGGAGCAGTGCTGCGCCAGTTGCTATGGTTACGAGATTGCTTACGGCAGCTATTCAGAGCGAAGCACCTCACTCCCGTTGCCCGGCATCCCGTTGGTCGACGGCACAATGGCACATCGTCGTCCCGTTGGACGATGTCGCTCTAATTGACTGGCAATACGGTCACGTGACCATGTCAATCTGATGACCTCCCTTGACAGCCGTCTGCTAAATTTGTCAAAAGACGTCTCACCCGCCAGGTTTAGTTTACCATTGCTTGCATCACTGTGTTTCACGACGCTTTTCCACAACTTGACCCTTGTCCACGCACTCATGACTGCTTATGACTGTGCACCTTAAAACCTCTTGGAATGTTTTATTGCAATTTGGCATTTCGCCAGATCCTTTGCTCCAGCGAAATGCAGTTCCTGAGTCGCCTCACAGGTGGCCTCAGTGTGTCCTCTCGTTGTAAGAGATCGCAAGAACTTGGTTGTAAGCAAACGCAAGTGTGTGAATGGGCCTTTGCGTTCATCTCCTAAAAACCAGCTCCATAACACATTCTTTGTTAAGGGCAACAACTGGTGGCACGGGGGACAAAGCCAATCTTAATTTGACGCGTCCCTTGTCCTTCCCCCCCGTATAGGCGGTGCTGCTCCGTCGAGTGGAGGCGGAGGAGGTTCACGAGCTGATGCAGAAGGTGGCCACCATGAGCATAGCAGACGAGCGGGCGCACGTGCGCGCCCAGTGCCGAGAGGTGAGCTCCGGGCCCACGGTCCCTCTGTCCACCTCTGCGGGCGTGTGGAGTGTAGGAGGCGTCTCCCAATGTGTGCGCCGTTCGTTTGACCACAAAAATGAACTACTAACCGCGGAACAGTTTGTCTCGTCCTGACGTAGTGCCTGTGGTCTGGACGAGACGCCAAAGTCTCGGAGCTCGCCAAAATGTTACGAGCGACTTTTGGAAAATTTCGGTAGGAAAATGGCGGCCGACGAAGCTCTCGACTACGTGGGGTCGTGTCGCGTCGGCCACCGGGAAAGGACCCCGTTTTCCTCATCCGGAAGTTTCAGAACATCTCCCATAACTTTTGAATAAGACAACACTAATCTCCGAAACTTTGCCATCTGGTCCCGACCGCTTATGCCACACTTGGGTAGAAGCTAAGCGTTTGGCGACGTGTAGTTTGTTTTTGTGGTGAAACTAACGTGCACTTTTTTTTTGGAGGAACACACTGCACATCGTGCTTTCTTTCTCTGTAGGCCTACCTGCAGTACGTGCTGGACTACCCGATGAAGCGGCGCATGAAGAACGTGGTGGGCTTCTTCACGGCCCAGCTGGAGTACCCACTGGAGAGCGGGCGCCTGTCCGCCCTCGAGATGCTCCACGCCTACTCCGCCAAGTTTCCCCAGGTCGGGCCGTCGTTGCTCGTGCTTGACTGTCTGCCGAGAGACGTTCGGAGCGCGACGCAGTTAGCACGATTGAGCAATTTTTAGTTGCCGATTTTTAGCTTCGGTCATCCCGCCTCTAGCGTGAGCTTCCCACCTTTGATGATGCTCGGCGTCTTGTGGGCGTCGAGCATTCACGCTCAGCCAAAGCATGGTGGAAGGCAATAAGCGCGCGCCGGAGTTTGGGCGTTCGAAAAATAGGCCCGGTTGTTCTCATTTTGTCGGGGACTACAGTGGCGCGATGGAATGGGCTCGTCCCATGTGCCAACATAAGCCGTGTTTGTGTTTGTTTTTACCGTCGTCGAACAACGTGAAAAAGCGTCACTGTCGTGTTTGCGCCAACGGTGTTGTGAGCTGTATCAATGCTGTGAAAAGGCGGAGAACAAAGAATGTTCTTGACCGGCATTTATTCTTAGTCTGCTTCAGATATTTTCCGTAGAAATGCTACAGAGTTGAATCAGGCACATCCGGGTCGCAGTAATGCCCCCTTTTTTGAGGACGTGCGGCGAGAAAGGCTCTTGAACAGAAACCGGGCTCCATACGAGGATGCTCTTTCGGTCGCTTTTGTGCCCATTCTGGAAAAGTCCCGGTACCATCTTTAAATAAATATTTATTTTTTCTAAAGTTTGTTGCAGTATTTTAAAGTGTATTGTAATAAGTGTTTTTTTAATGGTATAAGTATAATATTCATGCAAGATTTAATTTCTGAACTTCAAAGTTATTGTGGCCGACTCAACAGAAATGAGAAAGATATGGAGTTTTCTCAGCAAAAAGCGGTGGCTAAAAATATCAGAATCTATGAAATGTGGTGAGTTTCAATAATATGAAAGGCTGCAAATCGCAATGCTCTAGGTAAAAAAATTTGTCAAGTTCTACTGCATTGTTTCAACCATCGTGGCAAACATGCCATTTAATTAATCGGTTTCTGGATGTGGTACAACACAGGTACAGTAATCCCTCGTTATAACGAAATCGCTATTTCCGAGTTATCGCTTTTATCGAAGTCAGTGTGGTCCCGACCGAAAGGCGCACATATTAAACCGGACTTTTCTAAGTGTTTCGGCGGGCAACCATGCTTTCTACGAAGACGGAGGTGCCGAAAGCATGCAAGCCTACATGGAGACCCTTGCATGCTCTTCCCCTTCTCCACGGAAGCAAATGGCAAACAAGAAAAATTGACCGCATCTCCACGTGGTGAATGATGTTGATTGGGGCGAAGCTCTGGTGGTGCTTTTCTGCGTAGACGCTGAGCCGCAGCATGCCGAGCCTTTCGTTCGTTTTCATCCATGTCAGAAAGAGAATGTGTGGTATGGAGCGTGGTTATATACGCATTTGAGCATTTGACCGCAGAGCTCTCTCGTCTATAAACGTTGAGCCAATGCATGCAAAGTTTAACGCGATTATATACGCATTTGACCGCAGTGCCCTCTCCTGTATAGACGTTGAGCAGCTACATGCAACGTTTTATCCATGACAGAAACCCCAGCTCTTGAGTTACCACCCCATCTCAGAGCCCCTTACTCATCCCGCAGTCGTGGCCGAGTGGTTAAGGCGATGGACTAGAAATCCATGGGGGTCTCCCCGCACAGGTTCGAATCCTGTCGACTGCGCAAACATTTTTTTCTTTCGTCATTTTTTTTCCCTCAAGAGCACGTGAGCTCATGAGCACGAGCACCAGCAAGATTGATGTGAGCAAGGACGCCGGACAAACAAGGCTAGACCCTAAAGAGCTTCGCCCCTAAAAAGGGATTAAACAGGTGACAAAAGGCAGAAGCGGGCAGATTGCTGCTTCCAATTCTGATGCGCCGACTTAGCCAGGGAGCAGTACCCACGTTTCAATTCTACTCATGGCGCCCACGGCTGACGCTGCCCGACTCCTGTCGGAATCGGGTCAAGGGAGCGATGGAGAAACGGAGGAGATTGGTTCCCTCGATGCACACGCCTGCAGTGTACGCGTGCGTCGTACAGGAGTGGGCGTGTTTACCGAAAGTCGCTTAGATCTGCGAGGTTCAGAAAAGTGGTATGAAATCGCCAAAGAATTTTACGTTCCGGCATCAGCTGTTCGCAGCTGATGCCAAGCAGGGTTTAGTGGACGGGTTCGAGAACTTTCTGTGGTAAGAGAAAGCAAACCCGCGACCCGAACATGAATGATCAGCAACTGTTTGCGTATGTTGGATCTTTTCACAAGAATGCCTGTTGAGCCGTCGCACGATTCCCAGGGCTGCAGGTGTCGCAACAATCTTTTTAAGAGTGTGCGCAAACATGTTGGCAAAGCCACCTATGATAACTTTGATTTATTTGCGCTTGTCGATGCGGAGGTTCCTGTTGTTGCTCCGGCCACGGATGCTGCGATCGGAGACGTTGCGTGCCAGCAAAGTAAACATGAAGCGATGTCAGAGAGGCACCTCGGGAAACACCAACAACTTCTCCCGCTTCGTAACAAAGCAGAGTGTAGCAATGGTGACAGTGGTCTTGCGATGCCTGGAGCATTTCGAGGAGAACTGACGTTCAGATAAAAATATCGGCAAACTCTGCTCAATTGCTTTTTAACTCAATAAAGCTGCCACGAGTTGTTCATAACCAACGTTTCTTTGATTAAAAATACAGTCAGTGTGTTCTGCAGTGTTTCCCTCCACCTTAAAGGCTGCTGCTTCGCTGTTCTTTCGGCTGTATCGCTTTTATCGAATTGCCGCTTATATCAAATTTTTTTGCCGTCCCGTTGACTTCGTTATAACGAGGGATTACTGTATATGTAACAGGTACTGCAGGAGTCATTTGTCTGGTGCTCAACCTCCGATTCCTCGTAACACATCTTGCAGTTGCACCACTTCTCCATTCTATTGGCAGGGCGGGGGAGGGGGTATGTGATGCAGCTGTTGGGGGTAGGAAAGGATGGGTCAGACATACTCTGCATCAAGTCCAAGAATCTCGGTCGAGCTCCGTTTGGAAAGCCAACTGATCAAAATGCGCACTTCTGTAGAGTTCAGAAATGCTTGGGTGCTGCTTGCGGTGTGCTTGAAAAAGAATGCAGGTGTTGAGAGCTGAGATGTCAATGCAGCTTCATGCTTCGCTGCGGCTTCTTAATGGAGATCTGGGACCATGTATCTCCTTTTTTTTCTTCTTTGTTTTGCTAGCGCGTTCTTGTTAGCAGTATGTACTGGGCTCATCATCTGTATGGCGTGCCGGTCTTTTCATTGAAGATAGGACGTCACCGCTTTTTGCTTTCTTCTCCCATCTAAAATCCTTCAACTCAAATGGGGATCCCCCAGAATCTTTACCTGCAGACGCCACGTTCACAACGCAGATCACTATCTCCTCCGGGCGCTCTCTCCTTGCTCAAAATAAATCGCTATCTCGTGGGGAAAAAAAAAAAACTACACAGAAACTCAAACTAGAGTGTGTAATCTAACCACCAGATGCATCGACAACTAGCACAACCTGCCCAGACTTTCACCCAAAGCCAGCTAAGCACATGAAAATCAAAACCGGAACTGAAACAAGCCTTATTGATGCCAGTTGTCAACGCTCCGAGCTTATTTAACGAATCATCGCTGTCCAAACGAAAATCTGATGATCCGACATCGTTTTCTGACTTACTCGTGCTAATGTCGGGAACAGAATCAACCAGGCGCCCTCGAATCGTGAGACGTTCGACGCTTCCGAAGAGGCACTTTGTGCGAGGAAGACGCCTGGTTTGCAGCACTGCGTGGTTAGTAACAATAAACCGCCATCTCGTAACGAAAAAAAAAAAAACTGTAAGGAAACTGAAACTAGGGTCTATTCTGACCACCAGATGCAATAACTTGTCCAGAAACGCGTCGGGGGCAGCTTTGCAACAGGGCTCACGCATCTTCGATCGCAGTCAATCGATTTTGACGGGAGTGGTGCAGAAAGAGATAATGAAGAAGTGCAAGGCGTGGCCTATCATGTTTGCACTTCTCTCTTCATAGTTCCCTCTTGGGCGTTCCCTTCGGGTAAGGCTGCAATCGTATTGGCTACAAAGCTATAAGAGGGGCCTCGCCGCTACCTGCATTCCTTAAAGGACACATGCAAAGGAAAAAGCATTTTTTTTAAATTGCTTAGATGGAAAAAGGACGCCATAAAACAATTTTACAACGTAGAAAAAAAATTTTTAGAGCTATATTTACGGCGCAAAACAAATTTGTAGTTGGCGCCCGCGGGCACCGCGGAAAAGTAGTCCGTATTTATCACGTGACTGGTCTTTATTTATCATGTGGTGCTTGCGTTCTTTCGGAAGCTTCCTATGGCCTCTAAAAGTAACTTATTCATCTTTGTTTGAAGTATAACAAAAAACTAAGATGAATAAGTAACTTTTAGAGCCCAAAGGAAACTCCTGAAAAAGCGCAAGCAGACGTGATAGACCTGTGCGCCGGCCAGACGACGGCGGCGGCGCCCCGAAGCGGACGAACTTGTGCGGCGGCGGTGACGGCGGCGTGGAGAAACGCGTTGAAGCAGCGTTCGCACAACGCTCAGCGTGCGGCGGCGATGCAGCGCGGCAGCACGCGGGCCTACCACGTGACCAGCGGCGGCTCCCGCGAGCGCCAACTACAAATTCGTATAGCGCCGTAAATATAGCTCTAGAAATTTTTTTTCTTCGTTGTAAAATCGTTTTATGACATCCTTTTTCCATCTAAGCTGTCTAAAAGAAATGTTTTCGTTCCTTTGCATGTGTCCTTTAAGCCGTCGGCGACCCTACGGCAAGCAATCGTTCCAAAAAAAAGTTCAGCCTTTCCACTCGTGAAAAAGGAAGACCAGCGGAGCTGTACTCTATACACTGCCGCAACGCACACGCGCCCGTTTCCCGCTTCTCGTCCGACACACCGCCGATCGTGGATACGTCTCCAGCGACCCAGAGTCGGTCGCACACCGCGCACGTGACGCCAAATGGGTAATCCACAAACTCCCTCCAGAACATTGCCATCACGCCCGGGAACTGTTCAGCGGGCACGGCGTGCAGGCATCGCCGGGCCTCGCGCTTGCACTTGGCCTCCGTGGCACGATCGTCGTCCGTGGCATTGGCCCGCCGGCGCCCTTTACATCGCTGGTTTTGTTCTCGCCGGCGGCTTTCCAGGCGAGCGATGTGCTCTTCTTTGGCGAAGGAATCTGAAGCGCTTGACGCAGTGGAAGTCGAGGCGACAGCGGCTTTGCAGCGGTTACGGACCGATTCGTGCTGCTGCGTACGTCGCCACTCCTTCCGCAGCCAGTCTTCTTTCCCCGAAAGGGCGCGCGACCAACCCATCCTAAACCGAAACTGATAAGAACGTAGGAAATAGCGTGCAGAACAGACGTGACGAGCGCTGCGCTCGTTACGTGTGCTGCTTCTTTGTCGTCGTCTGTTTTTCGCGCTGTTTTCTACAGCGAATTCCCACCAACGCGCCGCCCAACTATCCGTTCTTCTATGATAGCTCGAAAGGTTGGCCCCATCTACGAGCGACGGCAGCAACCATACTGGTTGTGTGCTTGCCGCCGTCGCTTATAGATGGCGGTAGCTGTTCAGAGGCGTTTGTGTCGACAAATGTTTTGTACCGGACACGATCCTCGGGAACCTAGTTCTTAATAGCTCTGCTGTAAAAGCATCTTTGGCAGTTCGGAACTCAGGAAGGGGCACGTCAATGAAAGGGCAACGTAGAGAGGGCGCGGGGAACACGCTACGGCAAGGCAACCAAGCGCGTGTCGTCGGGGGTTTTAAACAAACGCCGGCGGGTGCACTTTGCGAATAAACGAACGCACGGGGTGCACGCGGCAAAGACAAACTCGCACACCGTATGGGAAACTTAGCTACGTGCTCGGAGCAAACAAGAAGGCAACGAGCTGTTTTTTTTCCTGATTGCAGAAGACGCTGCAACACTACTCTGGCACCCTGTTTGTGTCAGTGGCGGCTCGCCTGGTGAACGACCCCTCGTCCAGCGTGCGCCGCGTGGCGGCCGCTGCGGTGCGCGGCCTCCTCGAGAAGGTGAGTCGCTCCCGCCAACGTCTCGCTATTGGCAGTGCGATTCCCGAGGGCGTTTAAGCGAGGTGTGCGCGGCGGTAAACTCGTCGCTCTGGTCATTTCTGCCATTTGCTCTTTGGGACGCGAGGGCGGAGAGGTTTGGGGGATCGACGGTCAAACGCCTCCCTCGAGACATTAGCGAGGCAGCACATGTGCTTGCGCAAACGCGCCTTCCCGCTGCTGCCGCCTCATGCGCGAGCGTGCGAAGGCAACCTGGTGGACCTAGATTGACACGCAAAAATAGAGTTATGCAAGCTCGATCGTGCTGACAAATGTCTGGGGAGCTTGGAATGGGTCCCGCACAAACCACACTCCGTGTGTGGTTTGTGCTAGATTTTTCAATTTTTGATTCATTTTTTTATTTGTTTTTAATTTTTTTTATTTTCGTGTCTTATTTATTTATGTATTATTTTTATTTATTATTTTCATCCAAAACGTGCCACTTTCCCGGTACTTTTGCCATCAAATACAAACATTGACCGATCATATGAGCTGCACTTGTAGGTCAGTGGCTCTAGCATCCGATTGCCACCCCACTGACTCAGGTTCGAGCACCGCCGGGGTCTAGAACTTTATAAACTTCATATGTAATCTTAACGTCTCTGTAACGCTTCCAGTGTACTCCGCATGAAACCCATTGTGTTAAAAAAAAAAATTTGATGTTCATGTTTATGCAGCGTAAGGCTGGTCTGCCTTTGAGGTATGGCGACACCGGTTTAAGCAGTAGATGAGAAATTTAGCCAGGGCAGTACGACTTTTAGCCTGGGGTTCTGTGGCATGAGCTTTCGCTCCATGTGCTTGTAGCCGCGGTGTGCTAACGCACGTGGCCACCGATCCCTTTGGAAAGTCGGAAGTGGCATGGAAGCAGCCCCTTCCGCGTAGACAAGCGTAGAGCTATTTCAGTGGCGCCTTCATTTAGGGTTTCCACCGCACAGCTGGATGACAACGGACGGACTTCCCTGTTCTCGGTGGCCCTGGCGTGGTGTGGGGAAAAAATGGTGAGTGTTTACAGACAACATTCCGTGTGTGGTTTCTGTTGGGTTTTTTATTCTTTTTAGCATCAATTTTTTAACTTATACTAGAGCGCAGCTGTTTGGCGCCTGTTTACGCGTTTCGCGGCGTCGCCGTTGCCGTCGGCGTAAGCCCCCCCCCCCCCCCCTGTTAAATTTAGCGGGAAATTGAATTGGTGCTGAGGTCACCCGACTTCAATTTTCCCACTAAATCTAGCGGAGAAATCGAATTCGTCAATGGGTGACGTGACACGAAGTCATGTGACATTATTTTCCCCGCTAAATACAGCAAGGAAAATGACGTCTCACGACTTTGTGTCACGTGATGTCATTTCCCCGCTGACCGAAGGTGCGCTCCGCGAACCTTTGGTCAGCGGGGTGGAGGAGGAGGAGGACATACCCTCCCCTTCATACCCTCCCATCCTCCTAAAGAGCTGCGCTCTAGTTTCGCATTACAGTGATTTGTAAACTTCTTTCATTTTAGAGTGCAGCTCTTAGGCACCCATTTTCGTGTTTGTCGGCGGCGGCGTTATGGCGTTAAATTTAGTGGGAAAATTGACGTCACGGGATCTCAACACCAGTTTGATTCCCCGGTGGGAGGGTACGTAGGAGGAGGAGGGGAGGGTACAGAGGAGGAGGAAGAAAAAGGGGAGGAGCAGAGGGTACGGAGGAGGGGGAGGGGCATACCCTCCCCTTCTCCTCAAGAGCTGCACTCTGATTTCGCATTACAGAGATTTGTAAACATCTTTCATTTTTTTTATTTGTATTCCTAATTATTTTCATTTTATTTTTATTTTTTATTTTCTTATTACAGTTTTTATTTTGTTAATTATTTTTTATGTTTCATTTCTATTCTGTTATTTTTTATTTTCTTTATTGTTATCTCTTTTTTTATTAGTTCTTTTTTAATGTAACTTCTGTTGCTCTCACTGGCATGTCTGCATTTGTAAAATCGTTCACCCTTCCAGACAAGCTGCATTAGTGGCTCAGTGGCTATAGTATCCGACTACCACTGCAAAGTTTGGGCTCAAACTTTTATATAATGTTCATATATAACCTTAATGTCTCTAACTCTTCCAGTGTGTCTCTCGCTTATGATGCTCGGTCATGACAATTTTTTCATAAAAAATTACCTATAATGCACATTCTGCGTTAAAAGTTTGTTTTACGAAAAAAGTACTGCAGGAACAGTTCAGAGTGAGGTTGGCCACGCAAGTGCTTGGGCACGTTTCATTCAAGATAAGATTTAGGGAAATGATTTTACGAAGACATTATAGTTCTCAGGATCTCGGCGCATTTCGAATTTGCCGCCATTTCCGCCCTCATCGTGGATATGAAAAAGTCAGGTCGCCGAACCTGACAAGGGTGTGGAAGGTGTTCATAATTTGCTTAGGCGCTATAACCTCTCCGCAGTGACCTACCGGGTACGGCGGCGGAACCCTGCATAGGTGAAGGAAATAAATAACCTCTCATTTGACCAGGCTGACAAAACAAAACAAGTAAAATAAAATTTTGAAAATTAAAAAAAAAGGTGAAGGGGAGTTATAGTTGCACTTTGTTAACAACATGAGTGTCTTGTAAAAGGAAAGACTCTGGGTAACCATGGTTGCTCTCTTTCGAAGGGAGTCTCTTCCGGACACTCGGCCTTGAGTATGCACTCACTGCCTTACACTTCACTTTCAGCCGTGCGTGTAGGCTCGGAGCACACTAGATGCCGGTGTGTTGTCAGGTATAGAGAGTGCGTGCTATAGTCAGTAACAGGTTAAGAAGAGTTGGCGAGGGAAAGGAAGGCTGGTGAGGAGGAAGCAGACGGAGGGCTGGAGAGGAGGAAACTTCTTTTCCCAGCGTTCCGTCTGCTTCCTCCTCCAGCCTTTCTTTCCCCTGCCAACTTTTCTGAACCTATAACTGACTATAGAGGTGGGACAACCACACGACCTCTCTGCCATTCTGGTCCTGCCAATGGCTATAGAAAGTTCTAATCGGTGGAGTCCAGCTACGACAATACTCCATCTCGCCCTTGCACGGACCGCTGTCGAGGCTACAAACAAGTGCTCCCGCTGCGCGAGCACTTGCGGGAGCACTTGTTTGAGCGAGCGGGAGCGAGGGGCCCGCGTTTGATGGCAAGACAGAGTATGGTCTTGCGAAGTACCTCCAAGCCCTCGGGGAAAGTCAATCGTAGTGAATGCGACCGTTTCCAATCTCTCCGTCGACGCAGCTCGCAACGCGACGCCTGGCGGCGCAAGTAATCGGCCTGTTTGCGGAAGTGGAGAAGGACAAGTTTGCCCGGCACCTGCCGGCCCTGCTGCCCGTCCTGGTGGAGCAGATGCATCCGGACCGCTTTCAGGAGGTGGGGCGGCACGGGCTTTGCGCCTCTTTTTCTTCGGCGTACGTAAACGGCGGTTCTCCAGAATGCCTCGCCCTCACGTTCGTGGCAACCGTGGCCAGTCTTCCAGAGTCCGAAATTCTGCGTGAGCAAAGAGGATAAAGGGAATGACATCCCGTTCGTTTTGTTTGTCCTGGTTGGAGCGCAAAAGCATTTGGCGAAGTCAAAATGTCCCAGGCAGTGTGTGGTTCTCTAACGCCGGACGTGGCCGGGACACAGAGTGCCGTGGCAGACGTGGAGCGGACCAAGGACCACATGGCCTACCTGTACCTGGTGTCCCTATCCAAGGTGGCCATGGCCTGCCCCCTGGCCAGAGACGCCGGCTCCCAGGAACACTTGGGCACGCTCTGCGGTAAGTTTGTTTCTCCACGTCATCTTCCGTCGGACTAACCGAGCCAACGTCAGTATGTCGACTGTGGGGGATTCACTTTTCACATCGGAAGCCATTATCGTCATCGTTGGCTACTCTTCCTTTTGCTTTCAGGCAACACACTTTTTTTTAAATGTGCAAGACTGTTATTTGTTTTGTTACGTTTTAAGAAGTTGATAGTTTTGTTAATAACATGTTTCCGGCGTCGTGCTGCGGCTACCGAAACACATTTAAAATCCTAACCTGTCAAAGTTGCAAAAGGAAGTGTCTCTCTACGCACAATGCATTCCTAGTCAGTTCGCCCGGATTCATAGAGTCAAATGTTTGCACATTCAGAGCAGACAATACGTGCTTTTTGTTATAAACTTACGTTTAGCAGACAATGTGTTTGCTAGCACCACCGCCACAAAACGCTTAGTCGCGAAAATTAATTGAAGCACGCAGTAAAATGGCGATGCTTAAAACAATAGATGAAGCCAGCACGTCCTCTCATCGCGATCGGTCACAAGTGGTCACAACGCACGCGGTGACGCTCGCATGCAAGCGAGCCTCAACACCGCGCCTGCGTCCCCTGCGGTTGCAGACTACGCTCTGGAGTTCCTGCTCCACCCGCACACGTGGGTGAGGCTGGCCGCGGCCCAGCTGTACGGGGCCCTCTTCGCGGCCTACAGCCCCGAGGAAGTGGCCGAGGCGTGCCGCGAGGATGCGTCCCCGTCGGCTCCGGAGTACCTCCTACAGGGAACCGCTGCCAAGGTGCGTGCATGCTGGGACGGCAGTAGAATCGTAAGGGCAGACATTAGTGGTTTTGGTAGGAGGAACGGGAAGGGGAGCGATGGATAAGCGGAGGAAAAGAGCAGACAACGGGCTAGGCACGTTCGTTTCGCTGCGACGCACCTAACCTGTTGTCGGTTGCCCATCGAATTTTGTATCCTTTCGTGCAATGCCCGACGCCCGTGTTTTCTCGCAATATAAAGCTAGAAAAACCTTTCAGTAACCTTACAAGTATTATTTTACCGCCACTTTTTATTTATGGACGCCTCGCGAGAGGTGTGGGCTCACCGGGATTGCCAATGTCTACCTCTATGCACCAGCATTCCGAGGTGTCGAAATGTGCAAAGAGAGGGCGGACCTTTTCCTCTAGATTTATTATACGAACCCCCCGGCACGCACCGACCAACCGAAAAACTTGGCCACCTCCTCGTCTCTTTCAGGTGCGTCGGCTAATGGAAAGCTTCTGCAGCCAGATTCAGGCCTCCGAGGTTTCTAACGAGCTGGCCGAGCAGGTACGTTCTTCCTTCTCTCTCTGCCTGACCGTGCATTTAGAGGGCTGAAAAAAACTTTATTTTGGGTATAAAAATGGCCTTGTCAGGAAGAGTGGTTTCACATCTTCTGTGTGGGCAACACAGGCAAACTTAACGGAAGCAGAGCCGAGATTTATGTAGCCGTCACGTTGCAGTCACTCTAGTAGTAGTGTCTGTACCATGCTGGACACCAGCTAAATTTAGTAGGCTAAAGTCCCGCAAAGTTTTAGCACGAGGCTCTTATTTGTCACACGGTCACACGGCCGAGTGATGGATAATTGCCAGGCCTGCCAGCTCCCGTTACGTTTGGGCGTCGGGTCGTAACGTCACGTGACTAATGGTGCAAAGGAGCGATGTCATGGCATCAACATTGCGACTAGATCTAATAAATGTTGGGTGTCGAGCTGCGACGTAATGCGAGGTCGTGCCCCGTGACCACGTTGCGCGACATCTGGTCCCATGACATCAAGCTGTCCCACTGCCCAGATTTGCACATACTATGTCTCAAATGCACTGTCCATACGAGACGTTTGGGCACTAGATCAAAGGGGCGCCTTAATTGTTTCTACACTCTGTTACAAGTTAAGGTTGCAACTAGCAACAGGGTATAGTATTAGTATCTCGGCTCCCTACCCCTAAAAGCTGATCGGCCCGCTCAGAAGTGTTTACATTGACACCCGACCTTCTACGCAGGTGGTTCGCAATTTGGTCTTCCTGACCAAGGTGTGCGTGCGGGTGTCACGGATGGGGGCGGAGCACAGCGGCAGGCTACCCACCGTGGACTGGGTGCTGCGAAAGATGGCCAAGGAAACGCAGCTCGAGGTCTCCAACAACCCACGGAGCACCGTCAAGGTGACGGCCACACCCACCCACTAGTCGTCTCCATCTTTTTTGCGACTACCAAGGCCAATATTGGGACTGCGAAGCATCTTATTAATGTGAAAGCATGAACTGTCCCATGGAGCGAAGCCGTCGTTGTCTGTAACCGTCTGTAGCAGCGAAATGGCGGTTAAATTCCCATTGGCCAGCAAAACTGCAGTTAAATTCTCATTGGCCTAAGGCACAGCAATGCAGATGCTTCGTCACGGAAGCCGTGGGGGAGCGTGATGTCACCGCCAGAGCACCACGTGAAAAAGGAAGACGTGGCACGCTGCTTGTAGGAATGCGCTGCGTGTAGGAATGCTTTCGCATTCCTACTCATAAGCAGTCTAAAGTGTCCTCTTTAGTCTTTATTGCTCTTCAGCCAATGATTACTAACATAACAAACCACGGCCTGCATTTTTTTTAACTGTGGCTATAAAGTGTTGAAGACTGAATGGGAACAGAATCTGGTACGGGTACCCAGAGAAGATACAAAAAAGGACGACGAGTCTTTTTTCCACTAGATGCGCTCAATGCAAAAATTGTGATGAGCTACAATTCTTTTTACCTTGACAGAGGGAGAGTGTTTTGGTTAGGTTATAAGAATAAAGGGTGGAAAACAATGGAAAGAATGGAAAAAGGCCGATCGGAAAAATGTCGACCTGTTCCCGTCATTTTCATCACCTTCCGTCGTTTCTTTTCGATAACCTCAGTTTCGCAGGTTTCATGACGCCACGTAATATTTTAAAATTTGTAATTACTTTTAAGCTAGTTTCTGTCTGCAGTTAATTTAACAACTATAGGCCCTGGCTGGCAGTCTCGACTACATAATCCTCAGTCCTTTGCTGGAGCACTCCACAGGTCCAGCATTTGCCGTGGGATACGGATGCTCGGAATAATTGAGACCCAGAGCTAAGGGGGAGTTTTGAGCGGCGGAACGCAACCGTCTTCCAGCGGAGCCACGTGTTCAAGTTCCTGGCGGCCGTGGCCTTGGATCTCCAAAGGGACGAGCTGAAGGCACGCCTGGAGACCATCCTGCGTCCGGTGTGCAGGGAGCTGGAGGACCGGTCACCCAGTCACAGTGAGCATGGCGGCCTAATCGTGTGTCGGCAGCAAGAGACACCCTGTTCTCGGACAAAGTTGGCCTCTGTCTGAGAAACACTGAACAAGTCGAGCAACATTGTTTTTTTTTCGTAGTGACTAGCGTAGGTCGAAGTTTGGGGCATGTACTGGGTCTCCACAAATATATTTTGTCTTCCGAGCCGCTCTCTTTCGCAGAGCATCGGACACCGTGCATATGTTCACAACCCTATTTTTGGCTTGATTTGCTGTATATTTTTTAAACACCGAAAGATGGCCCATTCCTAGTACTAATAGTGGTGTTGGGATCAACGATGGCCCCGACGTAAATGCAGCTAGTTCGATATGGCGGGATACAAGCGAATGTTGCCGACTTGGAAGTACAGTCATCTTTGCTTCGTTGCCCCTCGCCACCATAAAGGCCCGTTCACACTCTTGCGACCTCTTAAACCTGGGTTCCTTAAAACTTCTTAAACCAGAGAACACACTGGCGCCATCTATTGGGAAGCAGTGTAAACTCGGCGGTTTGGCATATTTTTTTTTATTTCTCGCGCATTATCCTTTCTTTTTTGGCTCGAAAAACTTTTGTCAATGTTATAAACGAGCCTTTCTATGGGTATTACGCACATTTGACCTCGGCAATTCCGCAAAACCTTCGCTCTTGCGAAATGCAGTTCCAGGGTCACCGCATAGATGGCGCCACAATGCCAGTGTGTTCCCTCATTCTAAAAACATTTAAGAAGTTTTAAGAGATCTCGTCTCTCTCAGTCGTACTCGGTCGCAAGAGTGTGAACGGGCCTTAACAAGCTTGGAAGGGACACAACCTAAAAATTGGCAATTTGATTGTACACCGAAAGTTATCCAACTTCGTATTTTCAGTCGATTTGCTGTTGATGTTAGGTGGGCTATCTCTCGGGGTTTTACGATAGTTCTACCTTTGTTTTACATGATATTGTTCATATTGAATGAAAATTTCCAATTTCGCTAGTTACACATTTCTGTCAAAGGTATCTACAGCCATTTTATTTACTCAGGCTGTTTCTAGAACGATGGTGCGGACGACAGAATTCCTGCTTGATTGAAAGAAAAATAAACAAAATGATTTTAGCGTGCTCAATAATATATTTAAATACATTTTCGACCAAAGGTCATTTTTGAAATTAAATATATGTATATTTAGCTTGCACAACTTGATAATTCCCCTTGTTAAAATTTGAGTTGGAGACAGAAACAGGCAAACAACAAGCAATACGTTTAGGAACTTCGAGCCCTTTTTCGACCCCCCGCTGCCCAACGGCAAATCGGATGAAAAATATTGTCACAGCGTTTCAAGAGACGTGAATAGAGTGAAGAGGGTGAAAGATGTTACATAACTTTAGTTCGCTTTTGACATACAACTAATGCTTATTCACCTCCCAATTAAAAAAAGAAAAAGCTAAGAAGCAAATATTAAAAGTAATGGGGTACATGGTTATTTACACATTAGAATGAAGGAACAAGACATTATCTACACACTCCGGAGACAACCTCGTCCTTTGCTGTTGAAGCAGAGTCCAACAGAGCCGAAATTTTGCTCCCTACTCGTGCTTGTCGCTGGAATACACAGGATTCTCCGCGCAATTTGGCTGACCAAGCTATATTTGTATGCGCGAGATTTCCACCGTCAGAGAAGGTCCCCAACGTCCCCACAACTGTTGTCACCGTCTAACTAGTAACGTTTCACCTTGGTGTTGCCAGGGCGAGGTTTCTCGGCTCGTGGCCATTCTTTGAAGCCGGTGGGTTTTTCTGCTTTTGGCTTTTTGGTGCGTTGCTCATCCTATTCAACTAATTCACAAAACACCTCTATGCAAAAAAAAAAAAAAAAAAAAAAATCTAATCTATTGTTAGGTTTACTGATGAGTAAGGCTTCGTGGATCCTAGAAATGTCTTCAGGGGTGGCAGACGCCCATTTGAGAACCGCTGACCTGGCCTAGAACCTGAGCTGCAGTACACTATCCAGATTGGCACTTTTTGTGTTCATACAAACTTTCTGCTTCTTTTTCTTGGTTTTTGAAGATAAAATCTTACTACCGAAATGTTTGGCAAGGTCGGGCCGCCGGGTCCTGATGCCTCCAAGTAGTAGGCCCGACTCAAGCCCGACACAGTTACAGATAAATCGGCCCGAACCCGACCCGAACCCGAACAGTGCTCTCACGTATTGGCTCAGGCTTTCGGGCTAGCCCGAGCTTGTGCAAATCTCTAGCTGGCGGCCCACCATCAAAACGGGTCGAAGCGGTCGTTCGATGACAAGAAACAAAGTGACGAGAAAGGGCGCTTCTGGCAGCAGCACACACTTTCCAGACAACGGGGCCGTAACGCTGGATTTTCTGTCGCCCACTGAAGGCCAGAGTGAGGTAAAGATTGGACGCGAGTGCCCAATCTGTCAGCGATCGGCCGGGACTCTCGTTCAATCGGCCGGCAGCACGCCCGTCTGTTGGTCAGAGGCAAGTCGTTGACAGGTTTCCCCCGGTGTCCCAGGTGAGGAGATGAAGACGCTGGCCCACGAGGTGTCCTCGGTGCTCAAGAAGGCGGCCGGGGTCGAGGCCCTGGGCTCGGCCCTGGTCGCGGTGCAGGCCGAACTCTCGGGGAAAAAGTTCCAGCGCAAGAGGACCAAGGCCCACGAGGTGCGTGCACCCTTCCGGCTAAAACTAGTGGCGCCGGAGGTGTTTGGGAGATGGCAAGGGCGGTGGAAGAGGAAGGGGATTTCGGCTCCCCTTCCTTGTTTGCTAGAAATGCCTGAAACGTCTGGGGAGGAGAGCCCTCGGTCTGATGCCACAGCCTCTTGTCAACCTGCGAAATACTAAACAAACTTTGCTACATTAGCACACCTGCTCTACACCAGTACTTTGAGAGGCCGCACAAGGTTACGACGTTATTCATATATCTCGCAGGCGGTGAGCAACCCGGAGGTGAATGCGAGGAAGAAGATGAAGCGGCAGCTGACAAAGAAGGAGGCCCTCAAGCGCCGGCTGTCCATCAGGGTCGGGAAGAAGCCCAAGAAGAGAAGAAAGCTCGCCTGAGCTCGTCCCCTAGTCTGTACATACCATTAAAATGGAATATTGACAGTTTAGAATCGGCGACTCAATTGCCATTGGCAACTCTGTGCTGGACGCTCGCTTGCCGTCTGATCGGCAAATCCATGCTTAGTGGTCCAGATCCTGAATGTTTGGTGAAGTTTACAAAACTTTCCATGAAGTGTAAGGATTCGGATTTTTACGAAACTTGAGTCGTATTTCACAAGTGAATACAGTCGAGCACACTTGTATCACACTTGGGAATTTCGAATTATTGTTTATATCTAACAGTCCCCTTGAATATCTAACATCCCCCTTGAAAATCACATGTAATAGTACAAGCGCGTTTTTTTTTTTTCTATATCCAACTTCAGTGGCGGGGATACTCGATATAGCACACGAAGCTGGGCCGCCCGTCGCTTTTCCCGCGATCTGATTGCGCTGGTCGCAAGCACATCGCTCACATTGTGTGGCTGGCAGACCGTCAAGCCAGCATACACGCACGGGGATACTTGGCAAAAGAGCAGTTGTGGGAAAGGAGAAAAAAAAATTACACCATCTTCCTGAGGGGAACCATGGGGTGATGCGGAGCATCGTTTCATCACACTTCATCGGAAGAATGAAGTGGAGTCAACAGCGGTGAACTGAACGCGCGCAGAAATTGATTTGCTCTTTAAGTTTATACAGCCTTGATGGAGATGCGCCTCAACGGGTAATCGGTCTCTTAGCAGTAGATGAGAAATTTAGCCAGTGCAGTACAACCGCTAACCTGGGATTCTTAACGTCATCACGCAGTAGTCATCACACGAACGCGTGCCGGTACGAAACTCATCCAGATCGAAACGGGCGGGGGTGGCGAGGACTCGAACCCAGGAGGTTCCTAGCGCAAGCTTTCGCTCCACGCTCCGAGCTGAGACGCGTTAGCCCACTCGGCCACTTCCTCCCCTTGAACGCGCGCAGCGCGCTACCGCTGCTTATATTCAAACTTGAAGGAGAAGAAACTAGAGGAGGAGAGTTGCGCCTGCGTGCGCGGTGTGAGTAGAAGCGAACGCACGCGAAGTGCACGCAGCTGGTAGCTGCCTGCGCTTCGCGCAGCTGTTGAAGAGAGAGAGAACGCACACGCAGCTGTTGGAGAGAGGGACGCAGCTGGTAGCTGCATGCACTTCGCGCAGCTGTTGGAGAGGGAGAGAACGCACAGGCAGCGAGGAGAGTTGCGCATGCGTAGTGTGAGTGCGGACTATGACGCCGCGGGACATAGCCCGAGCAAGAGATGCTCCGCATCTAAATGTGAAAGCCGTTTACAACCCCCTGTAATGCCGAATTGGAGTGCAGCTCTTGAGGAGGGGGAGGGAAGGGTACTGAGGGGAGGGTAGACCCCTTCTCCTCCTCCTCCCCTTATTCTTTAATATGCTTGGGGGGGGGGGGGGGGGTCACCTGACCTCGGGGGGGGGGGGGGGGGGGGGGGAGGGGGTCACGTGACCTCGGGGGGGGGGGGGGGGGATCATGTAACCTCAGGGAAGGGGGTCACGTGACCTTGAGGTGACCTTGGGAGGGGTCACATGACTTAGCTTACGGCAACGCCGACGCTGCCCAAGTCGGAAACGGGCGCCTAAGAGCTGCGCTCTAAAAGGACAACCGTAAGGAAAAGACACTTACAGGGGTGGAACTCATGAAATGTGCTTGGGAGCAGCCACGGGAGCAGCTAAAACAGCTGTTTTGGAGCAGGTTGGGAGCAGCTAAAACTACACTCTGGAGCAGGCTAGGAGCAGCTCAAATCAGTTTTCATTGCACCCCAGCTTATGTCTTAGACAAGCACGGGAGCAATTTCAGTTGTGCTTAGCAGCCCAGATAAACATGAGTGGTTAGGGACCTAGGCAGATGGGATAACAGTGTAACAGATGCGAAAAATTGGAACTTTGTGAGCCTTGATATTTTCCGAGTGGCTTTCAGCTGCTCAAAATGCAAACCAGCACCGCTTATCGCACAGTCCACACGTCCTCGACAGAGTGATTTTATGTGCGAACCACGTGACGTGCGTAAGCAACGGACGTGCAGTTGCGCGGAAGAACAGGGAAACAAATTTCGAGTTTCTCATATTGCGCAACTCAATATCGCAACAAAATTCGAGTTTATCCTATTGTGCAACTCAATATCGAAGCAGCAGACTACGATTAACGGAGTTATCGTATTCGAAGCGATAAGCAGGAGCAAGGTAATGCCGAGCAGATCGACCGCTCGCGTGAGAGCTGCTGGCCGGCAAGGTTTCGGATCGGACTGCGTTTCAGATCTATCAAATCACGATTTATCTTGCAGGAATGCGGTTCCAACTTCTAACGATGAAGTGCTAGAAGGAATCTTTTGCTCATTTGTTTTCAACTGACTGGCGTCCGGATCCCGGGCTGCGGAGCCTCGGGCAATCTGACGCTTAACGACTCGACCTCACCTCGACCAACTTGTTTAACCGCTTATGGTTGAAGAATAACAATCCAGAGGCAGATGGTGTAGCGCTTGGAATCCGAACCCCAAATTTTTTTCGCACACTTCCTACTCGGGATACACAGGGAGAATAAAGAGAAAAAAAGGATTGCAAGGCCGACCAAGCTAAACGCGATCATTGTTGCCAATCGAGTCGATAGAAACCGAAACCGAGACAAAATACAATTTTTTTGGCGCACGTTTTCCAATTTGGTGCATAATGGCGCGAGGTATTGGCTGTGGCGCAGTTTCCGAAACATGGCGCAGGATGGTGCAGACAAATGCGTCTGGCGCAAAATGGCGCAAATGGCGCAGCCGTTCCACCCCTGCACTTAAGACTGATAACGTGTCGAAATGCAAAAGCGTTCGACACGTATTCCTACAAGCGGTGCTCCGTGCTGAGCTCTGTCGTGCAGCCTCTTAAGAGTCGGCCCCGGGCGGGCTCTGCTGGCTCTGCGGCTGGCCGCTGCACCGTCAGGGAGGGGGATTCTCTGTGAGGTGGCGTTTCTTGGGACTACGCCGCACGCCAACCAATAGGGTAGCTGCTGCAGACCACAGCCTTTGCTCCACGGGACAGGGAAATTTAGGTGCCGTTCGACACGGCTTCAAAAGCTGATAACGCCATCTCACTCCATGGACCAGTTAATGCTTGTGCATTAAAAAAGTGGAGAATGACAAAAGCTAGGGGAAGTGCACACGCGCGCATAGGGAAGTGCCTGTTCTTGGAACCGTAGCATGTGCGCTTTCCCGAACACTGCTGTCACTGCACTACTCCTTAACCCCAAAATAAAACAAGCAAAAAAAAAAAAATGTTTGGCAAGTTGCGCGTGTTCACAACAACGGTTGTGCTATTGCACTTTGAAAGCCTTATCTTTGTTTAATTTTCCTTCGCTGTTCTTGCTTTGACCGTTTTTTTTTTTTATTTATTAACTTTTTTTGTTGTTTTTCTTGCCTGAATTTGGAACCTTTAATGCGAGAGCATTAACTGTCCTATGGAGTGAACCGACGTCGTCAGCTTTGAAGCCGCAAAAAACAGCCCCTTCTCCTGCCCTAATGTCGTTTGTAGCAGAAATCTGATGGATAGACTCCCATTGGCTGGCACGCGTCATCAAGGAACAGGCTCCCATTGGCCCTCGTGCGGCGTAGTTTCAGAAAACGCCACCAGAGAAGCCCTCTCCATGGCGGCGCAGTACAGGCAGTGGCCCGGCCGGCAGTAAGAGGGAGCGCTGCAGGCAGAGCCCGCCCGGGCACATTTCGGAGGAGATGCATGGCCAAGCTTAGCGCCAAAATGTTGCAGACGAACTACGCCGCTGACGAACTAGGGGATTGGAAGAACAACATTCATGCTTTCGGATTCACGACTCGTAAGCAGTGCTTAGATGTCCTCGGAATTTTTTTTGTTAACTTTTTTCTATGGATCAAGAGATTTGTTTTGCGTCTCGCTTGTTCCATTTTTTTTTTTTTTTTTGTGTGTGTTTTGTTGCTCGTGATATGGAGGTCGCAGCCAGGCGCAGGCGTAAATGTGGCGGTGTTTTTGGTTTCCCCTAACTATGCTCTACTGTGTTTAGCAGCTCTTGGATGCTCTATTTGGTAAGCTCCCATTTGTTGCGTCTTGCGAGGAAATTTCAACTGGAGCTCGAGTAACATTTTTGTATATCAAATTATTGATATAGCAAACTATTTTACGATCCCTTTTGAATTCGATATATCCGGGATTGACTATGGCTCACAGAAAGATTTGAAAAGTACTATATTGCCCTAGGCGGTAACCTTAAACACTGCAGCGGATTGTAAAATTTAGAGATCCGAAGCTGCTGCAACCATCTCGATGGCTATGGCTGTTAATCTTCAGTCCAATGACCACATTAACATGACTATACACACACAAAAAAAAAATGCACGTCGGCCAGGAATTGGGGCATGTGCACTACCTTAGATGCTAATATGCAGGGTGCTTGTTTTAAACTTTTTTTTTTTCTAATAAACTAAATTTTTAAGAAAGCTTAGAGTCCATCGGATCAGAAGTGTGTGTACCAATTCGGGCAACAAAGACTTCTACTTTGGGCTATGGCCAAGCACAACTGATGCCAGAAGCCGACGTGACGATTCGACCAACACCAATTTCACATCCCAGTATTCGGCGTCCTGTGAATTCATCGAGTCCACTTTTCCCATCCTCTGGAAGGCAACACAGGGCAAAAGAGTGGTTGCTTTACCGACGCCTGTTAGATTTACAGCCAACAATTCCAGTGAGGAAAAACTGTGTATAGAAGTAAGCAGTAGGCTTGCAATTCGCCTTTTGCATTGCGCTGTGGCGCAATCTCAGGGGCACGACGAGAAACAATATGGTTGGCCTCGAAGTGCAGACGGTGCATGCGCAGTCGAATCTTGCAAAAGGCGAATTCAATCACATTCCTCTATTTATGCTACAACAGTAGCTGTGCTTCTTGCAAAATGGCAAAAGATGCCCCCCTGGCAGCAAATGAAAGTATTGCGAGAAACACAAAAACTGAGTATTTTTTTGCGTGGAGCTGAGAAAAATAGGTTCGGTCGGAGGTGATCTCCCCTTACGATGCATTACAGCACGACCCTCAAAATCGTGCTTTTCCCATTCAAACATACAAGAGGCACTGCTTGGTTTGTGGCTTTATTTTCCATAAATAGGGGAACTCTGCAATTTATGTACACTGCAGCAACAAAAACTTTGCAAAAAAAGAGCTTTCTCTTTGGTTAGGCATTGGCCACACACTTTGTATACACGTCGGTACCTGTATGATGCGGTAGGTGGCAGGAACGCACGACCGCACTTGTTTTCTTTGGTCATTCTAAAGTCTCAACATTTCACTGCAAGTTTCACTTTTTAGGCACAAGTTATGCAAGGTACTTTCTAGTGTGTACACGCCACAACACCGTTAGCAGGAACAAACATGGCCAGTTTTCTGTTCTCAGTATTGAAGGACTTGCTATGGTGGTGGAAGGTACTCGGCCAATGTACCAACTTAAGTGGCAAATTTTGATGCCTTTCAGTGCCCTTTCAAAGTAAAACTAGGAAAAATTGCCGAAGTCGTGTTCACGCTAATGGTGTTGCATAGTGTACATGTAGCACCTATCGCAGGCTGCGAGCCACTCCCTGTTCGAGAAAACACACTTAAAGCTGTTTTCTGTTAGGATCGGAAGCAGCTATTTACAAGTAAATGCACCTTTGGCGACACGTTCGAGATACAACACTCCGAGATTGGGCAAAAAAAGACGAGCAACCAGTTTAAAGGGGGGTTCATGTTGGCAACATCGGTGGCAGGTCGGAAATTTGGACTCCACAACAATTGGCAATGTCTGTCGACAAGACGTTGACGAACACACAAGAGACCCACGAGGCTCGAAGACACCGTTTTCTCTTTTTCTTGTTGTAACTGCCGGGTATACTTTGAATTAGCATAAAGGTTTGCGTTCATAGAGACTTGCAAGCGGCCGGGCCGAAACTACAGTGAATTATCCTAGAGTACTGCGACCACGTTCTCCAAGGTCTACCCAGAACGAAAACAGGGCTCACTGATACGTTAGATCCGTGTCAGTAGCCAAGGCAAGGCAGGGTTCCTGCTAGGTTCCCTAGTTTTGGGGCGTGTCGGCAGATAAAAAGTTTGCACCTCTCAGCATCCAGAGAAAGAGCGCTTTTACCCTCTTAACCTGCAGGGAATGCTGTAGTGAGGCAGGAACACCCCTTCTCTCAAGAATGCCTCGGAATTTCACACCTTTTCCAGCGCTTTTCTTGAATGTGCAGGACAACTCGTCTGTCCCTCGAGCCAAGTTGTCTAAGTGGCTGTAGAATGCTCTCTGTCCTCATTCATCAACCAATGAGCCATGAGGGTTGTTGCAAATTTCTAGCTGCGTTTCCACCATGCGAGCTGCCTTGTAGACGATTTCACTGCTACTGCAACGAAATAAAACGGTCTGCAACACAAAGCTGTTCGAGCAACACTGGACGGAGGGGGCGGACATTTCGAACAACAGTGTAGCTACCAACACATCGCTTAGGAGAGAACCTCGTAAAACATTGTGATCTGCTAAGCTATACGGAACACTTCAACAGATTCGAGGTTGAGAATTTTCACGACAGCCGACGGGCACTTTGTCTTTGGGAAGCTATTTACATCACTAACAAAGTGGCATTAGACTACGTTTCCGACGGTTAGCTGGTAGTCTGTTCTCACGTGCAGGACTCTTTGGCATCAATGATCTAGCAACCACTCGATGTGTGGCAAGGTCATTGCTCCGTCGTGATTATAGGAGCATGTTGACGTACTTCAAGACGTGGAATGACTCGGTGTCGCATTACTGGCAACGTCGGTTACACAGGCTAAAATGCAACTGCAGTAATAGGGGCGGACAATCTTTTTCCTAATGCCCACAAAACAATTCGGCGCCGGGTGGCCAGTGCTGTGGGACGATACGCCCATCAACGAGCCGAGAACGAACGACCCGTGGAAGACAAGAACAGGTGCATGCCCCAAACCACGGCCCTGTGGCGGAACACACTAGCATGCAAGGTTCGCACCTTTCCTTCGACGGACGGGCAGAATGCATGATTGTACACGGGCTCTTGGTGCCTTCCACTGCAACCAATATGCTCGAGGCTCGAGAGACGCTAAAGTGTTGACGAAGGTAGGAAGCTGGCGCCAAAGGTGGAGCAACTGAAGGACATCCCACCATCCTCATCCTGTTAATGGCTGTAGTTGGCCTTCTATGCCGTGGATGGGCTAGAACAGCCGCTACCGAGCCAGTTATGCTGCCACAACTAAACATGGCGTAGGAGGTTTTCAAGGTCATGTGCATTCATATGCCCTCCGCAGGACTGCCATGCAGCGACGACCGGTTTTGCCACGGGATGTCAAAAGATTACCGAAAGTTAACTAGCTGCCAAGCATTTCAGCTAATAAATATAGCAGGTACTGCAAGGAAATAAGACTCGGCATCCACTATGTGAACACAGTTTCCCTTCTGGAACGAAAGACACTCAGGAATATGACAAGAATGCAGTTAAAAATTTGTGCGCAAATGGACATAGCTTTTATGCGCTTGCCTCGACTGGGTGCGACGGGAAAAGGCGTTTCACAACTTTTCACCTGACGACTGTTCCTACGTTATTTTGACAACGCCCGGTCTGCTCTCCCGTTTGAATTGTTTCATCGAGAAATATCTCGATGGGATAAGGCTGCCATTAAAAACAAGGCAGGATTTATTTTGCATGAGATGTTTTCACTGCTGTTACACTTTACAAGAGCAGACCTGCACAGGGCGCTCCATAGTCGGGACGTGGGTCAAGGAGGTTTTGAGACGCCGCATCCCGAAAGATGGGATCTCTTCCTCCCTTTGGGTGACCTCTCTCACCCTTTCTCTCGACTTTCAAGCACCCTCAAACTTGGTTCCCATGTGACCTTCCGACGAGAGGTCTAACAAATCCCTCCGTCTGCGCGGGATCAAACTTGTCTGGTCCAAGCACCTCCAAACACGCCGACTCTCGTGCAACAATTAAGTAGAGGCTCTTTGGTAGTTTACGAAGACGGAAACACGGTGCAACGATCGGGACTGCGAAACAAAGAAGAGTGCAAACCAAGTACATTGGGCGTAACCCAAAACTTCTTGGTTCATTCACGGTACCTCTGCAAGTAATATACAAGGTTCCGACTTGCGCACATCCGAAAAGGCCACCCGAATACTGGGACTTGGCTAGCGGCAATGACCAGCTGAAATAGGCACGTCGTTTGCCCAGCTGTCGCCGACTCTCGCAACCATGACCGACGGACGCCGATCCATCGGTCGAAGCCATGCGACCACGGCCGTCCCGACGCACCTGTCCACGTGCACGACTGACCGGCGCCACCGCCTTTCTGTTGTCAGCATTCGAGAGAGAGAGCGGAGCCGAAAGCCGCACCGACTGCCGGGCATCTTTCCGAGTCTCCCGGAAGCAGAGCAACGGACGCTTCGCTGAGGGTGGGCGTTGCTGCTGCCTCCCGGTTGTCGGCGTCCAGCCCCCCTCAGCAAAGCACGGGCACGGCAGTGCTGTTGTGGCGCGTCTTTCGCACGCTATCATCGTGCTGATGCGCCCCGGGATTGGCCGAGTTGGACAGCGCCGCCGTCCGGTCGAAGTCGATGGTGGCGTAGCCCTCCGGCGCCCGCACGGGCGACGTGGGCTGCGACGCCGTCCCGCCCGCCGCCGCAAGCGTCCCGCTGGGGGCAGCTGCCGCCGCAACCGGCGACGTCGCACCCGTCGTGCTTGAGTCGCTCTGGTGGTCCAAGTCGAGCACGACGTAGTTCACCTCGTCCGGCGCCAGCCCGTTGTTGGCGCCGCGGTCCGGCGAAGCGGGGCAGCTCAGGTTGGCGTACGAGTGTCCCTGGGTCGGGTTCACGTTGACGTAGAAGTGGCTGTCGCGCCGCCGCACCTCTTGACGGAGCAGCTCGTCCAGCTTGGCGTAGTTTGTGTTGGCGTCCACGCACGGGGGGGGGTGGGGCAGGCCACACTGCGTGCACGAGTTGACGTAGGAGTGCTGGGCCGTCGGAGCCGGCGGTAGCGACGCCGACGCCGGATTGGGTGGTGCCATCAGGGCGACAGGGGGGGGCCGGGGCGGTCCCAGGGCGATGGGTTCCAGGTAGCCCGAAGAGTCCACGGCAGGGCCAGACGTGGCGCTGGGCGGCAGCGTGAATGCGGTGTCGCACTGCGCCGCAGCGTTGTTGGTACCATTTGCTTGCTGGGACGGGTCGCCCGGCACCACGCTGCTGATGGTCGTAGTCATGGCGGAGGCGGTGCCAGAATTTTGGATGCACTCCTGCAATGCAACGCACCAAAATTGTCGGAGAGATAGAAAAACATTGCTTGTGCGTCGCGCATGTTGCTATCCGTATCGTTGTTCCACCCCTGTGCCACAGCAACAGGGCGTGCTGACATTGGTTGCGCTCACCGAGATAACTCGACTGCATTACAGCAGTGAAACTAAACTTGAAAAACAATGAGTGCTCAAATGATTGTAATCTGTCTGATCTAAAAACTTTCTGCCAAACTATGGGACATATTTCTCTAGGGACAAAATTAAACACTAGCGGACAGGGCAAAAAGCCTAGGAAGACGACTAGAAAAACATACATCCATACTCGTATCAAAATCTTGTCGACAGCTCGTAAAGGCTTCGCCACTTTTTCAGAGTCTCAAAACACAACACTGATAGCTGGCATGTACGCCAACACTGATAGAAATGTATACAAGGCTGTCTACGCGCACGAGACTCCACTCCAAGAAAACCGACACCAATCGAGCAAGAATAACAAAGGACTGGACAGTGTTATCTATTGCAGCATCCTATAACTATCCACAGTATCAAAACGCTTTCTGTCTAGATGCACGAGCAGAATGTGTCCAGGCTGTTATAAACATGGTAATTATTAAAAGCGGATTGAAAAGAAGTCTTCCCTTAAAAGAGACACTTACACCTCCGAAAAATTTTTTTTAATTTTTTGTTAGGCGCTTTATTATGGTGTGGGAGGACTACCCAATTAATATTTTGCAACAGAGTAGCGTATTTTTTTAATAAAGCCAAAAGACGCAACTGCTCGAAACCGAAACCGAAACCCGACGGAGGTCGGAGAAGTGGAGAGAAGAGAGTGGGGAGTGGCGGAAGTCACGTGGCTACACCCGATTGTGCGTTTTTTGTTGTTTTTTTTCTCTCCTCTCCGTAGCAGACGACACAACATGCGGCGTGCGATGCTGCATGCGGGAACTGCTCGCCGTGCGATTCTTTTGCAGTTATGTTTGTTCAGCTCGTTGTTCTGTACTCCAAGATGAGTTGTTTTGTACATTGAGGAGTTGGAGATGAGTAGTGAGTGCCCGTGGTGAATTTCCATGATCGGCTCCGAAAAGAATACACCCAAGATGTTGCGTGAAGAGCTGGCTCAAATGTCCTGCGTCCGAAAAAAAGTGGCATTGTGCGACAGAGTTTCCGAAAGGTCAACGAGATCGGGACCAATGCCTGGCTGCAATTCCTGTAGAACATATACGGGCACCTCGGAAAGCGGATGCTACCTGATTTATATGCTCGTTGCATTTTGTGGAAAGTGATTACATTGAGTTCGCAGGTGTCAAAAAGGAAATCCCATACCATCTAATTCAGCGAAGAGTCGTCCACAACATTTGTTTGTTATTTTTTTTGTTTGTTTCTTCAGTGATAATTGTAAAAAAACAAGATATGTCATCATCAGAAAATGTTTGGAAAAAAAAAAAAAAAGTTTTCAAGGGGGATTGAACCCGGTCCGACAGCGTGTGAAGCGGACGTCTTTCCCACTGAGCTACTAGGACATCTCTTTACTGGTGGATCTCTTTCATTAGTAATAATTCAGCCGGTAAACTGTAAGTTGGAAGGTTTGCTGCCGATTTTCCTCTAGCAAAAGCACTCCCGGGTCGAAGTCGGGAAGCACCACGCATTGGCGACATTCGCACCTAGTAATGAAATCGTACGCGTGCATATTCAAGTCGAAGTAGACATGTCGTACTTGACGTTTGGGCGAGCGATGTCTTCAGCCACGAGAAGGGAGCGACGGCTCGGTGACGTCTTCGTGCAAATCGGCTTGGTGGTCGGGCGTGTCGTACGAGATGAATACCAATTCTTTTGATCAGTCCCAAATTTCTCTTTTAAAGGTAGACAGAATTCGCCGGTACCGCGAACGACAGTTCTGAAATAGAGGTCCCACGCCCGTCGTCCGCTGCCATTGCCGTCCCCGCGAGTCCCACGATACGCGAAACGACGAACGCACAGAATGCTTTCGGTTGTCTGTGGAACTTTTTTTTTCAATCAACGTATTTGCAGTTTTTTAGAAGCCACAAAAAAAGGGTTTCATATCTTTTTCTACTTTTAATATTGAGTGTGTGCCTTCAGTGACCCACGACTTTGATTAAATTTGGTGGTCGCATCGATACCTTAGAAAACGGCCCGTGACCGAGAAAAAGAGAGTGAGCGAGACTCGAACCGGTCAGTTCTTGATCGGCGGTTTTCGGGCGGAAGGAAACCGAATTTCGAGCCGCAGATTCTGTTCTGGGCAGTTGAGCTCTCATATGTCACGTACAACTAAAAACCTCGGCGAGCATAAATACCCTGTCAGTGTCCCTTTAAAGGAATACTTAAACGAAATTTGAAACATACCCGTCGTGTTCACATATAGGCTGAATATGATCCACAATATCCGTAAATGACAATCCCACGTTTGTACTATGAGCGTGATGACTTTATTTTACGTTATAAACGGCCCACTCTGGCAAACGCTCGGAGAGCAGCCAACGGAGAGCACATCGCATCCACCGCAATTGTGATGTAGTTTGTCTCGGGACCTTAAGTCCGAGCACAGCGCGGACGCCTGCAAGCTATCCCAGCCAATCCCGCTCTGTAGATGTAGCCCGTAATACGCTTTCTGCATGTCGCTGTGCCCCTTTCGAAGGTCTCGTGACATTCACACGGCCTTGTATAGGCCCCAATGGATCGTAGCGTCTGCTGAAAGCAGCAGAAGCACACCAGCGATCGGGCCACCGCAAGTAACTCCAAAGCTGCCTTTGTACGAATTTTGAGTGACGGGTTAATCTTCTCTAATCTTTTAGAGGGACAATAGCGACCTCTGGGACACACAAAAGAGAGTCTCGGGGAGAGGGGAGTTCCTCCTTCCCCTCTTCTTTCGTCGTGGCCGGAGTCAAGACAGTTACCGTCTTGGCTCCGGCATTCCCCTTCCCTATGGTAAATCCTACGGGGGACAGACAGGACGGTGTATTAATGAACGGTTAAGGGAGCACAATCTTTCTCTGAATTCAACGGTGAGGGGTCACCTACCTCTTCATTGTCAAGCGTGTAAGTGTACACCTTCTTTACAAAAGACCTCAATAATTGGCAGATTCACCGAAAAACACACTCGGGAAATTTTTGAAGCTTTTAGTATACTCCGCTTAGGCGAGCGTTGTGTCAGCCATCCTTCTGTGGCTTTAACCGACAAGGAAATCGCCTTTCTACAGTCGCTTGAATGTGGTTGATGGTGTGTGTCCTCTGCGTGCTCGGGTGCCCCCGTTCGAGTGTGGCCTCGGCTCGAGCTGATACCGAGGGCTGTTCCTTTTTCTTCCTTTAATACACTGAGTTGTGAGTTTGCGCGCCTCTTCTCTCTTCCCGCTTCACTGTTTCTTTCTATGTGTGTGCAATTTTAACCATGTTCGTCACTACCTGTCAAGGTTCCTAGACGGGCATTACAAAAGAGGCATTAGCGACATTTACCAGGTGCACTTTACTAACCGTTTAATTTGTTTTAAAATTCCTTTTTCGTTTTCAGCAAGAAATTGGTGTGTCCGATGTGACACTGCTCTTTTGAACACGAACAGACCAAGAAATAAGCGCCGAAATTTCGTTGTAGTATCCCTTTAATACCACACCCCTCATCACTCAGAGGTAGTGTGCAGGGAAGGCTACGAGCTACCGAAGCACAGCGACAAACGAGACGCGTAGTCATGTGATAAGTTCAAAGTACTGGTATAATTCAAAGTACACAGTATAGTATTTAGTTGCTTCCCCCTTTACAATCAGCGACACCTGTGGCAGGAAACTTCACTAAAACGGAAAACGACGGAGTTTTCGAACCGGAGACATCTAAAGACCTCGGCGTCACTAAAACAGACATACGGTCCTGTGTCGTTAATATGGACACCTCGATTTGCCCCAAATATCATCAATATTGGGCCCATTCAATTTGCCTAATCCAGCCTGCACCGGTGTAGTTGAGAGTAGCACTGCGCACAAAAGTGCAGAGCAATGTACTTCTGGTTGCATGTTCAGACGGGCTGCTCTTGTAAATCGAATATGGCAGTGTGCACCAAGTGCAGCTGGGGCAGGTAAATCGAGATAAGCCATTGCGAGTCGCCCATGATGACGACACTAAAATGCATGCATTTACCCAGTCTATCCCTGAAAATGTTGTCTATATAGCGGGGCATCCGCACTACCGGGGACCATATTAACGAACCACGACTGTACCAATGCTTCGGAGAAGCGTTACTCTTCCAGCATTGCATTATCAAGTCGAAGAACTGCGAGAGATTTACTACTGATGCACAAGAAATTCATGGCCAGATAGATAGCAGCTTGGTATGTTCTTTTAATTTTCATGTTCCGGTACGTTTCAGCCGACGCGCATGCTCGTTTTATCCTGATTCACAGGAGAAGCTCTGTCCGACCACCCGTATGCAGCTCTGTTTTAATGACATTTCATTGAAATCTTCTTTAGATGCTTTTACAGATTACATCTCTTTTAAACGTGAACTTGAAATTTCACTCTACGATTCATAGTAATGTAGCATTCCCGCATGTGTTTTGTTCGTTGTACGCATGTGCCTCATACCAAGACTGACTTCAGTCGTTCTGAGGCCCGGAATAATAATAATAAATAAGTAAATAAATTGCGCAGCAACTCGAAAGTCTCCTTTGCCACGGGCACGGTTCAGGGGCCCCAGCTGTCCTGCAGCCCGACTTGCCTGCAGCGCGTTGAAGAGCCCTTCCGCCCGGTTGCAGCGGAAGGCGTAGATGCCGGAGCCCGTCGGGCAGCGCCGCCCACTCTCGAAGGAGAAGAGCTGCGCGTCGAAGCCGTAGCGGCGGAGGCCCCGGAGGGGCCAGCGCACGGGGGGACGCCCCCGCTGGTGCAGCACCAAGTCGGTCGCATTCACCTCCATCTTGCCCGGGCTCAGTTCCACCCCTTGCTCGTCCAGGTTCCAGACCTGCGAGGCATCTGTGTCTCCAGGTCGGCTGGCACGTTTGCATTTCACTGCGATCGATTCTGCTGCAACCGTTTGTGACCCCTTACGACGAGATGACGAACTAGCACCATCTACTGGGTAGACGTGGAACTTCTCCGGTTTGGTTAGGTGAGTCTTGCCTGGACTGCCTAGATTTAGGGAAGGGAGCAACTTAAACCACGGGAAGTGTTTGCAATTTAATGGCGGGTGCCTCCTGTGCCGATTAGTAAATAGTATGCATGGACTGCGTTGTCAGGTGGCAACGAGGAAAGGCAAAGACGCTTGCTCATGATCGGCACTTTCGTCACCTCCTTACAGGTAATATTGTTACTCGGCACATAAATCGCGTGACCCCAATGGAGCAGTTCGAAACTCTTCGAATTACGGGCTTTTTAGAGAGAACTCTAGCACCTAGTGCCATCTGCCGGACAGCCCTGGAGACACTTCTCAGCTGTGTCTGTATTTTCCTCATTTTTTTTATACTCCATTTTTTCACCGCGGGCTTGAAATGGTTCTGACAATGTCAGAATAGACAGATCTCACCCAGCCAGTTTTACTACACTGCCGCAATGCACTGAGTAAACTTTAGCCTTTCCGAACGTGTGACGACCTCTCTGCGCACGCAGAGCCCGGGTGGGAGAGACAGAGGAGGAGGGGAGAAGGAGGAAGGAAGGAGGATGGGAAAAATTAGACATTTACAGATCTGTAACGCGAAATTAGAGTGCAGCTCTCCTCCTCCTCCTCAAGAGCTGCACTCTAATTTCGCGTTACAGATCTGTAAATGTCTAATTTTTTTTTGTCAAATTTGAAATTAAAGAAATATTATCTTTTATATAGCACAAAGATTTATAAATTCATTTGATTAGGATGGTTGCAACAAATTTGTTTTTTACGTGACACAGTTCATTAATATAGTTCTATTAAAATTCCTGAGCTTAGAAGTGGACAAGTGGAAGGTTAGGAACACCTTTCATGAGTTGAGCCAAATATATTCCATTCGGCCAGAACTGCTATTCGCTCCAAATCGCTTCGCACTCAAAATCCACTATTCGCATATGATTATTGTTGAGCAACTGGTGACCGCATCGACTGCCGTCCATATTCTTGATAGACTCTTATCTATGAGAATTTATGTTTAGGAATTGCTCTGTTTTTGACGAAGTTTTCTTAGCGTGTGTTTACTTTATAAATTTTGAAATGGGTGATTCGGCGCCTATGGAGATTTCTTGTGCGGCAGACAAACATTTCTGGACTTTGGGTTCATGGAAATTGATATAAATACCACAGTTCATGTTTTTCAGTGGTCTTTTCTTTTTAGCGAATAAGCCTAAGAAGTATTTTTCTTTGCACGAAAGCTTCTTTAGCGGCCATCATCATGCATGCTTTTTTTTCTTCGTTCGAACCAAACAAGCCCCATTGTCTTTGCTTTACCCGACTTTCCCTTAAAATTTAAGTGGGTACTTCGGTATTTTATGCATACAATAATAAACTTAAATCTACATTCATAAAAAAAAATTTTTAAATTATATATATATATATATATACACACACATTGTTCGCCACACTCAAAAAATGTTACGCGACTATATAGATGTAATAAGAAAATTTGGGATCGACCACGTAATTTTAGCAGTACCCAGCCGAATCATACTGACGGCGCTGAGAAATCTACATTAAATACCTAGAAAAGAGTCAAAGGACAGGCTAGCTGGTGGAAGTCAACCATTTCGTCGTTTACCCTGAGACTGGGGTTTTTTTTGAAGAGCAGAAGTAACAGAACCTGTCTGAGAGCTGTCTGTTTTTTCTGTTACTTCTGCTCTTCAAAAAAAAAACCCAGTCTCAGGGTAAACGACGAAATGATTAAATACCCTTATGTATAAATTTTTCTGAAAAAAAAAATATTCCGCATTTTTCATATACGTTTATATTATTCCTTGTTTATTGTCCTATTTCAAATGGCAAATTAACGCATTTTTTCTATGCGTCCGACCCGACGCACGAACGCAATCATCTCCTCACCGAAAGAGAGCTGCTTTCCCCAAGTACACGGCTGCGCTGCGGGGGAGCCACATAGCAAGGGGCCGTTAGCCGCAGAAAACGGGTAAAGTCGCTTCCATCGAGGTGTGAGCAGTTTCAGCAACCGAACAGGTCCGATCTCCGTGCATATTCTCTTCTAATCCGCGATGTTTCGCAGTGGATCCCGAGGTAGTCTTTGTCTGTCCGTCATATACTTGGGTATATGACGGACATTCAATGTCCGTCATATACCCAATTACAGTAATTCAATTACAGTAATTGAATTACTGTAATTTAAGTACTTTTCTTGGTAATTTTTGGTTGTAATTAATTACTTTCGGCACAAAGAAATTGTAATTTAAATACTTTCTAGTGCCAGTAATTGCAAAATTTCAGGCACAAGTACCATTACTTTTGCAGAACTTTGTGGCACCGACGGAACCTCTCGAAAGCCTCAGCGCTCGCACAAAAGGCCTATCACTCGGTTTTACACTCGTACACATAGACATGCATGCACACGCACGCACAACAAAAATAGAATCACGTTCTTTCTTTTTTTTTGTTTTTGTTTGTTTGTTTACACTGCGAGTTGAGAGACAATCCTCTTCGGGGCCTACCTCAACGGCGTCGTGTAGCGCCATCTACGGTGCGAGCAGACAATAATAGCGTAAACATGCCAAAATATTCAAAGAAAAAAAAAATTGAGCTCCAGCTTTCAGGCGAGGTTGGGAATTTTATTTGTCTATAAAGTTATTTTTCTTTTCTCTTTTTCCAGTTTTTTACGTCCCTCTTCCAGTACTTTTGCATATTTGTATCTTATTATTATTTTGAGGTTTATTTCCTTGTGGTTTGACTCCGGATATTATTTGCATACGCAATTTGGAGACTGACCTCGCACCTGTGAATACTGTCGCCAATGATTCGGGAGTTCCGATTCGGTTCTTATGTATTTCTGAGCCATTATAATTCAACTCAATGTAAATCATTTACAATAGCATGATGTTTGTAAGTGAATGGGGTAGTATTAGCGCGTGTGGATTTTAGTTTTATATTAACATTTGTAAAATATTCATACATTACTAATTGTCGCATTTTTATTTGCCTTGAAAATAAAAGTCTCTTTACCCATGTTTTTTTTTCTTTACCGATCTGGCGTCTACCAGCATATGAACTAACTTATTATACTATTTATTAAAAATATAAGAACCTGGTACTTGATTGCCCCACACTGTCAAGCTGCATGTATCTTAAATTTAACAAAATTCATAAAAGGAAAGTGCAATATGTGACATTTATGCATCTATGCTTAGGCCTCCTCAAACTTTGGGGCAAGGAATGAACATATCTGTTGCATTCTACACAACATGACCCAAGTCGGGTCGGTCTAAGAAATAAGAAATTGCAAAGTAATTGCATTGCCTTTTAAAAGTAATTTGTAATAGTAATTAATTAATTTTCACGTAGTTGTATTTGTAATTGTAGTTAAACTACTTTTGGAGCAAAGTAATTGTAATTACATTTTGGAAGTAATTTACCCATGTATGGCCGACTCATAACCCGCTACATTAAGCAAAAAAAAAAAAGTTTTTTTCCTCCGTTTTTGCAGGTTGTTTTTACTGTCCCCCAAAGCGCTTTCTCTCTCCGAAAACCCAAACGTGATCCAGAACTTTCGAAAACGGCTGCGTCGCGACGGTCGTTGCAGCCAAGTTTTGCCGCGGAAACATAAAGAGCGGCCCACGGTAATAACCGTCCTTGCGTGCTCCTCGAGGACCGGGCGTGACTGGCTAGAAGGTGTGACGAGAGGAGCGTGCTTGCAAGGTTCGCCCAAATGCGGCACCAAGTGCTCCCTCCCCACGAAACGACCGTTCCGCAGACCTGGCTTTCCTGCACCGCACACGCGCCATGTGGGGAAACGCGTCCGCCATTCAATCGCACGCGATGTCCACCGTTTTCACCTCAAAAGCCGTAGGAAAAAAAAAGAAAAAAAAAAGAAAGATTTTCGCTTTTTCGTGGTGCAATACTAATTTCCCTATTTGTGTGGAGAATGAAGATAGAATAGGTAGGTGTATCTTAGATTAGATATATCCTATCTTATCGAGATGTATACACGTCGCAAACGACAAAAGCATCACTTCGCCCTCCAACAACCGAATCTTGTACGAACTACATACTTCGCGCGGCGTATGAACAATGCGCAAAACTCGTTTTTTTAGAGCCTATTTTGGAACAGACGGTCCACCTCGGACCACGGGGAGCGTTTGCAACTGAATGGCGGACGCCTCCCGCAGAGATTAGTCGCAAGTGCGCATGCGCCGCGTCGTGGCGTGGCGAGGAGCAGAGCAGGCGGAAAGGCAGACACGCTCGCAGACGATCACCGCGTTCGTCACCTGCTCGGGTCGAAAGCGTCGCCTGCGATGCGTTGATCGTCTGCATAAAGTCGGCTCGGCTTCGGGAGGGGCTTAATTCAGCTCCTCCCCAAATCCAGCCTAACAGTGGAAAGAGCTGGGAGGAGCTTTCCCAAAAATTTTTCTCTCTCTACGCCGCTGATATCATGGCACACCGGAAGGCAGCCCCACCTGGAAGGTGCGTTCCCTGCGGCTCCGGTCGGCGCCTCGAGACCCGGACAGGGCGGACACGCAGCTGCCCATGGTTGCCTCGCCGTGCGCCGTCAGCAGGCCTCCCTCGACCGCGCCTGCAAGGAGACCCGGTCGGCACGGAACAGGCCAAACCCCAAGCCAAAAGGGATGGCCGAGTCCAACTACCTATTTTTAAAGCATTACCTGTCCCATGGAGCGAGCCGATGTCATCAGCCGCGCCAAACGGCAGATAAATTCGTGTAGCCGCGATCTTAGGCATCCCAGCTTTGAAGCCGCGCAAAAAGGCCACGGAAAACGGCGAGGGCCGCCGCGCGTTAGTTTCAATCAGCGCCACCCCATGGCGCTGCCTGCCGGCGGCACGGCCGATGTCAGCGAGGCGCGGCCACTTCACGAGAACGCTTGCAAGAACGACATTCATGCTTTCGCATTCACAACTCATAAGAAGTGCTTAAATGTACCTCGAGCCCTTTTTCCTTTTTCACCGCAAAAATAAATTACGTATCGCCGAACGCGCGTTCCCTACCCGAATGTAACGCTGGAGGTCCGAACCGGGTGCCAAAGTTCCCCCCAGGCAGATCTAACTGTTCTCTTGATCAAAAGTGACTAGCGATTTCCTAAAATTTATAATGGGAAAACTGCGGCCGACGCAGTCCTCGCACACATGGAGCTGAATGGCGACAATTACCAAGAACGAGCCTCATTTTCCCAATGAAATTGAAAAAAAGAAAAGAATCACTTATAAATTTTGGATAATAAAACAATTAGTTTTGTAACTTTGACATCCGATTCCGACCGCAGGCGCTACACCTCAGCGTGGAACGAGCTTTCAGCAATGCGTAAATTAATTTTGCAATAAAAAAACGAAGCTTTTTTTATTTTTATTTTGGAGGGGGGGGGGGGGGGGGGGGCTGCATGTTGTACATCATAAAAGCCATTCTTTCAATGTATAGTACGTTTTCATACAATCCTTCTTTGTGTGTTCTCGTTTCCGCCTAATACCCTTGGTCTAGGAAGGAAAGGCAATAACTATTAGTGACCTTAATGACGTCTATATAGTTGCTGCCAGGTATTAAAAATACCGAACGTTTAGATGTTGCACGCTTTAAAATAAAATCACAGAAACAAAAACCCAATCCATGCACAACTACATGGGTGCAGTTGGCAGTTACACGGCATCTTGGCTTTAGCGTAATTTGCTCTCGTACGATGCAGCTCAGTCAAGTCAGAACGGGACTGAAACTCCTACCAGTCGTGGTGCAATGTTTTGAGAGGGCAACAACTCGTCGCTTCCTTCGGGATAACTTATTAGTTTTCTCTACTTGAGCTAAAATGCATGTACCGAGGAATGGAGAAAAATAATAATTGAAGGTTGCAATATGTGGGATTTTGTAGTACTCACAAATCGCGTGTTTCTCACATACTCTATGAAAAAAAAAATGTGTCGGTGTCGGTTTTTCGTGACAACCGGCCCTCGCAGTAAAACGTTACGGAACTTCGTGGAAATCGACTGATAAAACACAATCTGCGTGAAAATACGGAAAAAAAGAACGGCGATGTGGTGTTCGCGTTAACGGTGTCGCACAGTGTACATCGAAACGTGCAGAAATCGGGAAGTCGCAAGTACGATCGGCGTCGCTTACGTCACGAACTGCGCACCGCGCCGGTAGCAGACGCCAACCGCCCTGTCGTCTGCTTCTGACGGCAAAGCACGTTTGCCGAGCGGGGAAAGCGTTCTCAGCAAGAACCTCAGAATAGTGACAAAATTGTTTCCGTTGACGCCCGCCGACGAGGCTTCGGGGGGGCGTCGAGTGCCGTAAAACGGCTAAAACGTAAAACGGCACGCAGTGAAGCGGTCAAGCGTGAAGTTCCGTCGTTCTGAAGAGAGCCCTCCCCGCGGTCTTTCTGAATCCAGCCATGACCCCCCTCTAGCCTGCCCGGCCTAAAGTGACCCGACAGTGATCCAGCGAATGCGGACCAATCAAACGTCTGCCTTTCATCGCCTGATCCTGCTCTCTGCGCGTGGATGTGGGCGGGAGCTGGCTCACGTGATGAAAGATCGAGGCACACGCTCCGTGCGCTAATGTTTGGAAAAAAAAAAAAAAAAAAAAAAAACTTTTACGGTAACGAAACAGGTAACACGGCCTGTGTTGTCTGTTTGCCTTCAATGTCCCTCGTAAATCATAAACCAAAACAATTGGAAATGAGAGCTCCCGGGTTCGATACCCGGACCAGGCCGATTTTTTCGGTCGCGCGCCAGTCATCTATAGCTGTGTTTGGAGATTTGTGTCTGTCCTTTGTACCCTTTGATCCCCTTCTCCAGGGATTATTTTCATCATTCTTGTCAAGCTCGCTAGCAACTTTGCATTAATTGCATCTTAATCATAAATCATACCTTAAAAAAACAAATGCACGCCGTTCACCCCCCTTGTTGGTGTTAGACTGATGGCAGCTGATAAAACCCGTTTGCTCTACTGACGTCTAACCCCTGGTTAGGTTAGTTGGTAGAGCGCTCCACTTGTAATGGAGAGGTCCCGGGTTCGATACCCGGACCAGGCGAATCTCCCTTGTTCCCCTTCTCCGGGGTTTATAATTGCCATTCTTGTCCAGCTCGCTTGCACCTTTGCATTAATTGTATCTTAATCAACATGTTTTCCAAAATAATCATTATGCTTTCCAAATTAATCAACACGCTCAACCATTTACAGATAAAAAAAATAATAAAAAAAAAACTGTCGCACTATTTGGTGGTCGCAATAAGAACTATTGGTATGTTCCTGGCGCTCCGTTTCCGCGGGCGAACCAGCGTTTCCCAAGCCTGTTATGTTGTCCACAACATTGCAAGTAATAATATTAATAACCGTGGTTTTTAGTTTTGTGTTTTTTCATGTAAAATTATGTTTACGGCTGAATGAATAATTTCGAAAATCGTCGCATTTCTTAGCCTGCGAAGCTCGAAAATCTTGAACTTCATAGTGCGGAAGTTCGGAAACAATCGAATTTCTCAGCGCCAAAAATTCGAAAGTCGAAACTTGTCAAATTTAATAAGTTCGACGTTCGGAACATTTCGAACCTTTCGTTCGATCTTCAAACCGCAGGTTCGAAAAAGTTCGCAGCATCTCTAATCAGGACCCGCCTCAGGGCTTAAAAAAAAACTACAAAAACAAGAGAATACAAAAAAAAAAAAAAAGACGAGCAAAACAAGCAACATTACCACGAAAAAAAAACTTTGGAACTTAGTTACGTTTTTCCTTTGGTCGTAAAGCAGGGCTGGGCAGTATCGCGATAGTATCTTAGAGATACTTTCGAGATCTGTATGTCTGTATCGAGAATCGAGATACATTCGAAACATGTATTTGTATCTCAGTAGTGAAATACATTTAAGATGTATCGCTTGTACCGCGATACTTTGCCAGACTTAGGTATCGCGTTACATTTGTTGTCATTTTTTAGATTTAAAAGATAAAAACATCTTTTTGGTGCAAGTTGCTTCGTAACTTATAACATGAGCCCGTCCTATAACATGATCCATCGCAATCACAAACATAAAAAAAATGTTTTAAAAAAGGTTATGGGCAAGAAAAAGCTCGAGAAATACCAAGCACTTCCTATGAGTTGCGAATGCGAAAGCATGCTTGTTGTTCTTCCGCTCCCTCGTTTCGTCGGCGGCGTATTTGCGTCGAGCGAGCGCGCGCCCTCCCAGCTCTCCTCGCCGCTTTGACCTTGGACGCTTCGTGTTACCGGCATTACCGGCGCGCTCAAGGCGCGGACACGCAGCGCCATCGGGTGGCGGTCGTTGAAACTGACGTGCAGCGGCCAATGGGAGCCTCGTTCCTTGAAACTATGACGCGCGCCAGCCAATGGGTCCGAAGCCGAAATCCATCGGCTTCACTCCACTAATTTGAGATCGGGCGAACCAGGTGCCGATTGGCTAGGCTTCTCGCGTGGTTTCAAATTTGGGAGATCGCGGCTTCACTTGGAGAAGGAGTTTAGGTGCCGTTTGGCGCGGCTTCAAAGCAGATGACGTCGGCTCGCTCCATGGTACAGTTAATGCTTTCGCATTAATGACAAAATCAGCTCCTCTCACGAAGCACTCCACTATCTCCAATTTAGCAGAGAGAACGCTCTAAAGGGGTTGAACAAAGAAAAAAAAATACGGTGCTGTTATCCAATCTCCCTACACTATTGTTGACTCAGAAGCTTATAATATGACCGTTCGAGATGCGCCCCCACGGCAAAACAAGGTTCATTTCGGGCAGACGCCTTTTGTCAAGCATGGTACGCAGTCTTTACCGTTCTGTAGCCATGGGGTTCAACGGGTGTGACGTGTTTTCGTCAGCGGTATTAATGGTAAGTAAAGGGTTCGAGGGGGTAACAGCCTAAAAATGACACACCGAACAGGAGCACAAGCTTAAATTACCGTTCATATTAGCCCCTCCCCACCTAACACCATTGGGGGAACAAGTGTATTTCTAAACGTATTTGTATCTGTCTTCCGGAACACTCTTTCGCCGTTTCTGCAGAAGTATGTCAGGGATATACCGTTGCATAAAAGACAAATGCATCTCATTATCTGTATTTTGGCCCTTAAAGCACATGTATCTCAGTATTTGTATTTCAGGATACTTTTTGAAGTATCTCTGCCCAGCCCTGTCGTAAAAGACGTAAGTAATGATACGAGCGCTTTTCTCTCTTTCTTTCTCTCTCTCTATTACCCTTCGACTATCTGTGATTTAAAAGAAAAGATGAAAAAGTTTTAATAGAAACAAAATTTAGATACAGTCGACTTTCATTAATTCAAACTTGTGGATAATTCAAACTAACATACAGGTTCAATCCTATGCGTTGCTATGCAGTGGCGTACCAACTTGTTCTTGAGTGGGGGGGGGCAAACCAGACCCCCCCCCTTCTCCCTTAACCCCCAGTGCCGGAAGGCGGTGCCCTTGGTATCCCTTGGGCGCCGCCGGCCAGTGTTTGCCCTGCCCAGTGGCGGCTGTTTCAGGGGGGGGGGGGGGGGGGGCAAAACACATGCCTTGACCCCCCACTCTGAGAACTGGAGGGGAGGGGGGGAACAAGCGTCCCCCTTAAACCCCCCCGGGCTTGGTACGCCCACGTCTCTATGGGAGGAAACTCCCGGTAATGCGAATTTCGAGATTCGATTGTACTGTAGCTACTTCTCCACGTAATCACCGCGCGAATTTAGGCACTGATGCCCTCCTCAAAGAAGGTTACCGCCCGAGATTCTCAGTCACTCCGTCAGGCGTCGACGACACGCCGTCAGACACCACAGACGTGTAAAGTGTATAGGAAGGAAACTGCACCAAGTTTCGGTGAGTGCGAACAGAAGAAAAGAACGCCCGTGGCGACTGACACTGTTGTTGGACGCGTGATGGAATGACTGAGAGAGCCCGGGCTGTAACCTTCTTTGAGGAAGGCATCCAAGAGCTTTTGTGCCGCGTCGTGATACTTGCCTAAATCTGCGCGGTGGGCACTATTGTCCCATCAAGAAAACAAAGTTTTGCGCATTATTCGTGCACTGCGCGATGTATATAGTTCTCACCAGATGGGGTTGTTAAAGAAATAAGCGACGATTCCGACTTCCGAAACGTGTACGTCTTGATAACATAATTAAGCCAATCTAACAAGCAGCTATACACATCTTAATTGAACGCAGGAAGGGGGAAATTAGTAAAATGCCGCGAGGAGCCGGACTTTTTTTTTTCTTACTATACGGTTCTTGAGATGAATGCTAGTGCACACAGAACAAGGGGGAGGGAGTATAAAACAAAATCAAAAGCAAATACGCACTATTTCCACCAAAGTCGAGAGTATTCTGAATGAACAAGTGTTAGCGAGATCATTAATCGGTGCTTTCGTTGGCCTTATCCCCAGATGTTGGCCAAGGCCCAAGGAGGCGGTGCAGTTCAATTCCTTCATTTGTTCCCAGTCCCAGTTGCATCTTCAACGCTTTCCTTTTATCAGATTGTGTATATATATATATATATATATATATATATATATATATATATATATATATATATATATATATATATATATATATATATATATATATAAAGTGCAAACGCAAAACCAGGCTTGGTTTTGCGAGGAAATAACCGAGGAAAACCCATACAATCTATATGATATATATATATCATAAAGATTGTATGGGTTTTCCTCAGTTATTTATATATATATATCATAGAGATTGTATGGGTTTTCCTCAGTTATTTCCTCGCAAAACCAAGCCTGGTTTTGCGTTTGCTCTTTCGCATGCCCGAGCTGTGACGAAGGTGCAAAGCACACGCAGCCTGCAGCAGCCTACCTTGCGGCGAAGGTAGGTAGGTAGGTAGGTTCCGCCCGAAGGCTCTCGACGCATGCCTCGCGATACTCCCGACTGCCCCGGCGACCATTTCCGGTTACGCTGCCTGCCCCGACCACTTCCGGTGCGTGACTTCGCCTTATCTTCTCGGCTCGGTCAACAAACAAACAAAAAGTAACGTAACAGAGCGCATTTCCGCCGTTTCTCCCCTCCATCCATTGTTGCCAGGTCAGCACCGCGGCAGGGTGGGAGTGCACGATACATCACCAGCTCCCGGTTGACGTGTTCCGTTTTTAGAACCGCCAGCTGGCACCGGTCGAAACCCCGAGACGCTAGGGCTCGCCCGGGACGAGAAAACGGTGTCACCTCGATTCGGCTCTCTGCCCCCCAAAAAGTGCTCATCTCCCCATTATCCCTCCTCTGCCAATAAGATCGCGGTACTAGTCAGGCGTGCGTGCGTACGCACACCTTGCTGCGTTGTGCCATAAATTAGTAAAACGGCGCTCGAGCCTATCGGGGAATTCATTTGATAAATTTAAAACAAAATTAAGGCGCTTCTTTTGTGTGTGTGTGTGTGTGTGTGTGTATGTGTGTGTGTGTGTGTGTGTGTGTGTGTGTGTGTGTGTGTGTGTGTGTGTGTGTGTGTGTGTGTGTGTGTGTGTGTGTGTGCGTGCGTGCGTGCGTGCGTGCGTGCGTGCGTGCGTGCGTGCGTGCGTGCGTGCGTGCGTGTGTGTGTGTGTGTGCGCGTGTGTGTGTGCGTGTGTGTGTGTGTGGGGGGGGGGGGGGGGGGGGGAGAAACGCGGTCTATGAAAACTCTTTACTGTCGTGCCGTGGTCGATCGCGTACAAATCGTGGGAATTACATGCGCCGGTCAGCACTTCTCTCAACCCAAATGTTACGAAGGGTCAGCGGGGGGGGAAAAAAAGTAAAGTATAAAAATATTGTTTGTTACCTGCGCCAAGAGGCGTCGGTGCACGGAGGTGAAGCATTCGGGGCTCCTCAGCGACCAATTTCTCACACAAGTCCTTCGCATAGCTAAATATACAGAGCGATTGTGCTGTGCATGTTGAAGGCGGAGGTTCTCCTGTAGATCTACGAAGAATGACCAGTTGAGTCAGTCGTTTTTTTTTTTTTCTAGTTTCTCATTTCCTGTATAGGCTCAGTGGGTGCGGCTTTCTTGTAGAATGCCCCTGGGTTACTCAGACGAGTTTATACGACGCAACCTAGCATTTCAAGTTTAAACTGAATAATGTTCCAAACAGGAAATGAGGCGAAACAGTGCTCATTTCCGGCGGATCACGTCCACGTCTTCTGCGACTTCGAAGACGGTGATTCCTCGCCTTTAGCGAGATCAGAAGTTTCGGAAGAGGCCCATGTGAGCGTGGAAGTCTTTCGCTGCCTTGACGACCCTCTGGAAAGACGTCTCAATGCTCCAGGACTTCCCTTTCATCAAGGCGGTATTTATTCGTTTCGACGACGACAAATAGGCTTTTTTTTTTTTTTTTTTTTCGCTAGTGTGGTATTGCGATTAAATTGTCGGTTCACTTTCAAAGTTTGCAAATCCTTTTTTTTGTGAAATAAAGTGTATTGCTTGATAATTCGAATGTTCCTATTTTGTGCTATATTTTGTACTTGCGACACAAAACGAGGCCATGACGAACATGGTCTCGTTATTCATTTCATTATGTATTCCTATCTGTGTTCCTGGATACTTCTTTACTCTTTTCCCCGCTTGTTGCAAAAGTATCTAAGGGATATCCCTTATATATCCCTTACATAAAATACAAATGTTTCTCAGTATCTGTATAAAGAAGCTGTCTAACGATTTGAGTGCTCTGCTTACATAATTTGAAAATTATGTGTGTGTGTTTGTGTGTGTGTAAGCAGCTAGCACAGTGCGATCAACACGGCGAAAGAAGGAAAGTCTCATCCGGGTCCGGCCATCCCCGTCCGGCTATGCCCCCTTCCCCCTCCGGCTTCTGGCGGCTGTTCGCGGTAGCAGATAGAGCTGATGCCTTTGTTGACCTCGGACAGGTGGCGCCACTAAAACTGAGCGTAATTAAAGTTTTGTCGATGATACCAGGTTTTTGACGCATTTATATTTATGTTAAAACGACAAGGTTTATTGAAAAATTACCTTTTAACGAGCAGATAATTGCACAATTTCCTATCTTTTTACAAGTCCCCCACTGACGTCATGCCGCGTGGTTCTCATGGCCAGCGCTCGCGGCTGCAGGTCGGGAAATATTTTAACTTTTGCCTCGCGAATACGCGGCGGAATTACAACATTTCGAAGGAGGGATATGTTTTTTCTGTCCTTTGTGAGAAGATAAAGCAATGTCAAAAGTAGAAGATGCAAATTTTTTCAACGTTCAAATCATTGCACAGCTCCTTTAAAAATACACGTATCTCAGTATTTGCATTGCGGGATACTATTATGAGAGCTTCTTCCCAGCCCTGTTCCACTGTATCCCAAACTAGTTTAAACTTCGCGCCCAGCGACAACGGCGCTTTGAAATAAAAATCAACACCAGATATAATCAGATTCGATGTCATTTTGGGCAGTTCCCTCTTTTCCTCTCTTTTGGCCTTACGATCAGCTGGTCACGTCACGTGTATTTTAATTATTTTCGAAAGTAATTAATCTCCTGTAGTACTTCACTCAAGACACTACCCAATAAAAGTAACACGAATTAACATGAGTACTCCTCTAAATGATTCATTAGGTAGGCATCGATCGAGTTGCATATACAACGCAGCCTCCCCACTGACACCCAAATGTTTTGATGCCAGTTTTCTAGTTTATTTTCTTTATTTTATGCCAACACTCGTCACGTCCCCTTCGCCCCATCCTGACATTTTCCCCTGTGGATCCTAAGATTTGATTGTGCTAGCTGGCAGTGTTGCTTAGCGTCTTCAAGCGAGCTTTTCTGACAAAAGCATGGGGAACACAACGCAGGCGATTAAAAACGAGAACATATTTTTCATAAGCGAATGTGTTAAGGCACAAAACCGTAAACGATTCCACGTGCCCCGGTATTTAAATGTCCAGTATGTAAATGCCATTGTATCACTGGCTCCGCTATATAGCTTGATGACGATAATGGAAAGATCAAGATTGCAGGCGATGCACCGACAAACACAAGGGGAGCCGTCGTTATCGCGCACAAACAGTTCACGGCCTTTTCTCTATTTATTATTATGTTCATTTTACGTTCTTTCTTAACACCCTTACCACCCAGTGCTCTTGAACACATGGATCTTAACTGGCGCCAAACGGAGCATAAATGTGCTCCGAAAGGTGAGTCCTTTTCCTGTCCACTGTCACGAATAATCTTTCGAAAACATCTGAGAGCCTGAGAGCTTCGACAAGAATCGCCTCATCCTTTGGCACCTCTGTGCAGAGAAGAGAAACACGGCTATAACAGCGCTTCGAATGAGGCAGCAGGGCGTTCTCAGCGAATCGCAGCGAGATATATCGCGCTACATCGAAGGCGTATAAACAGATATTGCGTACTTTTCGTCGCGTTCCCCATCATACACAAACAGCACCGAGCTCTACGGAAGAGCTACTGCGGACGCTTCGGACGCTGCTAGCCCGATTCGACGCGCCAGAGAGGCGCTTGGGGTTCAGGTAAGAGAACGGCAGCTGCACCGCAGACTTACCTTAGCCGGCGTGCGTGCTGGGCGACTCATTTTCACGACGACGGAAACATCAGCCCCGTCCGAAACGCACGGTCGCAAGACGACATCTTGGTTCGCGATCGCCGGTGTATCGCGGGGTGTGGTGCGGCTATCGTTCCTCGACGCGTGTCGGGGCGTCCCGGAAAGTGAGCAACCTACGTCATATGGTCCGAAGAGTAACGTTGCCGGTTTTTGCGATCCTAGCGGTTATTTGAAGAAGCGCTGGAGGGAAGTAAGAAACGTCCCGAACGCGAGGATCGCTGGCTGTCGTCGCGGCGCCCCAATACGTTCCATGGTTCTTCAACTCGCAGCTGCGTAGTTCCGTCAACTGTTTTTTTGACCGGCGAGAGGCGGCGTGGCGGTCGGTTCGGCGGCGCGGCCGCGCGGCGTCGAATATTCGGCGGTGGCGGCAGCGGGGCAGCGGCGCCAGTGACGATGGCGTATGGATTGGATACTCTGCATCGTTGCAAAAACGTTTGTTTTAAACTTTTCACAAAAAAAAATGGTGACTTTTTTATGTAGGGGTGAGAGTAAACATAATAAAGACGTCACATTCCTAACGAGCGCGTTGATAAAGTATACTAGATAACAGAAAGAATAAAACATAGGACGAAACGTGAACGAGTACATTCTTTCATACTCGTCTGTGTTTCGTCTTTTCTGTATTTTAGTCTTTCCGTTATCTAGAAAGACGTCACTTTTTGAAAATTCATTTTGAAGTTGGAGAATTTTCACTATGCGGAGCGCAAGGATCGTCTGCTTCTTTTGCAGGGTCTGTAGTGACGTCAGAACGCCAAGCTTTAATTGGTTCTGATTGAAGGATAGTGGATAGACCTCAAAGCAAGCTGCCTTGAGGTCTGCCCACTATTCTTCAATCACAGCCAATCAGAGCTTGGCGTTCTGACGTCATCACAACCCTGGCAAAAGAAGCAGACGAACTTGCGCTCTACAATAAAACTACAGAAAATTTGGCTATATAACAACGCAGTTGATAGTATTTGGAACATGTTTAAAATAAACAAACCTTTTTAATTTCAACAGTCATTCCTTATTGCATTATAAACTAGAACCTGTTGTCTTCTTGGTTCTATGCCTCACCTTGGTTCAATGCCTCACCTTGGTCCAATGCCTTTGCAAAAAAAAAAATAAACGCATTTTTTATGCTTCAAAGCTATCTAGCTGGCTGTTCTGCCAGTTGGGAGTCATATATTTCTTTCTTTATTTATTTATTACATGCTGCATGTTGACCCGTGGGTCGTTACAAGGACGAAAACACATTTAACAAAACAATAGGCTTCATACCCCCAAATAAAGCATTAAAAATATCATCTTTACAATATTAGACAAAACGCGCCTGGAGCGCGTTTTGTATATTATGGCAGCCACAGAAGCTTATAGAACAGCCATTTAGGAGGTTGAGCAAACATTATTGTTTTACTATGTAACATGTCGTCCCACCATGTCACGTGTCTTCCCAGCATCACCCCACATGTCATCCCACCTTGCATGTTACTTAGTATCAGAAAAAAACTTTTTGAATGTTATGAACAGAACCGAAAGGAGTGTGCTTGAGCTCACTGGTTATAAATGTGTATATATAATCTTTAAAAAAAAAAGTAATTGCAAGATGTATAGTGTAGGGGTGGGGAGATAGAGAGGCATGGGGGAAATTAGGAGAAGGTGATGGAGACGTACCTAGTTTTATATAGAGGAACCACTGATGGTGAGGGGGGCGATAAGTCGTATCCCCCGCCGGCCCAAACCCCGGTCCGAGCGCGCGTGCCTCGGGAGGGTCCCGACTTCGTCCAGTCAAAGCTCTTCCAAGTCTCGGGCACACGAGGACCGGCCACAGGGAATGATTGTGCTGCTGTCACAAGAAACCGCTGTGTATCTGTTTTAATTACTTTTTTTTTTTTTTCTGGGGGGGGGGGGGGGGGGGGGGGGGGATGGGGGGGTGAGGGAGGGGAGTGAGATTGGTCTAGTGCACACCAGCTCGGAGCACGTGAAGCGAAAGCTCGCCGTGCAGAACCCAGGGATCCTGGGTTCGATCCCCATTCCTGCCCGTTTCGATCTGGATGAGCATCGTACCGGCGTGCGGTCGTGTATCACTACTGCGTGGTGCACGTTAAAGACCCCAGGCTAGCGGTTTTACTGCACTGGCTGAATTGCCCATCTACAGCTGGGAGACAAGTCGCCCGTTGGAGGCAGACTATGTTCTAGACTGTATAAACATATACGCAATCTAACTTTTTTTAAATATATTTTTAAGCGTTTTGTAAAGGCGTAGTTTTAGTTACCCTAGGCAACCCTACTTATTATTTTTTTCATGAATTTTCTTGCTATTCCTTATAATGTGATTGGGAAACTGATCGACAATTCGAAAATATTATTTTCAGTTGATGAGAACAACATTAGCCCTATATTTCTTTTGAATACTTCACGCGTCTTAAGTTGTTGTTGTTTTTGTTTTTTGTTTTTTTTTTCGCAAAAGGTTTTAATTTTTTTTAACGTTTAGTGTTTTTTTTTTTTTTAGAAGTAAAACTTAGAGAAGGTGGTTCCACTTCAGAAATGTGGAGATAAATGAGTCATCTTTTATACTCCGTCCACCCTCCACCCCTAAGCTAACCATACCAATCAACCACCCCCTTTCGTCACCTGGCCCGCCCTTTCTGCACGTGGGTATGGCGGCAGGATGATCACGTGGCGAACGTACGCCCCACAAAATTTTACAGCGCATAATTTACACGGCTCTGATTAATTAATTAAACTACAAATATTTCTTCTCTTCCTCACAGCAGGGTTTTCGTATATTTGTCCCGCGAAACTCAACTTCGGACTTTAACTATTTATCTGACCTTTATACTTTAACGTGGATCTCAGAATCCTAGAATATTGCAAAGCCTGTAATAACTTTCCTCACAAACGTTTACTTTTTTAAACTCTGTCACCTTTTTCCCAATGTGCTGCCTTGGATTGAATGTTGTTTAACTAATCGTTCTCAGTTTGTTTATGTGTGCTAATATAATGTTCACTTTTTCCTCAGTTTCGTACTTTTGGCGTCAGGGATTGGTTTTCAGACCCCTGTTGTTTTCAGTTTACCCATACGACTTATCTATTTCTGTATCCTCATTGATTAGTCTAGTTGCTGTTGACTGTGTAACCTATCGGGAAATTACTAATATTCCCTTCACCATACTTATCCAAAGGTCCTTCGTGCGACAGCAGAATGAATGGTGCGATGCGATCTATGGCAATTGTCTCTCAAGATTAAGAAATGTTAAGTAATGAGAATCTCCCATCGCAACACTTCATTTTTGCCTTATACTCACTTTCTAGCACTACTCTAGAATTTGTCGCCTGCTACGAGCACCTCGGTGTTCACATCACGCATGTCATGGAAAGCTCATTCGGATATCACAGTATCGCCAAAGTAAATTTGATACTTGCCAATATAAAAAGTAATTTCACTTTAACCCGAATGTCTTCGAGACTACTACTGTATAAATCATATTACAAGGGAAGTAGTGATAAGTGACATACTTGCTTTCTTTGCGTTGATGACGATATGGATGGCACTGCGCCATTCGAGTGAAGCAGTGTTCGCACAGTGACACCACTAATTTATTGTTCCTGGTTTCCTATTGATAGCCCACGGGAAACCCGACAGTGCTAACTTGTATCCCCTCTTCACTATAGTCTCTACGAGCGAGGCGTGCTGTTCCATGCTCTTGTATTGGGCGGATAAAAAACAAAGGCGACGCCGAGTGCACACGTCGACTTCAAGTCGCATGGCACCGGCATATCAGCCAATCGGCTGTACCATGTGATTATATTCTTTCAAAGCTCCCCCGGCATGGACGGATAGAGATCTGAAACGGCAGCTAAAAGAGTACTTACTCTCTTTGCCATTTTGAGAGATGTACTTTGTAAATTGCAGCGTTCGAATCGTAAACTGCCGTAGGCAATGATGACAGCTGCGAAAGCCTTCGGGCAATAGGGGGCATATCTAGTCTGCCTTGCGCGCACTGAACTTGGTTTTGCGAGATTTCTGCTTCTATAGGGTTGATAACAGACGGTTATTGGCAGCGAGTGTGAGTGATGACTGTGATCTACATATGGCATGGAAGAATCGCAGCACCGTAGAAACGCTGCAGCCTTCACCATGAACGCCTGCGCTGTTGCCATATGGTAATGAACCTGATGCCTAACAACATGACAAGATTGACGAGATGGTCTTCAAGTTATCGCATAACATGGCTGCCCATCTGCGCCCTTGAAACTTCGATGGATGCACGAAGCAGGCAGTACTGCTATGGCAGCATGGTGATGCGCAGCAGACCAGGAGTCGAACTAGACTGCTGCCACCTGCAAGCCTGTTCCAAGCAAGGGCTTGGAACGTGCGTTGTCGGAGTTTTGTTACCTTGAGTCGCTTGAACGTCCTGTCTGTTTTCGGCAGTTACTGAAGCATGCTCAACCTGCACGCTCTTGGACATGGTACTAAAGGTATTCATGGTCAATAAAAAAATGATATGCCGGAGTTCAGGGAATTGTGAACTTGACTCAGACCCAAGTAGCCCGGAGATCCCCCGAGAACGCTGAGGAGCCATTTAAGGAGACTATACTTTTTGGAGGAATAAGGCACACTGTGTTGGGTCAACTGTTTCACATTTATTCAGACGTTGCACATTAGAATAAATAGAATGCAATATTCTTTAAAACAAAAACAAAAAATAACAAGATCTAGACCTCCAGCCAGAAGAGCCTGGGTGAGACCGGGGCATAAGAGATGGTTGAGCCGTAGTTTATTCAGGGCTCGTGCTCACAAATCAAAACTATTTTTTTTTTTAGCACCATATATTTTAAAGATTCTGGCCCGACGCGTATCGTTTAAAGCTGCGTTTGCTGGGCAACAGAGCCGACCCTGAGAGTGCGAGAGTGTACCGTTCCTGGTACGCGCCTTTGGGGAGTTTAAGCATATAATAGAGAGTTTTATTAGATTGTTCTGATATGACTAATAATAGTACCCTATAATAAAACGGTGCATGCGCAAAGGCGTCGGCGGAGTATCGGAGTCGTCGAAACGATGAACTAAAACTCCCTAGTTCTGATAACTCCGATAACGATGCTTGCTACTCCGCCGATGCCTTTGCGCACGCTACGTTTCGTCATCGGGTATTGTTAGCGGAGATATCGAAACGATCCACTAAAACCCATGCAACAAAAGCAGTGCCGAAATGCCAACGGATGGCAACGGATGTCACGCGAGCCGGCATGTCATGGTGTCGGAAGTCGCGATCTTGGTAGCATGGTCGTAGAAGTTCCGGAAAAAAAGACGAGCGAGCGCCGGTGTCGCTGTCGTGGCGTCCCAACTTGCTGCTGCAGAAGCTTCTGCGGACTGTCGAGTTGAGAGCGAGCCACAGTATGAACAGTCGTCTGACGCGTTCACCTCAGCTGCTGTGTCACGCGGCAATGATCGCGGCAAGGCAATAGCATGACACTTTGACATCATCAGGCGGAACTCGAGGGCCTAGATTTGAAGAGACGTTCAAAAACACCAGTCGAAGACGCGTTCCAGCTCGGTGCCATATATGGTAAACGACCAAGAAGAGCGGTCCCCGGCCGCGTAGCCAGACAGGGACCAAGAGTTCGCTTTGTGCCCGTCCACGGAAGATAACCACGGGCCTACTGAACGGGACGGGTGTCGATGCTGGCCACGCGGTCTCGGTACGGCGTCGGTCCGTCACTGCAGCAGGAGCCGTACTGCTGTTTCTGCTCCACTTCGTACGAGATGGTCCGGGAGTCGCAGCGCATGGACTCCTTGGAGCTCGTGGAAGAACCCACGTCACTGTCGGGCTCCAGGATTCTCGGAGCCATCTGCCCGTGCTCCGGGCACAGGGTGTCCCGGATGTAGAATCCGATCAGGACCGACGCCTGGGGGCCGAAGCGATCAGCAAAATATTAGAAAAAGGACTGACTGTTCTTTTGCTCCAGCGTGCACCGTAGTTTTCTCGGCGAGAATACAGCGTTTCCGCGTATTGCTGGTGGCTTTACTTGTACGAGAAGGTTGCAAAAGTCTCACTACACAGTCACATGAATCTTCGGGACCCGTTTCCTGCCGAACCGTAGCTCTATAATTGAGCAGGATCACACACACACACACACACACACACGCACGCACACACACACACACGCACACACACGCGCACACACACGCGCACACACACACGCGCACACACACACGCACACACACACACGCACACGCGCGCACACACGCACACGCGCGCACACACGCACACGCACATATAAAATTAGAGATGTCAACACGGCACGCCTGGAAACGCACAAAAACACCCGAATATACAAACCGCACACGGCGCCTCGGACTTCTTCATACAGCTGAAAAGAAACCTAGCTCTATGAGGTGATGTCCAAAGCTTTTAATTAAAAAAGGCTAAATTAAAAAAAAAAAAAAAACTATCTTGAGGGATCGTTTTCTAAGGCGTTTCAACGGCAACCCCCACCCCGACCTTGGAAGCACCTATAAAACGCTGTATTAAAAATCTTTTTTTTTTTTTTTTTGCATTACGAATTTTTTTACAGGCAGCCAGCCCTCAATGTATTCCACGCTAAAAACATCTGGGAAGGTCCTGACCACGACAGCCTCGAAGCTGAAGAGGACCATGGTCCCCCACTTGTACCCGACGTGCTGCAGCAGCATTCCGCCCAGGGCCGGTCCCGTAAACGATCTGCAACGGGTTGCAAGCAGTAACAGGTGAGTGGCCGGCCGACCTCGGCCAACACCATTTAGAAAGAAGGCATTAGTGTTGGATTTTCTCCGTCACTAACGAATGCTAGCGCGGGTCACATATCTGACACGGGAGTGCTATACGTCAGCATTCGGCTGAAACTCGCATTTAGTCAGTGAGAACACGAATTTTTTTTTTTTTTGCTTTCCGAACGATGACACAGCAGTCGTGTCCGACCTTAACTTGTCCCGCGCTGACCCGTGAGTGACCTAGAATATTGAATACTACGGCTTTCTATCTACTGTTGGTGGCAGGTAAAGATAGACGCTCAGCCTCCAGCACGCGCGCGCGTCGCCCTCAACCGGTCTTTGGCCCTCAAATATGGCGTTTAGTGAATACCCCTCATAGGTGGTTTTGCACCCTACCGACAGGGACGAGAACCCCTCACCCGATCGACTGGCTCAGGGTGAACATGGACGAGATTAGGCCGTTGGTTGCGATGCTCGGCTGGAAGCCCCGACTCCTGGAAAGAAGCGCAGACGCGCACGAGTTCAAGATTAACAAAAGCACGCCGAGAATACGAGAAGCTTCCCGCGAAGATTGCACGTCCCGTCCGACGTGCTGTAAGGGTTTAATACAACTTACTAATTTAAAGTCGTCTTCAGTACGAAAGTGAGTGTGCATCGGTCGCTGAAACCTGGCGGCGACTGGGAACGAAAGAGGCTCTGCGCAAGCCCCTGACTTCCATCGACCGACGCACCAGTACTCTCCCCACCTCAGTGGGTCAGTCCAATATATACCACCTGGTAGACAAGGACTGCGTCTTTCCCCTCAAACGTCCCCACTATAGTGGATCCATTCAGCGTCACCAAGCGATGCTGCTAGCGCGTTTTGCAGCGTCTCCCAACGAGCGCAACGCTAGCGCGCGGAGACGCATGCAGACGCCTGCGTCTGCCGCATTGCGGCGTAGGCTTGGGGCGGGTAAGGGACCTACAAATGATGACGCATTGCAGCGGCCTTGTCTTCTAAGTGATACTGGCCAGATTAGGTTTTGAAGCGTGGCTGCTTGCAAATGAAGAGGAAGTCAATAGTCCAGGAGAGCGCACACGCGCTGTGACCGGTCTTCTGGACGACTCACAGGGTGTACTGGAGAGTGGCCATGAAGGCGCAGATGGACGCTCCTCCGATGCCCACGCCGAAGAAGGCCATCGACAAGATCACCAGCCACAGCTTCCTGTGGGGGACGGGGCGCGCAGTGAATTCGCTGACCAAGTGAATCCTTCATTATTTCTAGGAAAACAAGGTGGGTTCAAGAGTCGGGGAGATACGTCTGTGCTATCGAAGTCAGTGACCGCCTCGTTTTGGTGCGCATCTTTGGAGATGAATATTAAATACTCGACTGCAACTATATATGGTGCGCTAGCATGGGAGGTTTGGTGATCGCTCGCTGCGGACAGCGGTCCCCGCTTCATGCCTTATCTGTTCCTATCAGCATGGTACCATCTGTAAACTGGCAGCAGCGCCACAATGACAAAGACTAGTTCCTTATTTTAAAATTTGGCTCTAAATAAAAAAGGAAACAGGCAAACATACGAACAAAATCAAGGGGTCGTGCGCCCATTTACGGCAGATCGCCAGGCGGCTGTCTGCATTTGGTCACCGAAGTACGGGGTCGCGAACTTGTCGTTTCTGACATGGTAACCCTTGCTCTTGTCGTTTCTGACATGGTAACCTGCAGGGTTATCATGGCAGTATTGAACTAGCTCGCCTGCACCCTTGCTTTAGTTACCTCATAGTATCTTTTTTTTTTTTTTTTTTTTTGGTGCGATGCGCGATAGACCAATTTCACCAGCCAACCGCTGCCGCAATGTATCAGGGGAACTAGGCACGTGCGACAATCTCGCTGGAGCTTTGCGCATGTATAGCACGAGACTGCACGAGTCCTCTCGTGTACTGCAGCCGCTTGGCTCTTGTAAACTAAAGTTATGGCGGCATAACACATGCGCCGAACGCTTAGTGAGATCGGTCTATTGTGCGACGAGGGCGACGCGCGTGCTCACGTGTCGAAGGGCATGAAGGGTGCAGGTCCGACGAGCAGCAGGTACAGGAGCACGAACAGGGCGCCGATGCTGGTCAGCAGCTTGGTGTTCACCTGCCAGAGAACGAGACACTCCTTTATTGGGCCAAGTACCCCTTCAAGAAGACAGCCCTCCTTTCGTCGCTCATCTTTACAACAAGCTTGTTTTAGAATGCTCATTCCGACTAACGCGGCTATTTATTTAGGCGCAATTTTTGGTAGAAAAAATCATGAGCCATTCCACTCTGTGGAGGTGGATGACCAGTGAAGCTGTTTAGCAGACGACACAGACCCGCTTCTAGGAGCCGAGGGAAACTAGACACGCGCGACGGGACCGCCACCAGGGGAGAAATCAAAGTCAAATTGGACGTTTAGTGTTTATACAGTGTAAGGTTGGTCTGCCAGGGTGAGGCGACACTGGTTTACACTGTAGATGAGCAATATTGCCAGTGCAGTACGACTGCTAACCTGGGGTCTTTAACGTGCTCACGCAGTAGTGATACACGACCGCACGCCGGTACGATGCTCATCCAGATCGAAACGGGCAGGGGTGGGGCTCGAACCCAGGATCCCTGGGTTCTGCAGCGCGAGCTTTCGCTCCACGCGCGTCGAGCTGGGTGTGCGCTTCAGCCCACTCGGCCACCGATCCCCCTCCACCCCGGGAGAGCGGAAGGAATAACTGTAGGAAGTATTCACTGGCGGCCATGTCTGTGTGCGCGACTGCTGAGCGCGTGCTGATGGCGAGCTTCCACAGTTCTTTTGTAACGTGCATTCCGCACCCTCAAGATTACCTGTTTTAGCAGCCTATTAATGTGGGCTCGTTCTGCGCATGCGCTCTAGTCAGCACCCACAAATATGGCGCCCAGTGAATACTCCTTATAGGCACGCAAGCGCTTGGAATGATGACAAAGAGAGGGCAGTGTGAGCGTAGACATGGCCGACGCGGGTCGCACAGCGGCAAATCTTTGAGAAACCTCCATTACCTGAGAGTCTACTGATCTTAAAAATGGTGCCTATTGATAACTAATCTACTGAATAGACATATTGCTACATTACCCAAGCATCAAGGAGAATGCAGGGAATGCTGTTCCATGCGCCGCACGTACCGGCGTCTGTAGCAGTAGCTGTTCTAAAGCAAAGGCCTAAAACAAAGGGCATCTTCCACGCTCGCTCGTGAACGCTTTATTTTGGTTATTTACTTCGAATCTTTTATATGGGGAAGGCGTATAGACGCTTTCAGGCAGCTGTGCATGGGCGCCGCCATAACCGACCTCCAGTTTTTGTTTCCTCTTACCTCTTTGTTTCCTCACTTCATTATGGCCACAGCAGGACAGGTTACTGCCCTTTTAGATGTTACTGTGTCCTTCTCCCCAGCATAGGCCCTTGTGGAGACTCGTCAACGCCCGCTTCAGTGGCTCGGCATCTCGGTAAGACAAGAGAAGGTCGGCTATGGCGGCTCAAGCTGGCGTGCGTTGAAAGCGTCTATAAAAGATCAGCTATAGCTTTAGTCCTAACCTGGCAGATCGCCACGAGAAGCGGCCGCAGAAATTGAAAAGTTAGAGCGGCAAACAACGGATGAGAAAAGAGCCACGTGACGGGCGCCCCGCTGCGGCAAGTCGCCGCAACACACTTCTCCCGAGCCATGGAATGTCCGCTCGTGCTCCTCGTGCTCCTCGCGTTCCTCGCGCTACCGCTTCTTTTCTCCTTGGGTTTGAAAATCATGTTTTGGGTCCTCGCCGTTGCAAAAGCTGTGCGCTGACGTCCAGGTTGCCCGAGAAATGATCCGTGCGACCAGATCCTCGAGCTCCAAATCTGCGACCGGGCACTCTATGGCTCCGTCGTCGAGCTTTGTGAATATACAGGAAGGTATGTCACTCAGGGCCGTAACCAGGGGGGGGGGGGGGGGGATAGGGGGTTCTGACCCCCCCCCCCCCCCCCCCCGAAATTTTTTTCTGGGTACGGCCCTGGTCGGTGCACTTGCAGCCAGCCGATTTTAATCTCCACATCTGCGCACGCGCAGTGGCACCGGTCGGCTACCGGGTACCAAACCGGGACCGGTTCTTCGGTTTGCTTTAACTCTCCATTATATGCCACCGATGCACATGATTCATAGGCGAAAATAAGACAAAATGGCCGCCGTTGTCCCCGAAACCCCCCCCCCCCCCCCCCCCCCCCCCCGAAATTTTTTTCTGGGTACGGCCCTGATGTCACTGCACACGAAAAATCCACAGACCCCTAGCCATAAACAGCTTCGTTGTAAAAGAGTTAAAGGCATTATCGTTTCAATAAGTGCTTCACAAAAACAATGCTGCTAAAGCAAATATTCATTTCACAGGGTGATTCCGGCCTATCAAACTGACACACCCCGTATTTAAAGAGATGATCAATCTTTAAAAGAAAACCACACCGGCAACTCTACAGTGTACACGAAGAGGGGCAAGGAAATATACAACATATAAGCAAAATAAACATATAGTAAAATATTGCACGACAAAGTTGTTTGCAAACAAATATACTGTGCTCTCGTCGACGGCAAATGGTGCGTGTAGTGATCGGAGCAAGCGAGCAAAGCAGCGCCCGGGGGCAGCAATGTGTAGCTTAGCACCGACCTTCCAGTCACAGAGCTTGCCCCAGACGGGCACCACGGCGCAGTTGAACAGGCCCGGTATCATGAAGACCAGGCCTAGGATGGTCGTGGACAGGTGGAACTGTTTGCACGAAAGGAGTAAACAAAAAGGAATGAAAGGCGTTTACAAATCCCTGTAATGCGACATTAGAGCGCAGCTCTTGAGGAGGAGGAGGGGAGGGTATTGAGGAGGGTATGCCCCTTCTCCGCCGTTCTCTCTCCTCCTCCTTCATACTCTCCCCCTCCTCCTCCATACCCTCCCCTCCTCCCACAGTTTTCCCGCTAAATTTAGTTGAAAAATTTAAGCCACGTGACCTTAACAACAATTCAATTCCCCGCTAAATTTAGCGAGGAATGGAATTGGCGTTGAGGTCACGTGACGGCAATTTTCCCGCTAAATTTAGCGCGGTTACGCCGACGCCAAGGCCGCGAAACCCGGAAACAAGCGCTTAAAAACTGCGTAGTAAAAAAAAAATAATAATAAAATAAAAATAAATAAAAACACGTAGTTTTAATTTTAGGTAACTAGCTGCACGCACACAGGCCACGATGGAAGTCATGTGGCATCCAGAAGCAAGTACAGATTGTGATCGCGTCAAGGGCAAGCGTATACCTGTTTAACATGATAAAAAAAAAAGTCAAACGTATAGAATACATTTTTTAGTCAGTAAATCTCCGTACCGATACGTATACCACGACTATGTAGAGCTTACAATACAGAAAGTTTCGAAATGCTCGGTCTGAGTCACGTGGTTTATGGACCGTGTTTGCGATACGAGGAGGCGACGGAAGCGTTTGATCGTCTCCAAATTGCAAATGCTCCCCCATGGTCTGAGATGGACCCTCTTTACAATCTAGAGGCTCTTTAACCGCGATTTCCGACGAGAGCGCCACATGGTTGACTCTATGGCCCCATGATCTCTTACGCCAACCGATGGGAGTGAGGTACGGCCGCGAGGAAGCCCTGCGCCTGCGCGCGGTGACACTATTGCGATGGCCACCAAAGGTTTGAAATATAACGAAGTCAACGAAACTCGCTATAGCTTAGTGGGCGAGACACGAGTTTTAATAGAACGTTCCCACACCTCCGACAACGACACGATGCGTGCGCAAAGGCGTCGACGGAGTGTCGAGTATCGTTATCGGAGTCATCGGGACGATCTGATAAAACTTCCCATCTTCTGCCAGATTTGACGGAGTGGTCACTGGACACGTCATATGATCACACCGATGTCGTCATTTTCAATTCGTTTTCTTTTTTTTTTTTTTTTTTATGTCGGCTTTGTTTTATACACCTTTTCCGCGTAGTCGTCGCCATCTTGCGTGTTGCAGCGACAGCCGCGCCGTCTGGCGTACGGTTGTTGTGCGCCCATTTTGGTATGCGGAAAGCAGCGTTGTTCCTAGCTCCCGCGTTGTCCCCATTGACCCCGTGCATCGTATCTTCATTGTTTTCCCTTTAGTGAGTTCCTAATTTGTTTGTTATTGAAAGTGTGAATTATTCTTGCGTTCTGGCGTGTTTATTCGCTTTCATGGCGCCCGCTGTTGCGTCAACAGCGCCGAGAGGTTCGTCGCCAGCGTCGCCGCGGTAATCGAAATCGGAGGCATGTTCACTTTTCCTGAGGACGTTTACCAGTGTTCACTCTTCGCGAGTTGTTGTTTGTGAAGAATGACAGCCTTCCGCGAATGACTAACGGAGGGTTTCTATGCGCGAGCGAGGGCGACCCTGGGCATAGAAGTATCATCGTTTACTTGTAGAAATACTCACAGTGGGAGTTGGCGACGCGGGCCGAACGGTTTATTGTTATGGTGCACCGTCGAGGTACGATCGCTAGTTACCGGGACATCTTCACTTCGTATGATGCCCAGATGCGTCGGAACTATTCAGGGGATGGGGGTGAAAAGGGGGGGGGGGGGGGGGGGGCGACGACGGTTTTGCGCCCTCTTTTCGTATTGTTTTCATTAAAGGGACCATGAAATGACCTTTTTACTTTTTCCAGATAACTTTTACATTAAACCGTCAATGTTCACTGAATGCCGAACAGGCATCCGTTTTCGTCTCGGTTTATTAACTTTTATACAAAAAATTATTGAAATATCGACTTTTTCATTCTCTCCAACTGACCGCAAAAGAAGCCGTGACGTAGACCGTTTCCGGAACCGGAAGTTCTCTCGGCAGTAGGAGAATGGGAGTGTTAGCGGCAACGAGTTGGGGTGCGCCGGTAGGTTTTACTGCGGTGATGTCACCGACGTATTTCCTGAATCGGCGCCTCTCATCGCCGCATCGCAGCTGAGCGAAATTCAATGAGATATGTTGCGCTACAGCGACAGCATGGGACTAGTCCCATACGCCGGTATGCCTGTTGGGAAGTGCAGCGAGTCTTGTCACCACCCCGTCATTGTTGGCAGAAGGGCCGGCCCGTGTCAGTCGTTTGCAAAGCGACGTAGATGGCGTTTTTCGCGGCCTCGGAGATGCAGGAGGGAGCCGACGTTAAAAAAGATACGTTTGAACTACGAGTGTCAGCAAGAGCCACGTAAATACCTGTTTACACTCGGAGCGGACGCGCGCGCTTGATGGAAGTCTTGTATTCGCGCTGTTGGTAAGCGCTTCGGGACCGTTCTTTTACGATTGCAACTCGATACTGACGCGACACTCGGCAAAGGAAGGTTGGACCGGGGTCGACAGTGACGTGCAGTCTGTCAGAATAAAAATGGCATACCAATAACAAAGTGTACATACCGTGTTACGAAGGCAATCCATACGGCGTTTATTTCAGCTCTATATCACACAAAACAAGAAGATAGAATCGACGAGAGTCCCTTTTCGACGAGTGTTCGTCAACGCTGCCTCGGAAAACAAGGGGAAGAGATTGACCTCCTCACCTCTTAATCTAGAATTGAGGTCAGTGATCAAACTATAATACGGGAAGGGTCCACAAGGGTCGCGCGGGCATATTCCATTTAGCACGCCAGCCGGTCGTAGGCAGACGGTCTTGCGACGAAGCAACGCAGCGCCGAGTCGGAATGCCTGCTAGGCCTATACGCTTCGTCGGAGTCGGTGAATCCAGCGTTCTTGTTCGTCGTGGTCTGTTTTAAGTACTGTTTTCTTGCTGCTTGAAGTCGGCACGCGCGGGAAGAACACGTAGAAAAATAAACGTTCAGTCAGTCAGAGTTTTGAGAGGAAGGAAAACAAAGAAAATAAATGTTCGTCGGTCGCCGTCACCCAAGTAACTGGCGGCCCTGCCCTACTGCGCACGCGCAGTAGTTGCTTCGTTTACCACACGATAGATGGCGCTTGGCTCTCAGCATTATCATAGGGAGGCTCAAGTGAGGGTGGGTGCAACTGCTAGATCGGGGTATGGTGGCTAGAAGGACTTGGTGTCCGGAGCGAGCTCCCCCTCCCATTGACAAGCGCGGGCCGTCTGAGGAAGACGTGGATAGGTGGCGCCACAACACCCTGGGATGCCGAGACGGGTTGAGCCGAAGCGGGAGTGAAGCCGGTGAAGCGAGACAGAGAAACACAAGGGCGCTTGGTGAGCGTGAGAATGTGCTGTAATTTGGCCGAGGTGTGATTAAATACAGTGACTGAAGGCATGAAACGAATGAAATCACCGAGGTGAGCGAAATGGCGGACGGGGCAGCGCCGAAGCGGTCGCCTACGAACAGGCACTGCTGTGTGCCTGGATGCAAGACAGGAGACAGGTTACCGCTCGGCTGAGCGAAAGTGCGCATTATTTTCGGTGCCCAAAGACTGAACAGTTTCTTCTGTTTTCCCGAAGGTGAGCAGAAGTGTGGAGTGTAGATATAGCTGCTCAGTTTTTCTGTACAAGCTGTTATCTATTGGTATCATTATTGAACATTACTCTAAGTATATTGAAAAGACGGTGAGAGTGCAGGCGAGCTGGTGGTAGCTAATCATGTCGTATTACACCTGAGACTGCGGTGGAAGAAATCGGAAGAACTTTCAGTAGAAGGAACAGACACAGAGAACGTCTCAAACTCAGCTAACTGGTTTATTTCTCCAACAGCCTTTAAGTACCCTCGGAACTTTTTCCCAACCACACTCTACACATAAACTCCTTTGTTGCAGACATTTCGAACCGGATGGATACAAAGGATACAAAACAACCCACACATGAGACGAGGACTTAACAAAGGGACACTGCGGATCATCGCAGTGACCTTGACAGAGATATGTCCCGAATTATCCTAACAGTCGCGTCAAAACGCACACACAATAAAAAAAAAAAAACCACACACAGGTGGTCTCTAAACCGTGGCGACGCACCCAGACATAAAGAGACCACAAAGAGAACACCTTTTTTTTTCCCCTTTTCTTTTCCTTGGGAAAACACACCCAAGTGATCTCAAAACCGCGATCACAAACACATCAAAAAAAAAAAAAAAAATTTAGATGTATATACACATATACATTGTCTCCCCCCCCCCCCCCTCCCCGCTCCCCTTTTCTCGTAAACCGAATGCGTTCGTTCAAAGTCTGAGAAACTTTTTGGAGTTGCGTCCAAGTTGCATCGATGCTTGGCTTATGCAGTTTCCAATAGAACTTATTCTTATTGTTTCTTTAAGAGGGTCGTTAAAGAAACAATAAGAATAAGTTCTATTGGAAACTGCATAAGCCAAGCATCGATGCAACTTGGACGCAACTCCAAAAAGTTTCTCAGACTTTGAACGAACGCATTCGGTTTACGAGAAAAGGGGAGCGGGGGGGGGGGGGGGGGGGGGGGGGGGAGACAATGTATAGACCTTTTCATTTTAGTAGTTGCCTCACCGGCAGATAGAGGGCGCTGATGCACTCGGCGCCATTAGGTTGCTTCAATTTGGTTGGTTTCGGTTTCAACGTGAACGCGGCTATGTTGCTGTTTTACATTCTTTTTGCGTAATTTTGTGATACGATTATTTTCCTTGTAGCACACAACCAATGAAACAGTGGTATTGAGTCACTGAAGACTACGAGGTGTATTTGAGCCTAAATTGCGGGCTCTTTTATACCAACTATTTTGATGTATCTGAATATGGTCGGTTGAGAAACTCCTGACTGATGTACAGGGAAGATTACTATCGTTT